ATAAATTCACATCCACTTATATCATCTATTAGAAAATTATAAAATTAATATTTTATAATTTATCGATAAAAGCAAAAAAGATATTAGAACTTGAAACACTGACTGATTATTACAATACTTGAAGATTTCAAAGAACTTTTTACTAACTATAAATTTACTATCAATACATAATTACTATATAAATATATTTATTTAAAAACTATTGTGCCATTTTATTTCATTAAATTTAAACTAATAATAGGTACTTAAAATAGTTTTTTTCATAAATACAATTTTAAAAACTATGCTAGAAGCATAAACAATTGTAGTAATATTAATAGATCTATACTTTTTAGTTGGGTACTTTTGCACCTATATTTATTTTACACAAGTTATTTATGAGATATGCTTACTAAAATTATGGTCAAATTTCATTTTGTTTCTCCAGTAGCCAATCATTTGAATGTTTACAACATCTAGGAATAGGTTTCAAAATTATTTTATCGAATAATAGAGAAACGCCTTCAAGGTATAAATCGGGTTGTTTATACATACACTTTTACTTGTTAATTGTGTCAACACTTTAGGGACAAATTTTTAGCCTAAAAATAATTATATTTAAGTTACTAAATATTATAGATAAAAACCAACTACTCAAAAACTAATCAACTTACACATTTTAACCGATTAACAATAATTATAGGAGACACATTTTCTCATAGTGTTTTATTCCACATATGGCTTGTAAAATCATCTCATTTTAAATGTCCCGTACATGACTTTATTTTACTTATATCTTTATATTGACTTTTGAAAATATCCTTCACATTCCTTAAAAAAATTCCAACCATTGTTTACGGATACAATCTTTTTTAGGTATCTGAAAATATAAATATTGAGTTATTAATTAAGGGCTAAATAATTGTATAGGTGAAAAACAATGTAAGTACTGGTGAAAGATGACCTCTTCTTTTTTACACTGCGTATTTCTTGTACACACAAAACAACTCGGCATTGTTAAAAAAAAATTAAACTTTGTTTGAAATGAAAATTGTCAGCGTAACATCTGTCAACTAAGTCAAATATCAAAACAATTATTTATAATTTATATAATAAAAATTAAGTAAATATCTATATTATAAAAAAATAATTATAATAATATAAATGTTACACACTAATATGTACTAATGCTATCATTAATAGTTAATACCCAAAACAACGAAGTATTCAATTGCTCCAGCAAAGCACGGTATTATTTATTGGAACTGCACGTTATGTTTTCTTCCTTTTGTTTGATTCACATCGTGTTTGCTACAGCCAAAAGCCAACCCCTGGATAGAAAACGCAATTCGAACGTTAACAAATAAAACATTAATCGTAATCAGTTATCACTTATCACTGGCCTACCGGTTTGCAAGTAACAAAACAAATTGAATGTCCCATTGTAAAATCCCGCATTTATTCTACCTAGGTATTCTTATCGTGGTTATTTATGTCCCTCCCCCCCCCCTATTTTCTTCATTACACATTCAGGTATACATTAATTTTTTTCGACTCTATATTATGCGATTTAAACAAATACTGGTCATGTCATTAGCAGTAGTAAATTTAAGAGTTCGGTATTCAAAAATCCGAATTTTTACACAACGAATATTAAGCCTACTCAATAATCAAAATAAGGTTATAATATAAAACAACGATAAATATTCCAATGGGACACTGTATGAACATCCGTATAGTGCAGGTAGTCGCACGCAAGAGCAATAATATGTAATCGGAGTAAATCATGCTGAAAACGATAAGCAAAAATTGTGGTTTTTATCGTAAATGGCGCGTTATTATGATAAATGTCAACACGGAACATGTCAATAACGTGTTACAATACACCCGTCCACCGTGAATATTTCAGATTCCTTGTTGATCGTCAAATCGGGTTGTAACATCATACAGATGCACGAATCGTACGATTTCTAAAAACTGGTGATAGAAATACAAGTACCAGCTTATCACCGACGATAAGGAATTCTATGAGGGATGTATCATATTTTCAAAATGTGAGGGACGGCGCGTACGCAGTCCCAGCTACCAAAAATTATGCGTCCGAGGTATCCACATTAGGGATACTCGCAGGGGTCAACCTACTCGGTGTGCAATGAGTAGGCCTCGCCCTGGAGGAACCGCCTATTTGATCACGGTTGACCTCCACGCCAGGTAAGTATGCCGAATGGACGTTTTCGAAGCTCTTATATGCGCTGCGAGTTCAGCCCGACCCTGGTAATCTGGTCACTGTCGTTCCCATTTTCTAGATCCTGTTGTCCACATCCTATTTCTGTGATGACGGCTGACATCCGTTTCGGTTGCGTCCACGCGCGAATCATCGGTCGGCAATTCGGCGTAACGTTTTCTCACGTCAAACGTCCCTTAAAATCGAAAAGTATTCAATGAACGGTACGACGGTTATCGTTTAGTGCCATCTACCGGCGTCTTTTGATCTATCATCGAAATTTTATATCATCGTTAAACCGTAATCCGATCACTAAATACAGAAATACAGATCGTACAACCACGGTTTAATTTGTAAATCGGTGGTCAGAACAATCTGTTCACCGTCAGAGTGCGTTTCGAGTATAGTAAAACGTGATTTTTCAAATTTATCTTTTTGCTAATTCTTCATCAATCGTCGTATTTATGATATTGATTTTTATTTGATTTTGATGATTGTTTTTTAAAACTTTAACCCATAGTAAAATTTATAATACTAAATAAATAAGCTCAAAGTTTACATACCGAAAACGGTACCTATTATGATAAAATATGTCTTATAATATTTTACATACAAATTGCTAAAGTATAATTGTGTACTGCGGAAAAAAGATTTAAACAGTCTTTCCAGACTTAGTACCATAATATTTTCAATCATCTCGTTTTGATTATAATTTATAAGTGCTTACATATTGAAGGGATTTAAAGGATTCAAAAGTTTATTTGCATGTAACTTCTTTACTAGAGGTTAGATATCTAACCGTAAATATAGTGTGGACCATGGTTCATTAGTTCTTATAGTTATTATCTATTGAAATAAGTTAAAATAAAAGCTTTTATTTCAGTATTGGAAAATTTGTTTTAAAAAGTACTTAAGTACCTATATAATAATATTTTAGCTTGTTTCAAAAATGTACGCCATTAGACACTTTTATATAAGATTGCATGAGAAGATTAATTATATAGCATGTATTATGGTGAATACAGTTTATATTTTAGTTATAATTTTGTGTTTATTTTTGAACATTTTACTGATATCAGCATATTGCTGAGTATGATACCTATTTAAATTACACTAATTTATTAGGTGATTAGTATAGTTTTTAATTGGCAGTGTCACATTTCTATCATTATTTAAATTTTTTTTCAAAGAATGATTGTAGTTTAAATAATTAAATTCATACTGTACATTAAAATGTATAATGCGTCACAAATTATCTTGGGAAGCATTTACTTTAAAATCAAAATAGCTCAGATAAAAATATAAAATGTGAAAATTAATAATAATTCTTTTCTTGATTTCATAATTCACAAATTTTATAAAATATACAACAGATTATCAATATGAAGGCAACAAAACGCAAGGTTTTATAATGAATTTTAAATTTTGATAAAACTACTTCGGAGCAGTTGTTTAGCGACCCAATTTAATAATCGATAAATATCGTAAATATATATATACAATACAAATAAATAAATACGATAAAAATCGTAGTTATTTGCTGGTGAAATGCAATTGCTCCAAATGTAAGTAACTACGATATTTTATATTGGGTAACTATTCTGAAATAGTTTTATCGAAATTCAAAATTCATCATTAAACCAATGTGACCCCTGACCGCTTAATGCGATAGCACAACTATCTGCAGAAGTCGTGATTATAATTTATTATCACTCTGAACTTTTAAACAGATTCCTGAAAGAAATTATTATTTATAGGTAGTTTGATATCTAGGGGAAGCCATGGCCCCTATGGCCCACCTTGAACGCCGTACCTGCTTCATATTGAATAATATTCGTTTGTTTAAATATTTATTAATATTATTCAATACTTAGAATATTTAGGTGGACCCTATACACAAATTGTGCTGAATAAAAAATAAACCCATCGTAAATTTTCATTCCAAAATAATACAATAATTGTAGGTACTTAGATATCTAGGTACCTATTATACATTTTTTTCAAAATGAAAAACCATTAAGAACTATAGTCTAGAAGTTAAAATAACGTATATTATAACTATTTTTGAATACAATTGTTTATTATTATAACCCATAATCATTGAAACCCGAAGTATGAAACTGTGTCTATTAATTTAATTCTTCAGTAGACGTATCTATGTTATTGAAAAAATTCTTACAATAGTCAGTACTCTAAAAGTGAAACTATAAACAACTTCCAACTCATTCAAAATTAAAATATTTATCAATGGAATTCGTGTAAATACGTTTTTACATCGTATTTACAATTTGAACAGCCCAAATAACACGTTTTTAAATTGAGTGTTATCGATTTTTTAAGATTTTAGGTAACTTCTTTTGGACATCCAACAAACAATATTTCGAAAATTGTCTGTGAAAAATGTTGATGTTTATCATTATGATACCAAACCCAGAGTTGTATAATCATTCGTGAATGTAATTAAACAGGATATCACAAATTTTTGAGGCAGCATTTAGTATATTATTATATGTTTTCACATTTGAAATCAATACGTGCGATGCTCATACAACACACGTTTCGTTACGCCGCCGGTAGATGACGCTGTCATCGAGATTCGTCTGTCGTCTGAAGTTTTCGACCGTGTGTTCTTCTTCTTTGGCGGACACATTCACGTTACGATGCTTCAAATATCGTGATCACCAACTCTCATGACTAACTCGATGGATTGCCGTCTGTCAGCTAGACCACGTGGACCAACAATTGATCGGAGCCGTGTTTCGTGCGCCACGATACTGCACCGGTGAGGTGAGCGTGCCGGGTTACTTAACGGGGTACTCTGAGAGCATCGGGCATACTTACTTGGTGTCGAGGTCAACCGTGATCACCGAGGCGGTTCCTCCAGGACGAGACTTTCCCATTGCACATCGGGACGGTTGACCCCTGCGAGTATTCCAAATTGGAATATCTCGGACACGTAATTTTTGGTAGCGGGACTGCGTTCGCGCCGTCCCTGAACAATATACTGTGATAAATATGTGTACGATTCTAATGTTTATGCGAATTACTAGACTACCGAGTATTTGTTCCTACTCGTTGGTCGTTTTTCGCACAATTATGAATGATTCACGAAGGACGTCATTTCCCCATAAACTAATGTATATTGTAAATGTAAATGTTCTCCGGTAGTTGACGTCAATAATGTTTACCTGGTTAGGTTGAACAATGTTGTGATGCTAACTGATAAAATATATTCTTACGACAACGTGCCGATGAGATAATCATAGATCGTTAAAATAATCCTAAATCTTCATTAAAAATATCTTAGATAAACACCGAAAAACCAGCTGTTTAGTAATTATATGAAATTGTTTCTTAGCATAGTTCGTATAATACGGATATAACCTACAAGTTTTGAAAATCATTTTTTATAAAGTTTATTCTTCTCAACATTTTTAGGTATCAATTTTTTTAATTAAATTCGTGATTTTTTATAATTTAATAAAGTTCGAAGAAAAGAAGTGTGTACAGTCAATTAATCGTAATAATAATAATCAATTAAAGAAGACGATTATAGCCTGCTGCATAATTATATCAGTATTTTTTTCTTAAAAAAACTATTAAAAACCACAAATCAAATGAAAATAAAAAGCTGATACATCAAAGTTCTCAGAAAAATAAATTCTATAAAACCACTATCTTCAAATTTTCCAAAAATAATAAGATCAAGTTGTTTTTTTAAGTTTTTTATCAAAGCATAAAAAATCAATTACAATATAAATATTTATAGTCCTTCCCCACGAGTATAAATTTAAAAAAAAACCTAATTACACCAAAAAACTCCTAAAAATTAAAATTCCTTAAAAGCTCAAAGGTTTTGGGGATGTTACCGTTAGAAAGTAAATCAAAAAGGCAACAAAAAAGGTGTCTTGTGATTTTTCGATTAAATCATTTTTTCTAGTATCAAACGTCGTCCGTGTTTTTATAAAAATGAAATTGTACGTTTTCCTAAGTATTTTCCCACTTTAATGCTTTTTTTTAACAAATGGAATTGAAAATTAAAAAATGACTTGTTTAAAGTACAATATAAATAAGCTGAGATTTCAGAAAAGTTGCTATACGTAAAAATCGGAGCAAGTTTACTAGGAAAAAACGTGTCTACAGACTAGCAAACAAAAAACAAAAAAAACAAGCGTATCTTATAAGTAAATTTATTTTTTTTTAAATTAAATATGTGAAGTTCAAAGAAAAATTCAATGCAGCTATGCAAAAAAATTAAAATAGAAGCGAAAGTATATTTTATTTCAGTTCAGAAGAATACTGCGATCAAATTCAAAAAGTTAAGGACTTAAAAATGGGAATCAAATAAAAACGACAAAAATAAAACACTTATACATAAATATGATATTGTAACGATCAGTGGAAAAGTAAAATGAATAAATCCTATCGAAAATGGCTCTGACGTTTTATATTACGTCACAGTAGACGAGTTATTTAAAATTATTCACACGGCACATTTGGCAATAGGGTATGGTGGTAGAAATACATCATCGTATTTCTACCACCATACCTGTGGTAAAACAAAAGTATTGTAACATAACAACGGAAGCAGTTATGCTATATTTAAACTTATAGAGTAATTATCAATTAAAAAAATCTCATCCAAAAAGAGGATTTACGAAAACCAATTCTGCATTCCGCATTCAATTCAAGGGTACAAATTAATTTGATTGACATACAATCACAAAACTATTATAACTATCGGTTATCGTTTTATAATGAACTACCAAGATCACTTAACCAAATTTGTGATTTTAAAACCTCTAAATCAAAGCCGGCCGAAGAAATACCTTTAAATCAAATTAATATTTACACAACATTTATTGCACCTGCTATATTACACTCAGATAATGGCCTTAAATTTTATAATAATCAATTTAAATGAAATATGAAATCAAAATTGTGCATGGCAAGCGTCGTCACAGATAGATACCAAGGATCAATTGAACGGATAAATAGGAATATAGAAGAATTATTGGTTTTTTGGACAGCTGATAATAAATCAAAAGACTGGCCAATGGCATTCAAATTTGCCTAGTTAAAAATAATATCGAGCTTTGAACTCGGGTAAACTTTAATATTTTTAAAATTTATATAATTTCGCAAAATTTAAAATATTTTTTATACCTATATGTTTATAGGTATTATAAGATCACTATGAGGCGATGTTTGATTGTACAGCAAGAACAGGATTGGCTTCAGCAGGGATCCCTTACGACGAAATAGAAAACCTCAAGTCAGAAGAGAACATTGAAGCACTATTTGGCAATTATTCAGATAACGATAATAAGGAAGAAAATGATTTAGTTGGCGTTGAAAATAGTCACAATGAAGTTAACTTGGAGAGTTTACTTATATAATTAAATCATTTTGGTAATTCACTTCATTGACGAGAAAATGATATAATTTACCAATTTACTTATTTTACCGTGACATGGACATCTCTGTCTCTTCTAATATTATTAATTCATACTTCAGATCTACAAGCAAAACCGATGGTCTTTTTAATATTGTACATTGGTTACATCAATGCAGTGTATTTAGTGCTTAAGCCTGTGATACAGGAGACAATAGATTTATTTGAAATTAAAATTGACCAAATCGACAATCTATGATTCACCTATACACAGGACTCAAAAATTGTCGGTTTGTTTATCAGTTTTCATAGTTTAAGTGGCAATACGTTATATAATTGTTCGTCAATTAATCGATTGATACTGCCTGACCGTCGATTTGTCAATCATCAATTCGTTAACAAACATTGCTATACATCTGTCACTTGTTGGTCTTAAATTTGTCTACAAATCAATTTTTTTTGAAGGCTTTACGTCTATTCGGTTCGTTGTAAATATGTACTTCAAAAATAAGTGTGGTTAGTGTAACAGGTATATTCCAATGAACGATGAATTATAAAGAAATTGTTTACTCCACATAAAATTATATAGTACATACCACAATTTATTTATTACTTTATTCGAAAACGAGGTTTATTTTTATCTTTGTCCTGTCTCTATCAGTTTTCATTTATAAGTCATAATGACAAAGCGATGTAGATTTTGAATAAAATTACAAAATGTCAAAGCGTTCTAGATTTTGTTCACGGTTATTATTTATTACTATTACACCGAGACGACATTACTGTATTTTGTTTTCGACAATATTTTCTAGAGGGCGCTGTCAATACCAAAAATTATTAATTCATCACGAGTTTGACCTATGTGAATGATTGTTCAAAATGTAAACAAATTATAAATTAAAACAATTTTTCATTATATATTACCTATATTGTTGAAATAAGTAGCTATATTGAAATTTTAAATATTTATAACTCCATGAACATTAAAAATATTAAAATGTGTCACGTTTTGGTTTTATATCAACAAAAATGTATTAAAAAACTTAAAACTTTCCACCAGACCCGAAAGTAAGTTTATTGGTAGGTACCACGGATTAAGATATCCGTACATTATTAATTCGTGATAGGTACTAGACACCTATGTAATTTAAAATCCCAGTTATTGAAAATATTCAACTATTCGCCGGATGGTTATTAATGGTATCATAATATGAGACAATAGAATGGTACTTAATAGCCATCTCATAAGTGATCCAACCCAATTAGTCCCAGGTTTCGAATAACCACGTATCATATGGACTTCTCTTAACCGTATAAGAACCGGACAGGATAGGTGCGATTATTCAATACATAAAGGGGGAATGGTGGACTCTCCTCTCTGCAACTGTGGTCAGGTTCAAACTACTAGGAATATTGTAGAGGAATGCCCGGAAATAATGTTTAGTGGATGAACAGCAGGTCTACACAAGAGCGATCAGGAAGCGCTAGATTGACTATGTATACCTAATATTACCATCCGCTTGTAGCACTCAGTATAATTAAAACTGTTATTGTTATTATTGTAGTTTATTTTATTTTGTAGTTTATATTATTTTGTAGTTTATATTAATCCATATGTGTACTATTATTATTATTAGTAGTATCATTACTTTTGTTATTATTTTAAATTTTATTTGCGTTTGTTACATTTTACTTATCTTTTGTACACCAATACTATGCCATATGCAATAAAAAAAAATCCACGTGAATTTCTCATTTTGGCTAGTTTGCTATTCGTGACAAAATAGTTTTATTGTTATTTGTTTTGTCATGTTCGTACTTTTTTATCGTCGTTAATCTAGAATAACTGCTAATATTATAATTATTTCTTTTATGCAATTTTAATTGCTCATGATAGGTACATTTTCATATCCATATCATATTTTTGTATAATGTAATTAATATTGTATAAGATACCGATATTGATTAACTTATAATGAAAAATAAAATAGTTAGCGAAATATTCAATTATACACTATAATTATAATAAAGACCAAAAAAAAGTAAATTTTAAAATTTAGATCTTCTATTATAAAATAACCTCTCTTTTGAAAGAACTGACCAATGTGTATACTATTCTACCCATTTTGCCCGTAGCTCATCTTCATCTATATACATTTTTTTTTTTTTATCTGATTACTCTATTATTATTTTCCTATTGTCAACTATCATAAACATGTATTAGCCCATAATCTTTTCAAAAAAAAAATAATACAATTTTATGTACTTGATACTAATGTTAAGGACATGTCAATGTTAAAGAGTACGTCTGGTTACCATAACTATAATATTACAGTTTGTCAAACCAATTGGAGAAAAAAATCTATGTTGAAAAAATTTAATTTACATTTCATTTAAGTATATGGCGTTACACTTATAATAAAATCATTAGTAGTATAATCAATGATAATATTCAAAAACGGGATATAAGTAATATAACCGAGATTTATTCATTTTACTTACGTTCAAAAATAGATTTTTATTAAATACAGCAGGGATATCATATTATAATATAATATATATATCCAAAAAGAAAATATGGTTGCTAAACTTGAAAATAGAACAAATTGCTATTTTCGTGTCAGTAAAATGACTGCGTTAAAGCATCAATTCCCACTAATTTTTATTAGGTTTTATATGCATTTCCATCTTATTAAAATATTGTATATGTAGGTAAATTATATTAGGTACAATATATTATATTTAAAATACAGTATATTAGATACCTATATAGATATATTTTATTAAATATTTATATTTTGTGTGTATCCCTGTGCAAACAATGCGACTTATTGCCTATTGGTAATATTAGTCATTGGTTGACATTTAAATTATCTACCTTGGTATTATTAGTAAATATTTTAGTTAAGTTGTATAAATGTGTATTGAATATAAAATAATTTTATTTAATATTTATGTATGTGTCAACTTATATTCGTATGATGATATAATATTATTATGGTAGGCAATAATACTAATAACGAATTTACACGATATCAGTCGTTCAGCTAAATAGTTTCAAAAAATCGATAATCGTCTTTATAACCTAATACACCCTATGTCCCTATATATATGGTTAACTTTTGACACTTTAAAAAGCTGCAGAAATTATCGTATTGTATTATCGCACAAAAATATTTAAACTATATCTACCTAATAAATAATAATATGGTCTATACTATAATCTAATAATGTATGGTATAAAATAAATTAACAAAATAACAAAATACTAATTCTTAATATTTTTCTTAATTACCATCAAAATAATAATATTGTATATCTATTGCGTGATAATAATATATTTTATTATGTTTTATCACGTGTAACTATAGTTCAAGTGAGTTCAGCGTTTATAACAATGTTATATTATACTATAGCTATTTGGTATCTTCAAGAAAGACCACCAACGATTTTGTTGTACCTACTATAGCTATAATTAGCTATAGCTCTATGGTTAGGTATACAATTTAAACCGAAAATTAAAACCTATAAATGAATCAGGGAATAATAAGTAATATTATCGTGTCAATTTTGAGCGCTTGATCGATCTATGTTCAGGGGCGTCATTTGAGGAATTCAGTCTATAATTTATAAAACATAGACGTCCGTTTAGAAAAGATTTTTCAAAATTCAACTCCTAATAGGGTGAAAGGGGATTTTCAAAAAAATTAAATTTTTTTTTCGGTAAAATTTCCGATTTACTTGACAAGTACATACTTATACAGTTTATTTTAGATTAATAGACTAAAATTTACTGGACCGATTTGTCGCTTTTTGTGCAAAATGATCCGCGTTGTCAAGGGCAGGTTTTTAGTTATTAAAATCTTTCTTCTATCGAATCAATACATTATAATAAATAAGATGTCTACATATTAGATTCTGAGTGGAACGAGCAATGTATTGGTTTTACAATGATGTTTATAATTATTTTTTTTTATGAGAACACTTTCTATCAGAAAGCATACTCTGATTATCAAGTATAGCATCTTTTTTGAAAGGAAATTTTCTCTAGGTATTACTTTAGACAGGTAATTTTTTTAAAATTCTCATTAATATTCGACATAATGAGAAAAACCTCGATTTTCAGGTTAAAAAAGATTGATAGATTAAAAATAAGGTTGTCATTGGCAACTGTTTTATTTATTATTTTTTGTTATTAAGTTTTTATTATTTTAATCTTTTTTTAAATAATCATTGTTGTCATGGAAACGCATATTGTTTTAATCATTTTACCATAATGTGATATAATACCATATATTGTACTGTTGACAAAATAACATTATCAACTCAACTCGGTTTAGAATCGTTTTTCATTAGTAATGGTTTATCGTTGCTTACAAGTATACATTAAATTAGATACATACATTAAATTACAGTGGCTGCACCCGATCCCATTGTCCTAGGACGTCTTTTTAAACATGTAAATATTCAAAATGGTTACGCGGTGCCCCTGTACAGACACCGAGGTACACACTTTGGGAATCGCTGGCACATACAAAATTTTACCCCCTGTCTGTTAAAATATTACCAATCATTCTAAATATATATATATATATATAAAAAATCTAATTTCTATATTTGATGTTATTTGATCTAGACTTTAAAGGGAGCCACTGAAAATGTCCAAAATTAGCGAGAAAAAGGCACATTACAGTTCAGTGGCATGAACTCCCATGTACGTCACATTATATATTGTATAAAAAAAATAATTACTTGAAACCATTATTATCGTACGAGATTGTAGATAGTTTTGTTTTACTCTTGCATCATCACGTACCTACCTTTAATGACTAATGACTTAATGATATTCCTGCCGCAGTTTAACTATAATAACATCATATCATATTTGAATACTACTATATAATATTCATATTATCATATTCGAGAGAGTACAAAAAAAACCAGATTTTATTCTGGAATCCGGAAGAACGATTGATAATGTCATTGATATAAAACAAGTTCCGAAATGAATGTGTAGAATCAGTACCGCCAGCTTGGAGAAATTAGTTTTGAAATTGATTCCGTTATTTACATAAATATTATTTACTTTTTTTAATGGAAACGAATCCCAGTACATGTATTTTATTTCGAAACAATAAAATAAACGAGTCTATTTTATATATATAGGACCTAACCTAACCTAGAAATAAGAATTGTAGTTCTTGTTATTTTTGAGGAATAGAAATCGTAAAAGATCCAATATATATTATTTTAGAAAGGTTACCACCAACATTATGATTAACGTAGTCATGGATAAAATATTGAATACATAAATAAGCGAAAAAAATTAGTTTTTTTACCCCTATTATATAGCTAGGTTATCTATATTATTGTATATGCCTTTGTTTTTTAGATAGCTACCGCTATTGATTATCATTACTTATGTTATTTAAATATGTATTAATCATAATTAAATTAAAGTTAAATTTATATATTAATAGATACAATATAATTATTTGTAAAATTTTTAATGTAATTTATTTTAGGCCTCAACAAGTTGCTTTGCATTCCATATGTCTATGTGAGTTCATTTTAATACTCATTATATAGTGCAAGTGTATTTTTATAACGAATAATAACTAGGTTACTTATCCGACGTTGCTCGGGCCAGAAATTATTATACTTTTTGTATTAAAACCTAGGGAAATTGCAAATATAATAAATTTAAAAAAAACAAATTTTTATTATAATAAATGTCACATAAATAAAATATTATTGCTGTATCTACCTATGTATAGAAAATGATAGGTAGTTATTGTTGTTATTACAAGTATGACAAAATACTCATAAAAAGACATACTAATAAGTAATAGTAGATAATATTTAAGGAAGTAGATCTATTCACTTTTTTATATTTTTTATAATAGCTACCTATTTTTATATTCAAATATCTTTACTTTTTTGTAGGAAAATCAAAAATGCGTTGGTACCTACTACCTAGTTAATATGATAACAAAAAAAAGACCTAAATGTATATATTTTCATGTTTAAAACGAAATCAATCCAGTGGTGCAACGAGTTTTGGGTATCTGGACACCCCTAAATATAAATGTATCTATTTAGGTAGGTACTAATTTAGCCTTCTCTAATACATTTATTATTTCTAAGAAAAGTAGATAAAAATTTAAATTTTTAAATAGGTTGTCATATAAATAGGCACTAAAAGAAAATACAAGGGGGAGATAAAGTTCTTTAATACCCCCCCTCCTTAAATACACCAATGTTTAGAATTTCCCTATGATCTGTGCAGCTAGCACTCCCCAATTACAACCCTCCATTGTGGTCAGTGGCGTAACCAGGATTTGTCGAACTGGAATGTCATATTGTTTACAAATAATCATAAAAAAAAAAAAAACTACACGATTTAATACATTACTTAATATTTAAACACGAATGAAAGGGGGCATCCCGACACCCGAAACAACCTCCGCATTGGATCGATGTTTTTAGTATCGCGGGCTCGGAGTACTTGGACTAGATAGGGATTCGTGACGGGGTGGCACGGACAAAGAGAAAACCGCACAGGGAACGCGCGTGTGTCTCCGGCGTGCCGAGGGTGTGGGGAACCATTGATGATAGGAGTAAATATTTAATCAATGATTAAACGGACATCCGAATACGCGCGCATATTTGTAGCGATGATAAAACATAATAATATAGAAAAATAGCTGATATATTGTGTCTGTAATCGGATAAAATAATATACGTGTAAAAATTGCTATTGCGATGACTCATGACTGAGTCGCGTACGTAATTATAATAATAAATATAATAAGGAGGACATACTTCTCGATGTAGGCCACTGTTATTTTTTCTTTTTTTTTTCTGTAAGTGGAAAATCCGGAAGGTATGTAAATGGTAAGGTAGGTAATTTATATAATGTGTGTGTAGTGAAACGGAGCTCGGTTATCCGAATGCGGGTACATCTTAAAATTTTTAATTAACTTTTTTTTTTTTCAATTTTTCAGTAAAACTGTCGTTACAAGGGAACTCTAGAAATTGCGTTTGCATAAAGCTGCAGGCTACAACTAGCATTGAGCAACCGGGTGGGAATATTTTAAAGTAGGCACGACGTGTGAATCGTATTCGGAGCATTTTTGGTTAGCGAATAAAACACGTCTTATTGAAACATAGAAAGAGAAAAAAAAAAACTATAATAGCGTATATTCTTCGCTACACACTCGGAATCAAAAATAACAAAACGCCGGTGGTGGTTGCGCGACGAAGTGGTGGCGGCGGCGCGGTCGGTGCTGTGCGCGTGCACCGACCGACCGTTGCGGCGGCGGTAGAGACCTGTTGGGGGGCATTGTTCAATACGGCTTCAAGGTCGTTTCCACTACAAACCCGACGAGATTTGGCAATGCCGCTTTTATACGTACGACCGCGACGACACGACCACGACGACCGGCCCCGAGGGAATAAACATAATAATATTTATCATTTTTATTATTATTGCACTTGATAACTCTCATCGCATTCGTTGGTACCTATTACACTTGTGCTTCGTATTTAATATCGGCCGCTGCCGACGGCATTCGCGTAAAATTCGTCATAATATTATTATTGTTATTATTATTATTATTATTATTATTGTAGGTAATCTACACTTAAAATAAATAATAACATTTGTACAATTATATTGTTGTGGCAGTGGTGCGCGTCGTCGTGTGTCCGACGGACAACGACAACAGTACTAGCGGCGCGGCGTAAATCAGCGACCCGTCCGCGAGTTATCATTAACATACCTATTATTATTATTATTATTATCGACGAGAGTCGGTGCTGCGCGCTATCAGTGTTGCGGTGATTGGATTGGTGTTTATTTGTGTGTGCGTGTAAACGCGAGGCGCCGTCTATGCGCTTATCCGTGTCTCGTCAAAGGCTGTTGTAGTTGTCTCGTCCGTTCCGCTTACCGCCGTAGCTCTGAATAATAATCGCCGATAGTCTTCCGATTTCCTGTTCAGTTTCGTCGTTAACATCGGTCGCCGATATTTCCACGGCGTGACACAATTCAGTGTTCAGTTACCTTTATGTTTTGAACGAACGAATCGATACACGATGGAAGCTATTGCCAAACACGACTTCAAAGCAACTGCCCCCGACGAACTAAGCTTCAAAAAAGGCAGCTTACTCAGGGTGAGTCTTATTTTGCGTGACACGGACCTTGGGGTGCTGCCATCGAAAAGCACCCGTCTGTTGTCTGACCGAATCCAATGTTGTTTTTCAGGTGATCAACATGGAAGACGACGTCAATTGGTTTCGCGCTGAGTTCGAAGGCAAAGAAGGACTGATACCTAGCAATTATATCGAAATGAAAAATCACGAGTGAGTGACCGAGAATACCTATTACTGCTGTGTTTGGGGTAACTGATAAAATCTATCCGTTCATTCATTCAGTGGGTAGAAAAAATCTCCCCTTTTAGATAGTACCTAAACTCTGTTAAAAATTGTATACATAATATTAATATTTACTCGTATTTTGTAATTTAGTACAGAATTGTTGTAAATCTATTCAATTGTACTAAATTATACACGTTAATCCCTACATAACTTTAAAGGAAGTGGCTATTTCAACATCTGGTGAAAATTTACTTATTTATGCTCTAATTGGACATATTATTGATATTTGATTTACTTACCTATTTCATAAAAATTTACAAATTGTTTAATATTTTTAATAAGTAGATAGATTTATGAATAAAAAATATTTAAATTGGTGATTTTCCATATTTTCATCTAGAACCAGAGAGTTCAAACAGTTCAAACAGTTCAAAAATAAATGAAAATTTTAATTTATTGATATTTTATATATTTGTTAATAAAGTGTTCTTGTATCTTGCATTAGAATATGCAGCCTTTAGATAAGTATGTTTAGGGTAAACTATGTCAAAGTAAATCTAAAGAATTAAAATTTGACCAAAGGTATACAGTACTTATTATTATAGATTTATAAGGCAATACTTAGGCCTCTTTTTTTTAAAAAATAAAAGATCTAATTATTATTGCACTTATTTATAAAATAAAATATAAAATTAATAACAGTAGTATACAACTTTTTTTATTTTGTTAAAAATCTGTAAGGCAGTAGGGCACATAAATATTCAAATAAGCATCAGATACTGAAATAACTACTTCCATTTTAAACAATTATTTTCTGTGAACAACTTTTCTATCAGAAATTTTGATTTGATTTTAAGTGTATCACTTTTTCTGTTAGAAAATCTAACTGGGGGAGGGGAATTAATTTTTTGATTTTTTTCAGGAATTTTTTAAATGGAAAAAATGAGAAAATTTACAAATTTTTAAATCTTAAATATTACAGCCTTTCAAAACATGTATAACTAAACTGCTCAGAATTGTTTTTTGTTACCAATTGTGTACAGGTATACATTAAATTTCCCCTCTACCTTCCCACCTACATAGAGTGACCTACCCACCTATTGTGTGAAGTATGTCCACTCGTTTTTAAACAATAACTTTACTAATCTATACATTTTAAAATTTAGTATTAATAGTATTAAAAGTTAGATTTTATCTATTTATATTTTTACTTAGTTAAATCCTGCTTAGTTTATAGTAAACTACAGGGACTAAAATTGTGTGTAGTACGACACACTTTGTATAATATGAAATGTTAAGCGTAAACTACGAAGTTAAAAAGTGTGTAGCGACTATATTATAATATTTATTTTTATTCATTTTCAATTTTATATTTTTTTTCACTTTTAATAATTTTTATTGGAGAAAAAAGTTGTAAAATGTGTCTTTATTAAAATTATTAAAGTGGATCTGTAAAGCATTGTCTGTTATTATATAATTACATAATTCAAAGATAATACAAGGCATGAAATAGATTACAGGTACCTACTTTCATTATCAATGTTTAAATTTTAGATAATATTTTATTATTATATTTATGATGAGTTAATTGTATTAGTTATGTATTTTTCAAAATTGTTTTGAATAAGTTGATAAAAAAAAAAAACTAATTTTCTAATTTAGTCTCACTGAGCAAATCTAAAATAATGTCTTTAACATGTTAAACGCCAACGTCAATGCGTCGTTGATACGACTAAACGGGTGCCCATAGCCGGTGTCAACACGTTGTTGACACACAATAACCTGTCTGTTATTGTGACTTTGTGAAGCTGACTATAGCCGTACACATTTGAAATTTTAGTCGGCCATTCATTAGCGTATTGTTTATTACGCGGAGCAGATGGTTTCGATTTTTCGTCTATTTTATATTTTATTTACAATTTACACTTTTATATGAAATAAAAATGAATAAAAGGTAAGTTTTATTTTTATTTTACATAAATTCTTACATTACTTTTACATTTGGATAGTTATATTATAATATACCTACTTATACATAATAATCTTTATACAGTAGATATATATAATCATAATATATACAAATTTATATAATTTTTTTTTTTAAAAAATTAATTTTTCTCAATTTTCAGAGTTTATTTACAATTATAAATTATAATTATATATTATCGATAAATACTTATGATCTTCAGTCGTATAAATACATAAAATGTAAAATATTATCTAATTTGAATATTTTTTTTTAAGAAAAATGGGCAACCCTGCAATGACCGACGAAGAATTATTACGTATGTTGGAAAATTCAGATGATGATTTCGGCTTAAGTTCTGGTACTGATTTAGGGGAAAGGGATTCTGGTGATGATGATGTCGATCCAGAATGGTCACTTCCAATAGTACAACCCAAAGAGAATAATCAGATAATATCAGATGTACCTATTATTTCTACATCAGGTTATACGTGGAGTAATAGACAACCTATAGTGACACGTATCCCTTTTTCAAAATCCAGAGGATTGAAGATTTTAACACAAGTAAATGAGCCGATTGATTATTTTAATCTATTATTCGACGATAGACTTATCGAGTTGATAGTTAATGAAACCAATAAAAATGCAGTTCAAGTTTTTTTATCTGGATCTGGAGGTTTATCATCTCAAATTACGGCGTGGAAAGATACAAATATACAAGAAATAAAATTGTTTATAGGTTTACTGTTTCATACAGGATCTATACGACTCAATCGGTTGGAAGATTATTGGAAGACAAGTGAATTATTCAATATAAATTTTTTTCGACAATATATGAGTAGAAATCGTTTTATGTTAATTTTAAGAAATTTACATTTTGTTGGCAATGAAAATTATGACAATAATCGCCTGAATAAAATTGAACCAATAGTAACTTATTCCAATAATATAATAATGTATATAGTGTTATAATTGTACAAATTGAATAATTTTGAGGTAAAAATATATTTTCATTTTTTTGTTTTAAATATTTTGAAAGTATAATAATAGTTATTTGAAAATAAAAAGCCCATGGCCGGTGTCAACGCGGTATTGACACCCACAAATTATACCAATTATACGCGCGGCTACAGGCCCCCGCATGTCGATCGACGGCAGCGATGGGCGCGCGCACGTCGAATCGACGTTGGCGTTTAACGTGTTAAAATAGTTAGGCTCTATATTAATTTAAAATCCAGTCTTTAAAAAAAAAAAAAAAAATCTTTCCTATATAATAATGGAAATGGGCACAGCCACTGTTATAGGTAATTTAATGTATACCTATAAACAATAATAAACCATTACTAACAAAAAACGATTCTGAGCGGAGTTCAGTTGATAGTGATGCTTTGTTAACAATATGTATGACATAATATGGTAAAATAATTAAATAAGTATTATATGTGTTCTTTAATAATATTTGTTTAATGTTGTATCGTTTTTCCTGGTTTTCCCAGTTTTCATATTTATTGTGGAAAATCCTGTGAAAAAATGACCTCCCTAATGTACTTTCCCACATCTATTTATTTTCAGAAAAGGTGTTACACTTAAAAATCGGATCAACATTTCTGGTAGAAAAGTTGAACACAAATTAAAAATAATTAATAATAAACATTCTTGTTAACCATAAGCTTCTTCGCTCCACTCAGAATCTAGAAAGGCTATTTATCCTTATATGATAATACATAAAGGAAAATGTAAATTAAGATTAATTCGCAAGCGATTATTATTTTGGTGATATGCTAATTAAATTCCCCCCCCCCATCAAAAACTAAAATGATTCCATTGGGAAAAGAGGGTTGATGATACCTATGATATAGTATGTTTTGATATAATGTATGCAGTACAAAAATGTATATATTTTAGCCTCTAGTAAACTAAAAATAAAATTACTAAAAATATTGAAATGTCCACTTGTAGATAAATAAAGAGATTTTGTCTAAATGAAAAAAAAAAATAAGAGATTAGTCTTATTATATAGTAGCTGCATCATAATTATTGTTAACTACTATAAGCTATCTATTTGGAATGTGTAATTAACATTATTTCTCATTTATATTATATGTGATTGCAGTTGGTATTATGGAAAAATCACCCGAGCGGACGCAGAAAAATTATTAGACCAACAACCTGAAGGTTGTTTTCTGGTAAGAATAAGTGAGAGCTCCCCGGGAGACTTTTCGCTATCAGTTAAGTGAGTAAAACAAATTTCATTGTACAATTATATATTTTTATAAATATTTAGTGTAGATATGACCTTGAATTCATAATTTATTATTAAATATTTAATAATAGATGTGGTGATGGTGTTCAACATTTCAAAGTTTTAAGAGATGCACAGGCAAAATTTTTCTTGTGGGTTGTGAAATTTGATAGCCTAAATGAGCTAGTAGATTATCATCGGGAATCATCTGTGTCCCGTTCACAAGATGTAAGACTTAGAGATATGCCAGCAGCAACTCAAAATGGATTTAACCAAAAACCGGTATTTTATTATCTATGCTAAAAATGTGAAATGATATTAACAAAGTTAAATAATAAATAATAAGTATATTATGCTTTTATAGACACTGGTAATTGGAATGTATGATTTCACACCTCAAGAAGAAGGAGAATTGGCATTCAAACGAGGAGACGTGATAACTGTAACAAACCGCACTGATGTAAATTGGTGGCGAGGTGAGATTGGAACTAGAGAAGGATTATTCCCAGCAGCGTACGTCTCCCCTTATCATGCCCCTTAATCTGTAGGTGTTTTTATAATATGTGTGGAATGTATTTTACTACTGTAAAAGATATGTGACCATGATATAGACTTAACAATTTTAGGTTTTTCAGTCAGAATCGGATAAATTATTGCAATAAAAATATTTAAAAAAAGTCAAATTATTGTTTAAATTATTTAAACAATTTTTAGGTTGTTTAGGTTTCCAAATTTTGTTACTAAATACTTCATTGATATATTAACTTGGTATTTTTTTTTTATTTTTGCTTAACCATTAATTTTTTTTTGTTATTATATATGAAGTTAATACATATGAATCAAAATTATAATATGTTACCTACCATCCTACCTAACAATTATTTTAAAATTGTCATAAAACGTACTAGTTCTTACTATTAGCAATAAAAATACGCTCCACTATTTGACACTTAAAAACCTCTAAGTTTGAGACTTTTCATATTAGTAATTAGATAAATGTTAATGATTTTTTTTTTTTAACCTTTTGGTATTTGTAACTTTGATTTACAAGTATATGTATGAGTTTTTTGCTCACTTGCTTGAAGTAAAAATTTATAACAAATATCGCTTTCATAATCTGCTATTTTTTTTCATAATTATCTTTTAGTTCAGCATATTATGTTAAATTATTTTAACAATTATTATAACATTTAATAATGGATCATTAAACTCAAATTCTGGGTTTATTATTTATTAAACTTTGATTTATTGCAATATCTTTTTTTTCAAACACCATTAGACGTATATTGGTGAAGCAATTTTAAGCAATCTAGGTACTAGTTTAATGAACAAACTGTTTTGGCGACATAGTTAACAGTAATTGTTTGATAGCTGAATGCACTTTTCGGCAACCATGTTGCCGAAATCAGCTAACAATTGAAAACTACGTTTACAGTTTTCGGTTACTATTAATCTACTGATAAGGACTATCATTCAATCATTCTATCCATTTTCTATAACTAAAACAAATTATACAGCAAACAAAACGTTTTAGCAATTAACCGACCAAGTAGCATACAACATAGCAAACTGTTTACTGAAAGTTGCATCGCCAAAATACGCCTATTTATTGTAAAATTCATAAGTTTGTATGAAAATGAAATTTAGTAAAAACTCTAATATTGATTTTAAGGTAGTAGTAAGTAATTTGTTTTTCATACTTTATGACCAATAAGCTATAGTAAAATGAACATACCAGTAGTCTGATTTCTGATTTGAAAATGATTTGACTTTGTACACTACTTGTAGTTGGTATGGACAATATTTTAATTTTTTTTTTTTTGTTTCTCTTTAGTAAAACCTAACTAAAATAAAATAAAAATATATAAACCTATCATGCATTTTAATAAATTAACTAAATAATAACAAATAAAATATGTTTTCTACAAAACAAGACAAGAAATCAAATATATTTTTAAAGTTAAAATTGGTTTATAGCTTAATATGCATAGATAAAAATGGCCATACCACATCCCCATACATTGGTAGGTATCAGGCAATAGATTAAATGAAATGTCTTTCATTAAGGTGGTCATAAAAGGTAAAAAAAAAATGTTTAAATTTAGAAAATTGGAGTAAGTTTATACAATTATTTCCAATCCCCTTATTAATAAATACATTTGTTGGCCACATATTTTGTAAATTATATGTTATCATTGGGGTAGATTTCATTTTTAACATTTGTGTATACTATTATATTTAAATTAGACCTATTGAATTTAGTACAAGTTGAATGAATCTTGATGTTTTGTTTTTTTTTTTTTTTTTTTACCATTTATACTCTCAATTCTTTATGGAGTTTAATTTAAAATATGTTATATGAACTCTATTTTTTAATAATTTGCATTTAATTAAGGAAATGTTTTTTATTAAATGTATTTCCATGTTAATGTTTTATTTTTAAGTTGAATATACATATGTATAACGACATTTAGCAACGCAAACAATTTTAATTGATTTTTTTAAATGAAATTTAAAAAAATCGCTCAATTATTTTACTTATGACATACAATTATTTTTTCTATGATTGATAAACTTGACCCCTTACTTTCAATCGATTATTATTTTGTACTTAACAATTTTTCAGTCATATCGAACAAATTATTTAATTTTAAATTTTAAAATTAAACCATACAATGTCAATTTGTGATATATAATATTAAAATTCCTTAGTCTTATCTAACTACATTTATCATATTTCTTATGTTATAGTCTGTCAAGATTTTTATTTTCACCAATTTTTCAATGTATTAAATATGAATCTTCCCGATTTATTTATATGAAGTAAAACTCCATTGTTGTTTGTTAAGTATCTACTCGTATGAATATTATATTCGTATTCAATAACATTATAATATAATGTTATTTTCTCATTTTATTCTTTTGCAATAGGTACTTATTTATATTTTATTATAAATATGCGTACAATTGTGACCGTAAAATGTCTTAGTCATAATAAATTGAAGACTTATGTAGTCGAAAATAGTTGAATAATGTCTATAAAGCCTTTATTAATCTATTATACTATACGATTTTATATTTTAAGTAACTAATAAGTCAATCTTGTCGTATCTTATGCATACTATAGATTAAATTTAAAATGTTTTTGTGCCACATTTAATATTATATTATTTGTATTGTAAATAGTTATGCTGCAATAGTTTATAAATAATTATTATACCTACTTAAATAATTTTTTTTTTCAATATTACCTTTAATATCTATTATCTGTTAAATATTTTATTGATAATATGAGTTATAAATAATTATTATCAGTAACAATATAGTATTCAATAATTATAAAGCAAATTTATCTCAAAGTTGTTTTATACCTTTTTTTAATATATTAGTCCTATTTGTACCTTTTCATTAAATAATTTAATTGAAGTTTACATAATAAAATATAAAGGAATATAGTTATAGTTAAGCTATCCTAATGAAATTAAATTTGATTTTAAATAAGTTCATTCATTATTATTTATTTTTGCATATGCTAATGAACATAATGAGTATTATATTATAATATAATAGGTAATAAGCAACAGAGCAGCTTAGAGTAAGTTTTAGTGTTGGTCATACCCAAAGTTGATATTAAAAAAATTAAGATAATCGTCACTCAGTATGATGTTTCTGATAGTATCACAATTAAAGGGATTAAAATAATTAATAACAATTTTTATAATTAATCGAATTTTCTTTTGAAAAATACTCTATTATAATAAAACGATATCGAATTATTTAAGTACGACCGTTTTATTGTATCGTATCAAAATAAAATTTAAGTAATCGTTATTATTGTTGGCACATCCTAGTTGGATCCTGGGTTTATGTGAGTAGTTTACTAGTCGTCTATTACCGTAATATTAATATAATAGTTTAAATGTTTGGAAAAATAAAACACATTATATCCATCTTAATATCTACTGGTTGATAGAATTTTTAAAAAGTACCTGAATAGATCCTTACATTAAAAAGAGGAGTTCAGAAAAAACCAAAATGAAAATGTATTTTATAAAAAGAAAAAATGTATAAGGGACTAAATAAAAAATCACTGACAAAATAGATCCTAAATATGTAAGAAAAAACCCAGACTAGTATATTACGAGCTACTGAAAGCCGGACCCAACCGCTATTATACCTATCTGGTAGTGATACTTTTTGATAGGTAAACCTCATGAGATGCAAGAAGATGCCTTGCAGATGATATAGCTTTAATAGGAATATAGAATAAATTAACAGAGAATTAAATAGGAATGGAGAGTATTACTTGAAGAAAGGGAACTAAGGATAAGTAGAAATAAACAGAGTATGAGTTTGGAAGAACAAGACAAGACAGCTATCCAGGGGCGTCTCTAGACCATGATTATAGGGGGGGAGGATAATTAAATCTAATATAAATAATTGATAAAAAAAAAAAGACAGACATGCTTCGAACGATAGGTGAACCACTGTTAGAGATATGAAATTGGGAAGGTAGAATATTGAGGAAAATTTAATGTATCTGTACTTAAGCAAATTTAAGCATTGAAAATAAAAAACAATTCTGAGCGAAACTCAATAAAAAAAGAAATAGTATTTCTAAGGTCAATTTTATGGGATGGGAGGGGGGGGTGAACAATTTTTACTCTTGAATACCATCACTTTGGTCAACAAAAACTTAAAACTTTTATGTCTAATGTCATTTCAACTTATGTTAGCTTAGAATACTGTAAATATATTGTACAAATGCAGTAAAACAGAACAATTTAAAAGTCAAATTAATTTGTTTCACATTAAATAAATAATAATTAAAATAATGATAATATAAATAAAAAAAAAAATAATAATAATTAATAAAAGTTAGATGACCAAGTCCAAAATATTTTTATTTTAAGCAGCGTTTTGCAAGTTATATAGAAATTTTTACAACATATAATATCAGAACTTAAAAAAAACTATAATTTCGAAACTTAGTTAATCCGCTTAATTCTGACTTCACCATCGTTTTTAAATAGGTTTCAAAAAAAAAAAAAAATTGAAAAATTAGATTTATTCCACATAATTTGTTCGCCAAAATTCGCCAAAATTCCCTAATAAAAAATATTACATTGAACTCAATTTTTTTTTTACCACAAATTAAGACTCTTAATGAACCTCCTTTTCAATTTTCAAGCATTTCTGTTAAGTTTAACAATTTTAGTATAGAGTACTTATTGAATAAAAATTACGTATAAAACACGTCAAATTAAAATGTCTATCAATGGCTCAAAAATAGCTTAAATAATTTAAAAATTTTACTACCTCTATAAAACGAAAATTTTAGTTTTCTGTCCAAATTTTAAGTCCTTAGAGTTAATACGAATATTTGTAATTGAATTTCAATAAATAGCAAAATCGAAAATAATAAATGCATTATTTTCGTAAGTTTTCCCGTTTTTCTTATGTTTTATACTGGGTTTTCCTGATAACATAAAAACTGCTTGGAAAATCAAAAAACCTTCCTAAAATACCATCTATTTAATATGACAATATTTTCTCCAAAAAGAACACCATACGGTTTATGGAGGGGGAGCGATCGCCCCCTCCACTCAAGAACGCACCTGTAGCAACCCACAATAAGTGGTTATAGGCGAGTTCAAGAGTTCTAAGTAGGTAGGTAGAAACCTACATATCTAGGATATTTTGTAGAAAAAAATGGTGGCCTTCATGAGAACGTGAAACATAGAATTAAGTGTGATTTGATAAAGTGGACATAAACGACGGATGTTTTATGTGACAAGAGCAATCCAATAAGACTTAAAGTTTATTTCTATAAAAGTTTGGTGAGACTAACTATAATATATGGTTTGGAATATTGGAAGGTAGACAGAAAAATAAAACAGTGTATTAGTGTAGCAGGAATGAAAATACATAGGTGGATGAGTGGAGTGACGAAAGAGTATAAGATAAGGGAAAAGTACCTAAGTACATAAGAGGCAACTTAGGCATGGTTAGAAATATAGTGATAATTGTAATGAAAATAAACGTAGAAGGAAAGAAGTGGAAGGAAGACCGAAAAAGAGGTGATTAGATGAAATTGAGAATGGTAATATAAGAACAACCGATGTATGCAAGGTGAGAGATCAGATCAAGTGGAAATTGAAAATGAGGGTTGCCGAATCCAACTAATTGGGATGAAAACGATGGAGAAAGAAGACATTTTCTAGTTTTTTACATAATTTTTCTTTGGCAGGTACCACCTAGGTACTATGTGGATAAAATTGTTAGATCAAACAGAAATGATTAAAAATTTAACAAGTTGTTCGTTATAAGTTGTACTTAGTGGTCAAAACAAACATTTTTATACAAATTTTGACGAAAATAGTAAATATTGCGACTGTCGCTCAGTGGTCCAAAAAACTAAAAACCCAGCTTTTTTTGATAAAACGCATAATTTTGTGTCACAGTAATAATTTAAAAAAAAAAATTAATTTATAGAACATTTTTAAGCAGTTTAGCTTAACTTAAAGTTTATGGTTTTACAAATATGTTTATTTTTTTTTTTCTATGGACAACTTTTTAACCTTATCTTAAATAAGTAGTGAAATCGGAATTGCAAGAAGGAAAATTGCGGGCTTATACGTCATTAAATCATGGAGTAAAGCAATGTTTATTTATTTATCCATGAATTCTCCAACTTTAGGGGAAAACGATCGAAGTCGATCATATCTAGATAACTGCACTGTGATTATTTCATAACAAAACATTAAATTATATAGTCTTTATATTATCGAAGCGTATAAAATAAGTGAAATTACGGCTAACTAGATGAATTATGTAGAAATTACAAAACACCACCGTAGTATATTTGCACGCATAATTATTCATCGTCTGTGATAAAAAAAAAATAATAATTATAACAAAATAGTGAGGAGAAAAGAGTATTATTCATAATGTGTTCATTTTTTACGTAGTAAAACATTTTTTATACGCCAAATACTTTTTAATTTGTTAAGTGTACTCTGATCAAAATTATTAACAATTAAATATGTTAGGCTCTTCGGGTAGCAGACGAATTGGAGGATCCACCAAGATCCGCTTAACTGGTAAGTTTTGAAATAATAATTTATTGGATAAAATAATTTAAACTTACAATTTTTGTATACCTGGCTTAGTAAATTACTTTTTCGTATCTTTTATTATTCATTGTACTTGTTCGTATATTTTTACATTATGGTTAATTATCTAATAGTCAATAGATTTATATCTACTGTGCACTTAAATGGTATTACTTATTTAATTCTAAAATAAAAGATAAGTAAGTCATTCAAAGTTATTTATGGTATAGATATATTAAATTTCATCGAGATTTGATATGTGTTAAATCTTATAGAACTATTAAAGTAACCTATAAATATTAATACCCATCATAATTTAAATGCCATTTTGTGTTATTTTATGATTGTTATTTGTTTTAGTGCTCTGTGCTCAGAATTTGTTAAAAAAAGATTTATTCCGTAAGTTTAATTACAATTTACTTCATTTTTTTTGACACTATTTACCTATACAACATAGATAGTTAATTTATTTGTTAACAATATAATAGGTTTACCACCAGATGCATTTGCAAAAATTAGTGTTGATGGTTCTGGACAATGTTATACAACAGAAACATGTAAAACAACATGTGACCCTCAATGGAATCAACATTATGATTTGTAAGTTAAATAAATAATTACATAGATAGATTGATAGATTTTATTGTTATTTCATAATAATAATTACAATTCAAAAACAAAAATAATAATAATAAAAAGTGAAAAAGTTTGTCTCCAAAGCCTGAGCTTGTGGAGAAACTCATAATGTTTTTTAAATTTATATTTAGTTATCATTACCATTTACAAATTTAAAATTAAAATGATACCAACGTGGTATACAATTAAATGTTAAAAATAAAATACAAATTATAAGATGTTTATTGTAATTACATATGTATACTATTAAAGTTAATTGTAGTAAAAACAGTTACGTATGATAGTTAAACAATTTATATTTATAATAGATATTTGAGCAAAGGTGATCACATAACAATTACACTGTGGAATCATAAGAAAATACATAAAAATATTCAAAAACCGGCAAGTGGTTTTCTTGGTTGTGTACGGTTATCATGGAATCAAATTCAGAGATATAAAGATACGGGTTGTAAGTACAAATTTATAAGTTTAATTTAATACATTAAATGTTATTGTTAAGATTAAACATCATTAAATTGAATTAACTTACAGATCAGAAATTAGATTTAATTAAATTAAATCCAGATGATCCAGTGCCTATTAGGGGTCAGTTGGTTTTTTCTTTATTATCTCAAGATGGAACTACAGGGACAGTACCATCCCAACAACCATCACCATTGCCAGATGGATGGGAGGAAAGAAAAACAGAAAATGGTCGATTATATTATGTAAATCACAAAACAAAGACTACTCAATGGGTAAAACCCACAAAGTATGTTAATGAACAACTATTTGATTAATTTATAAATTATTTACCTCTATTTAGATTAATCTTTTAAACAAGAATTTTTAAAACTATAACTTGTTAGTTATCCCACAAAGCTTTTCTCGTGTATTGAATAAAAAATATTTTACCACATATTTTGAGTAAAAATTTATCTGGTTAATATTTTTAACATAAAATTAATTTAATTTAATTATATTATTTTATATTTATATACATTTATTTTATCCAATAATGTCTATATATTATATTTAGGACCTATATAAAGGTACAGCATTCAGCTAATACAAATAACAATATACTGTTGGGTATTGAGGAGGGAGATTATATAAATCAGGATAATCTATAACAGAGGTATAATAATACACAGGGAAATAATTTTCTAGAATAATAAAAACCTATAGTTCCCAATCTAACATGGCTTGCCAATTTAAATGCAAACTCATGTTGGACTTTTAATTTAAAATAAACCTCAATTTATTGGGTAGGTTAAGTTAGGTTAGGTTACCTATCGGGTAGGTAATAGGAGAAAAATTTGTGACCAACTTTTCTACCAAAAATCTCTCCAATTTTCAAGTGTAGTACCTTTTCTTAAAAGAAATTTTACTTCAGTGTTACTAAAGAGGTCATTTTTTGATTTTCCAGGTGATTTCCTAATAAATGAGAAAAAATGGGAAAATGTACGAAATATTTTATTTTCAAATTGTAAATGTTATGGCCTATCAAAACATGTATAACCCAAATTCCGCTCAGAATCTTTTTTCATTAGTAATGATTAATCTATGCGCACAAATATACATAAAAATTCCCCTCTACCATACAAATAACATTAAATGCTTATCACTTCAAATACTTATAATGCCAATTAGTGTCTGTAGGCAATTAGCGTGTTAATAACTATGTATCTTACTATTTCATCTTCTCACTTACAACATTTACTATATTTTTTTAACTAAACTATGTATCTAAAATTATAAACTTTTTTGTATTCATTAAAATGATAAATTATTAATTTAACTGTACAATACAAATTTTTATTTTTACTTAGGTAACTTAGAAATTTAAAAATACATTTTTTATTCATTATTAATAAAACATGTTTAAAACTTTATATTCAGATCTCATTCAAAAGTTGCTGCTGGTAGTAGTAGTCCTCGTCCACCTGCACCAATCCCTACAAATGATACGATTGTACAAAATGAATCTGATGTGATAAATAATAATAATGATGGTAGTGGTAGTGCATTAACTTCTCAAACGTAAGTTACCTAACTACTTAAGTCTAATTAAAAAATATATTATAATAACAAAAATGTTTAGGTATAGGAATTCTAGCAATCGAACATCTCTCAGTTCTACTAGAAATGCATCATCTCATAGTTCCTCAGTTCAACAACCACAAGACTTGCCCTCTGGTTATGGTTAAAAACAACAATACTTATATAATACTATAATACACATCTAATCAAAAAAATTAAATATTTTCTACAGAAATAAGAACTACTCCTCAAGGACAAATTTATTTTTATCACACTCCGACTGGTTTAAGTACATGGCATGATCCAAGGATTCCAAGGAATATCAGTGAATCCCCAGGACTGTTACTTGGCCCTTTGCCTGCTGGTTGGGAAATGCGTCAAACATCTAGTGGTCGCTATTATTATGTAGATCATAATAACAGAACTACTACTTTTTCAGATCCTAGACTTTCAACTGCAGTCATAGCTAATTTTTTGCAGTAAGACAATCTAAAATAACATACCATTATTCAATTTTGATTCATATTTATTTCCAATATTTTAGGAAACAAAATGATCAAAGTTCATCAACAAATGAACAAAATTCAACGAACAATAAAGAAAACACTAGAGTACCACTACCAAATTCTAGTGAAACATCATCGAGCCAACATAGAATTCAAGCTCGTTCAAGTTTTGATGGGCCTCAAAGCATTGAGACTGATTCCGAATGTTTACCTAAATACAAACGTGACTTGGTAGCTAAACAAAAGATTTTACGTACTGAACTAGCTGCCTTACAGCCTCAAACTGGACACATGCGATTGGAAGTTTCAAGATCTGAAATATTTGAAGTATAAAATTTTTTGTATTTGATTTTTTGATAAGTTGTAATAAAATATGTTTTTAGGAGTCATATAGAGCAGTGATGAAGATGCGACCCAAAGATCTTCGAAAACGGTTAATGGTTAAGTTCCGTAGTGAAGAAGGTCTGGATTATGGCGGTATAGCAAGAGAATGGTTGTACTTATTATCCCACGAGATGCTTAATCCGCAATATGGGTTATTTCAATATTCCAGGGAAGACAATTATACATTGCAAATAAATCCCGATAGTTCAATTAATCCAGTATGTTTTATTAATCATTATGTTTTATTGGCTATTTAACTAAAATATAATTTTTAATTTTTAGGAACATTTATCTTATTTTCATTTTGTTGGTCGTATAATTGGAATTGCCATTTTTCATGGACATTATATTGATGGTGGATTTACGACACCTTTTTATAAAATGTTACTTAATAAACCAATTACTCTGGAAGATATAGAAGGAGTGGATCCTGAATTGCACCGTAGTCTTACATACATATTGTAATTTATATAATTAATTAACTAAAACTAGGAAATTATGTAATTTAATATATTAAGACATTATTTTCTTTCCTTTTTTTTTTCTATAGAGAAAATAAACTCGAAAAAGATATAATTGATACTAATTTCGCAGTCGAACAAAGTAGTTTTGGTTTATTGAAATTACATGAGCTCAAAACTGGTGGTCGAAATATACAACTAACAGAAGATAATAAAAAAGAATATGTCAAGTATGTTTATAATTCATGGTTTATTTATGTGTTTAATTATTGTATTATTTTTATATTGTTGTTTTATGTAGATTATACGTGACATATAGATTTATGAGAGGTATTGAACAACAGTTTTTAGCATTACAAAAAGGATTAACTGAAGTAGTTCCCGGAACCTTACTCAAGCCTTTTGATGAACGTGAAATCGAATTAATCATCAGTGGTATTGGTACTATAGATATTGAAGATTGGAAGCGTAACACTAGACTTAAAGTGATTATCAATTTTACTATCAATTAACATTGGCTTAGTTTGTTTGCAAGTAATATACAGTCGGATTTTTTTTTTTTTTACTTGATTTATAGGTACATTTAATTATCCTCTATACAGGGTGTTCTACAGTGTTATCCTTTTGCTAATAATTTTGTCAATATTTATTTTTATTTTTTCATTCGTATTTTGTATGGAGAAATATTAAATTTTTATTTTAGTAATGTTAATATGAATACTGTTTAATTAGTTCAATGTTTGTTTTGTTATGTGTAAATAATTATTTAATAATATGGGAATAATTATTGTGTTAATGGTTCACTCTTGCCTGCTTTGTAATTTGTATATTATGATGTAAATTTATTTCCCTAAGGTTTAAATCATACTAATGATAAATAATCTTCAAAACAATAAGAATGAACATTTTTGTTTTATTTTTTATTATACATAGCATTGTTCACCTGATATGTCTGTTGTGAAATGGTTTTGGGAAATTATTGAACAAAATTATAGCCAAGAAATGCGTCTTAGATTATTACAGTTTGTCACTGGCAGTTCTAGAGTTCCTCTACAAGGATTCAAGGCACTTCAAGGTAACTTACTTATTTGATATTTCACAAAGAAAACATTTATAAAAGACTTGACTTTGTCTAAAACTTTTGTAGGATCTACTGGAGCAGCTGGTCCTCGTTTATTCACTATACACTTGACTGATGTACCAACAGATAATCTGCCAAAAGCACACACATGCTTTAATCGCCTCGATTTGCCAAAATATGAGAGTAAACAAAAATTACTCGATAAACTCAGCCAAGCAGTTGAAGAAACTTGTGGTTTTACAGTTGAATAGGTAATAATAATAATTATTACTTTGCATTTAACTTACCAACATACATTATTATTTGTTTAAAATATGATTAGCATCACTTGTATTATTTTTTTGTTTATAGAATTTTTATTTGAAATTAATTTTATATTTACACATTATTAATTATTATATGTTTATGCATATTTTTTTATTTTTTTTTTTTTCGCGGACAAAATATTAGAATTAATTGGAAAACTGTTATTAATTGTGATAGTTTTAATTTAGTTATTATAATAATGTGCAATAAAACAGGGTAAAATACTGTTAGGGACTTTGGAACAAATTAACTAACTAAATTTTTCTATTTATTATAATTGTGTAATAGTAAGTGATGTTATAAACTTCTTTAATTCTTAAAATTAATATCATTGAAAATAATTTTTTTTCGTCACAATTCAAAATAAATGTAAAAAACTACATTATTCAGACATCTAATTTTATGACTTGATAATTTATAAATATAAATTTAAATTTTATAAATATTTCAATATAATATCTAGTACACACTTTAAGAGTAAACCACGATAAATTGCAATGAATATTTATATCATTCTTCAACAAAATTGGCTAGATTTATTAAATAGTTTATAACATCACTTTTTTTTGTTAATTTAAGTCTGTAGTATACGCTGGTTCTAAATCTGGCTATTCAATGAAGTGTCCTCTTATTTAACTTTTATAAATAATAAATAATTATTTATTTATTAAAAATGTTATAAAAAAAATATAGTTTTCACTAAAAACAATCAATTGTCTTCCAAAGTTATCAAGATATTATAAACTGCCCAATTATGACAATCCTTGTTCATTAAAATTATCTTGTATAGTATTATTATAATAATAGTATTATCTTAAGTTATATTGCTCACTTACTGAAATTGAGTATAATAAAATGAATTAGGCAAATTGGATGTCAATAAATTTTTTGTGCATTATTGATTTAAATCATTGTATTAAAATCACCATACAGGTTCATGAACCTGAAATTTTTTAGTGATTGACGAAGAATCAGTATTTTACAATTTAGTACCCTTTTGTTAGGCAAGTGTTTTTTATTAAAATATTAAAACAGTCAGTATGCAGTAGTTGCAATTTGTTACCAACACTGTAAACAAAATAATATTATAACTGATTTTTTCCGATGATCTCTAGAAATTTTTATTGTTATAAATATTTTATTTAATTCAATAACATAAAAATGGTTAATCTCATAATATATTATTTTATTATAATTATAATTTATTATATATGTAGATATACACGTAGTGATAAGAAACTCAAGAAATTATATTTTTGTAAAAAGTAATATAGACCTAAATACTGTTATTTGCACACATTAAAATTAATGAATTATAAGAAAAAATATGAATAAAATTACCGTCCCTTATAATTTTTTATATATATGTATACAACAATATTATACATTTATACTGAACTATATCTTTGTTTATTTACCTATAAGTAACATCATAATATAATACACTGTTTTTCTTCCACTTGTTATAGTGTTATATTGTACTGAAAATAAAGTAATATGATACTTCTTTGTTTTTTTTTTTTTATTATTATTTAATCCTCATATATGTTAATATTTAAAGCAGCTAATAAGGTTTTAAAAAATTGTATCAAAAATAAAAAATAATAATTTTTATTTGAAAAAAAATTACAAACAGATGAAAATCTTTTGGTATTTTACAAAATGATTATATTAATAGTTTTCAATAATGTAATTACTGTTATATTGACAATTACATTAAAAGGGATCAGACTTTGGTTGTTTTTTCCAAAACTTTCTTACATCATCATGGCCATCTGTGCTGACAACTATGTTTCGTCTTCTTTCATCACACCACACCAATGCCCCAATCTCTGCAGCATAATTTTTAATTGTTTCGTAATCATTTGGTGTGTTAATATTACTATATAAAACACCATCTGTGTATGTTAATCGATTTCTTTCATTTTCCCACAGATAAATTTGATCAATAACGGTCTGTGGCATACCTCCCTCTTGCATTTGTGGATGTGTATGCACAGAAAGAAATCTAACTATCTGTGCGGCTGTAATTCCACTACGTAATGCTGTTCGTACTGAATCTCTTGTCAGTATACCAGCAGACATGTTTGGAAATCTAAAATATTAAAATAAAATAATAGATATATTTGTGTAAACTATCATTATAATTTATAAATTATTACCTGTAAAGCATATGTGTAAATAATGCAACCAAAGCGACTTTCAGATCAGAATCAGTCATAGCATAAATTCGAAAATTAGTTTCCACAATAATATAACGTTCCTTATTTTTCATACGCTCTGAAGTACGACTGTTTCCCTGCCCCATTTCAATTACTAAGCGAGTAGGATAAAAGCGTCCTGCTTTACGTTTTCTTTGGTATACCAGTCCAAATTCTCGAAGATGTTGTAAAAATGCTTGAAGATTTTCAGACATTTCATCAGTTATATAATCCCATCCTAAAGTCCCAAGATGTATTTGAAAGAGGAACGTCAAACATTGAGCCAGATCCAAACCTCTTGATTCCACAGTTTCCATATAACGGAGCATAAAGTACCATACTTGTGTAGCCATATCTAGTAGAAGAAATTGAAACCCAGTTGATGTAATTATTGGACTATCATCTGTGTCTCTGACCTAAAATATAAATGATATATTTTTTTTAATTAATAGGTGCACATGTATTATAATAAATAATACATTTTAGGTATAATAAAAATAATTTAATTCAATTTACTAACCATGAGACCAGCGTTTAGTAAAACTCTAACTGCATCATTTGATATACCTTCATGTTTAGAACCAACCATATAGTGCAGTATGCATTCCCACCGTTCATAGGCATATGCATCTAAAAAGTCTATATCTCGTGCTTTTGGGTCGGCAGCCACATCACTGTTAGATACCGTCGAACGTCCACCACCCATTAACGCTACTTTAAGTTTTTTTTTGAATGTAGAATTCAGAATCCATCCTTTAAGGCCTCCGGATACCCCTGTTAATTTCCATATGTGCAAATTGGTGGCTACTTCTATGGATTCTTCGAGTTCGCGGGAATAATTTGCAGGTACCCAGGACGAGAGAACAGATTGTGGCACCGGCTGTTCAATGAACAAAATACGTAACGTGAATTGCTGAGCAATGTCAGGTAACACTCTAAAAACCGTTAAGCAGGTCGGCGGATGGCTATAGAGCCGATCTTGAACGGCTTCCGGAAGTTTTATGAGATATTCATACAGAGTAAGTACTTTAAGTATTTTAGATCCTTCGTCTTTACGTGAACTCTTACGTTTCTCCTTACTAGAGCTGGGATCTTTAGACATAACTGCAGAATATGATTTTTTATATTTACCTTACATTAAAGAATATTAACATTGTTTATTTGTTGTTCGATCTGTAAATAGTTCTATTAGAAATAAAAATTATAATTCATAAAATCAAAAGAAAAACAATTTCAAACACGATTAAAGATAATATGATTGTGTCTATGATAGTGTAACCTTGACGGCTAAAAAGGCGGCTATGAAAGTGCCTACGGAAAATATAATTATAAAGTGCTGCTCTCTAGCGTATGATATAAGTGAATACCATTTAAATTAACTATGCTATAAATGGGATCTATCGCATACAAATGAGTAAAAAAGCCTCAGAAATTGTTACATAATTACATACGTTAACTATTAACTCTTAAAATCTTTCCCGAAGAGAACAAATATATAAAAATCCAAATTAAAATTTCGTACCTACAGATTTTTTTTTTTTGTTATAATGGATTTTATCTACAGAACAATTTTATTATAGTAAATTATGTAGTATGGAACAAGTTTATAATTTTATAATTTTATTAATCTTACTATGGGTATTCTTAGAATTGCATCTCGTATGTGTCTAAAATTATTTAAATTAGTTAAACCTTGACTATTGAAAATCTTTTAAAAGACAAAAAAAAAACAAAATCAGAGACATTTAACTTAAAACGATTTACGACACTTAGATGTAGTAAATGTATTTATTCAGCGAGTACCTATCTGATTTTAAACAAATATAATTATAATAAATAATTTGATCAATTTATATACCTAAAATACGTATTTGTAATTAATGTTTAGGTATTATTGGTCATTTAATCACGCTCACTTTAAGATTCCGAGCGTAGCGAGATGTTTATTTTTTTTCTTTGTTCTAGTTTGTGGACATGGTTTTTCTTAGTAAACTTGCTTCAATTTTTACGTGTAGCAACTTTTCTGAAAGCTCAAGTTGTCTAAATGGTACTTTAAAAATAGTCATTTTTTGATTTTCGATGCTATTTTTTAAATAAAAGCACTTAAGTGGGAAAAACTTAGGAAAACGTAGAATTTCACGATTTCATTATTTTATTAAAAACACGGACGACGTTTTCTACGAGAAAAAATGATTTAATCGAAAAACCACAGGACACCTTTTTTATTTCCTATTTGATTTAATTTCTAATGGTTTCATCGCCAAAACTTTTGAGCTTTAAAGGAATTTTAATTTTTGGGAGTTTTTTACTGTAATTCGATTATAAATACACGTAGAGACTTGAAACTTGGTAATAATACTTATATTGGCCTTACTTAGACGTGGTAACATTTTCAAAATCATCGGATGACTTTTTTTTCCTTTTTTAATAAGCGTTTTGAAATCCGATTTAAACAAAAATCCCAAAAAATATTACAGCACTTAAAATTATGTGTTACAGAACTGCACTCAGAGTCGTCCTTCGTCAAACAATGGTTTATCGTTGCTTACAGGTATAAATTAAATTACCTTATGTATCCCATCTTCTCAACTTTTCACCTAAAATAATGGCTGCTCCCATCCACTCTTTTTATTATTGGTTGGATAAAATTTTCAACTTTTAATAATACCTAATTATTTTTATTTTACTGAAATTGTGAACATGCAAAATATATATTTTTTGTTTACAACTATTGGATTATCTTGTAATTATTTTCTAGCTAACTCATACTATATCATGGCATTTGTTTTATATTTAAACTCAAGTATATATTTATTAAAATTGCATAATTTATCTAATTTGGAGCACATTAAGTTCAAAAGAAAACATATATGTGTATTATATAACAAATAAAATGATTTACAATAATATATGTACTATTATATGACATACACATAATGTAACCATCAATTATATATATTTGACATATTTAATCTTTTATTTTTTTTTTATCAATCTGAAGATTGGACTTCTCCATTTTTCTCTGTTATACACCATATTTCTTGAGTTCTCTATAGGCAGTGTAGAATCTCTATATACTCCTGCATCCTTCATTACTTAGCTAATGTATTTCATCCTGAGTCTTCCTTTTGATCTTGTTCCTTTTATCATTCTTCCGATTATTTAACTATGCAGTACATCATTTGTCCTATCATCTGTCATCTCCTCCTCCTTATATTGTCCATCAATATTCGTTTTTCATCTATTGTCCTCAAGACATCTCCATTAGATTTTCTCTCAGTCCAGCTTATTCTCTGCATATTTCTTCAATACCAAATCTCCAGAGCCTTCAACATATCTTTCTCTTTTTTATTAATTGTCCACGTCTCGCTTCCATGTAATGTCACACTCTAGACGTATGTTCTTATGAGCTTTTTCTTCGTTGCTATGTTCATATTTTTTGACGTTAATAATTTTTTATTCCGTCATTCGTTATAATACTGCCTATGTATTTGAAAGAGTCTACTTAAAAAATTTCTTTTATTTCTAGTGTTATATTCATAGATGGTATGTTTTTCTTATAGCATACTAGTTTTGATCTTGGCTGCAATCATTTTCATATTTTACTCTTGGAATATCGTATTCATTGCATATAACGCTGCTTGCAAGTTGCAAGTCTTTCTTAGATGTTACGAGTACGACTGTATTGGTATTAGTATCCCACCTGTTTTCACTTAAATTTCTTTTTGATCTAACCAAAGTTTTACGACGATTATTGATTTTTCCATAAATAAATTTCACAATTCAAGTGTTAGTGGGCACTCTTGTTTTACACGTTTTTGAATTCTGGTATTCGTTGTTGTTGAATTAATATTGAGATAATGGTTTCTTGATCTTTATAAGTCTTATAGAGAATACGTCTGTCTTTAAATCTTTGTTAAATATTTAATCTATGATATTTATATAATATAAATTTAGATAATTCTAAATATTTCAACCCATATTTTTCGGGTTTTCCAGTGAATCAGTCAAATACAGCCACTCAATTAATACTATCGTCGTTAGTTACAAGTCAAATTTCTCAAGTTTTTTTTTTAATAAAATAAAATAATTATAAATTTAAAAAATGTAAGTAATTTTTAGATGCATTTTCGCTGTCATATATATTTTTTATGATTTTTAGTGCATTTAAATCCGGGCTTTGGTTATAATTAAACTAGATGACTAAATATTAATTTAGTAATAGGTAAAAATTGGTATATTTGGTAAAACAATTAAAATTTGATAGCTTATCGATATTAAATTACTCCTTGTTATTCTGATAAATGCAACTTAAAGTACGTGGTAATAACCAATTTCTTATCATTTGTATAGAGGCTAACTATGACGGAACTATCTTCACAGAAAAAATATTAAGTACAAATTAAATAATATTATATTTAACTAAATAATAAATTGATTTTTTTTTTTTTTGCGAATAAGTTGTAATTTAGAAAATTTATCTAATGAAAAATGAACAACCCTTCAAAAAAGTTGCCTAATTTTGGAAAATCCAAAAATATGTTTACACCAAATTTAAGATATAAAAGGTTAACAGCTTAATATAATATTTATGTTATGAACATTTAAATATAATTATTTATTATTATTTTTACAGAAATGTAGCTATAGTTTCGGACCAATTAGCTAATGTAAATGTTAAAGTTGAATCCGATACAAGTACGCCTAGTTCCAGTGCTCAATCATCAACACAAAAATCAAAAAAAATTAAAGAAAGATCAACAACACAGGTATATTATCCTTCTTTTTGGTTTTCAATACCTAAATTTTGTTTTCTACCTAAAATTATTTATGGTTAAAGTAAAAAATAATAAGTATTTACAATATAAAATTTGTTACTTATTTCAGATACAAAGCGTTTTTTCTAGTTTGAGTTCTTCTAACCAAGGATCTGGTACATCTCACATGGGACTATCATCAGGTTTTCGATCTTATTCAAATCAGGGTAGTTTCAATAGTGCTGGTACATTTGTGAGTCATGCACCATTCATAAGTCATTTTGTGTTAAAATTTTAATATTCAATTATGAATTTGATCAGATAAAAACTGAAGCTTGTCAGAGTATACGTCAAATGCAAATGCTTGAAAACAATCAACTTGATGTAGATGATTCAATAGACAGCTTTCATGGTCCAGTTCGATTACCTTTCTCAAAAAAAGGTACCTAATTTATTTATATTATTTATTTTCCTATTATTTAAATTTTATTATTTTAATAATCAGATAGGACAACACAAATGAAGTCTGAAAATAGTTTAGACTATCCGTTCCAAAAGAACATTTATCCTTCATTAACTGAATTAATTACTCCTGAATCATTAATGGTTTTACAGGTATTGTGAAGTATGTTAAATAACATTTTTTTACTTTTATAATATTATAAATAGTTTGATAAAATTTTGGTTTGACTTTTAGTTTTATGATTCTTCATTTAGTTCTGAACCAAAAATTACCGATATTGATCTAACTGAAAACGGGAATGGTGATACAACAATGCTTATGCCAAAAACTGAAGTACCTATTAAAATAGAATATAATGAACACAATATTAAAGTTGAAGTAATATTACAATAATAATAAATCAATTAAAATGTTTAATATTAAATGCATATTTTTATTACCAGAACGACCTAGAAGCCAATAATCCTGGGAAACCAATTGGTAAAGTACAATATTATAGATCTGGCCGTGTTGTTTTAATTTTTAATGGAAAAGAATATGAATTATTAAAAGCTAATGAAGATAAACATCATAAGGTAACTTGATTTATTTATATAAGTATTTACATATTTAAATGAATAAATAGAATTGATTTTAACTCGTCATGCAATTATATTTTGTTTAGGAATTATTTAGCCTTACAAAAGTTGAAGCTGAAAAACCTGACAAGCTAGTGAGCTTAGGGACTATACCATTACGATTAAAAGCTCTTATGGATATTGACACAATTATTAAAAATTTTTAAAAAACACAGTTTAGTATACAAATATTTGTTTAAAAATTATTCTGTTGTATAAAAATATTAAAAATATCTTTTTTTCTTACAACTTTTTAATACAAGTAATGTTTAACAATACAAATAAAAATATAATTTTACAAACATTTACAGTGTATCATAATCTTCTAATACATTTGCTAAATGTTCATTATCTCTTGGTCTCTTGGAAATCCTTTTCTTTGACACTGGTTTCTTCCTTTTTATATGATTAACTTTTTTAATACCATTATCTTGCATAGAACTTATGCCCTGTACAATTTTAATATTAAATATTATATCAGCTAAAAAGTTTGTTGTAAAATATGGCAAATATACTTGTTTTTCTAAATGTTCTTCAATTTTTTCATCATCCATATTTTCCACTGCAATGCTTCTCCACATTTTTTTGAAATCCTCATTAATATCAATAGTTGCAGATTTATCATTATAAAACATTACTTTTTTTTTATCTCCTGGCCGACAAACATATAATATTTCATTTTGTAAATGCTATTCAAAAACAAATATTAATGTAATAATAGTCTTATCATATTTTAGAGTTCTTGTTACCTTTAAAGCTTTTTCACAATTTGGTAATGATTCTTGAATGTCATCCATCATAATTCCTCCTAAACCTTTTAAATCTTGTTGTTTTAGTAATTTTAACAAAGCTTTTCTATCTTTTAGTTTATAAGGAGGCTTAAACATATATCTTCCATCAGATGTACGTTCAATTTTTGGATTTCCCGGGAGTGCTTCAACCTCCAGCCACTTAATATTTAAAAATGCCAATTAATTATAAAACAATTAAAAATCTAAAAATATTTAATTTACTGTTTTGACTTTAGCTCCCACATCTAATTGATTAGTTTCATCCAATAGTTCATCTATTGTTAATGGATGATCATCTCCATCTTGATGCCTAGCTCTTATATACTTAACAATCTTGGTTAGTACACCAAATTTATATTGAGAACTTTGACCATATGATTTATAACTAATACAGTCATTTTTATAAATATTAATTTAATTATTTAAAAAATAAATAGTGTATATTCAAAGATTATTCAAAGAAAAGTTCATACTTGATGGAACTTGAAGCATTTGGTGGTGATGGTGGTCTAGGCATAGATGGTAATGGTTTTGATTTTCTTTTAACTTCATCTCTATTGCTGGTGTCCTCTTTTAATCTTTTTTCAACTCTAGAATTAGAATAGTTATTATCACAATATTTTTTATCTAATCAGTTATTTACAATTTAAGAATATTATGATAATGTACTAACACAGGAATAGCTGATGCTTTAAGTTTGAACAACTCTCTTTCTTTCAGTAATGCTGGATCCATATTGATAATGATTACGATTCAGTGAAATATAAAAATTGGTTTTGCTAAATCTAAAGCTTAACCTATTAATGAAAAGTAATAATTATTTACTAGTATTGTTAACATACGAATAGACAAGTTATTGTTTCTTATTTAAAAATATTACAATATTTAAAGAATAGTTTCAGTTTTAGTGCTCTACCAATAATATATAAATAAATTTAATGTAGTAGGCAGGAATGTTCATCATTATTGTGTGGCTTAATAAATCAGTAAGAGTTTTAGTCATCACCATCAATGTCTTACGATTTTTTCAGCCGTGAACCCTTTTCTCCACATCTCTCAATATCATGCTAAATTTTGTCCATCCAGCAATTCCTCAATTCATTGCCCCTTTCTATTTTGAGTTTCGAAAACCACTAGAGTGGTATGAATGTTAATTTTTTAATTTCAAATTAGAAAACTGACGTGTTCTTCTTACACACTGTTTAATTTATTGAAGGTATAATTTTTAAAGAGTATACTTACAAAACAGTTAAAAGTTTTTAATAAAAATAATAATTATCATTTGAATAATACCTTATTTATTAAAATGTCTATTTTAATTATATTTAATCAAACATATTTTAAAATAAATTTACATAGAAAAATAATACTCTATTTTTGAAGTAGGTAATATAAATTCCCATTGCACAGGAATGCAATTTGTAAAATAAAATATGTAATATTTACTTACCACCTTTTTTTCACATATTAATATGATTTTACTTTTAATTGTAGAATATTCATTCAATACTGGTCATAAACTAATAAAACTTATAACCTAATAATGCATTTAAGTTTACCTCTACTTAGTTTTTAAATTGAAATACAAATATTAAAGTTTATATTTTTGTTAGGATTTAAATAAATATGTTATCTAATAAGAATGCGTTATCATAACAACAGTCAGTGTAACCATTTTTTTTGTATAATAATATTGGTCAATTTGTTTAATGAATTAAATATTAATTAAATCTAGGATTTAAGACAGACCTATCTTAAATCGTGACTAAATGAGTACCTATTACTAGGAGTGTCCCAAGTATTTTTAGGGAAATTTTAAACTCTAAAACTTTTCGAAATATTAGAATCATTATTCATAATAATGAATGTAACTAATTTTATCATTTATAACATAACCATAGTCGGATTAGTAACAGGTTCAATACAATCAACAAAAGACAGGTAAAAAAAAACAAGGAAAAAAGACAATAACAATATTTATTTGAAAAAAAATAATTTAGTCATTTAAAATACTTTAAAGTTAATATTTTGACAAAATGAAAAATTAGCAAAATAAATGAGTAGGTGGGTACTAATAAATTATTTAAAAACAATTTAATTTAATTGAACATTTTATAATTATTATATAAAATTGCATTTAAAATATTTATAGCCTCTCCAAGTTGTGTCTCCAAAGGTATTTAATTACATACACGTGGCCTTTCCAACATTTTTCTTAATTTTGTTTGATAAAATAATTAACATAACGAAAATAGAAAAATGACACTGACATCTGACACAACTAACAATACACTACACAAAATTCACTATTTCAAAGTTAGATTTAGATAAGTTTAATATATAACCAAAAATGATAAAAGCTATAAACTAGATATTAACTAGTAAATACCTATTATATTATTGTACACATCTACCTATATAATAACACAAGATGGAAAATACTAGAGGTACATATATAAATACTTGTTTATAATATTATATACCTCCATTATAGGTACCTAATATATAAGTCTGAACATACTAGAGGTAGTATATAATATTAATAATTTTGATTTTCTATATTATTAAAAGCATATAAATTATAGTAAGTAATATATTATTATATAGATACCTACCTACCTATATAATATAAGGTATACATATTAATACTTTTAAAAATATTAATTAAATACCAATGTGTTTTATATATTATTATTGAATTTTTTTTTTATCTTTGTTTATTTTTTCATTGTCACTTTTGATAGTTTTTTTTTTCCTAGACTATCAAACTAATCCAGTCCGCTGGTCCACGATTGAGGACTGGGCCCAGATTTAATTTCAGTTATTGGCTTTTAATTTGTTGCCAATTAATTATTAGGTATCTATTATACCTAATTATTTGTCAACGGATTTTCCTCTATTTTTCAACAATCGTTAAAATCGTCAAGGTTGACCGTTTTATTGCGCCATACGTAACTACTACAGTACTACCTATATGCCTACTATTTTCTTTTTAGCGTTATTTAATTGACTTCACTTCGTGCGTTTGTGTTTACGCAACTTGAGAACCACTGGGCTTTCTTATCATTTATTACTAACGGAAGATGCGTAAAATAAATAATATGATAAAAACTAAAAGTTTCTTGATTTTTGATACTTATATTTATGATTCTAATACCTGTTATACCTAAAATTATATAGAACACAAATTAATAATTTTTCAATAAAAATTATCGGCGAATAGGTAATAATCATGACTAATGTATTTTAATATATTCCTTGACCAAATATAATTAATGTTCATTTTTTATTTCAGGATTTCATAAATGGAGATGCCAACAAATAAGAGAGACATTGCAACTATAGAATATGTGGAATCTAAAACTAAATCATTTACATTCACATCAACAGTATTAGGTGTAAATTTATATAACCATATAATCCGTTTTGATAATTGTATTTTTGTTGTAATTAGTCAAGATAATACTTTTTCGTGCCTATCTGTAGCTATGACACAGCGAAATAGCACAAATACAATAGCTAGTACTATATTCAATAGAGACCCAGATAGTAGATCTGAATCAATAGCAAATATATTAATAAAAAGTTTGAAAATATCAGTTCCAATCTATGTAAGTTTTAATGCAAACATTGAAAATGCCGGATTAAAATGTGTTATTTCTTGTTTAATTGCGAATTTTAAGTCTCATCCAGAGCTAATTAATTACTCTATTTAAATCTTAAAAAAAAAAATATTTATATTGTATACTGTGTAAAAGTATGTGTGAGCCTATATTTTATAGTTAATTTTTTTTTTTTTATTTAATAAAACAATAGTATTAATTGAATCAAAATACCTAATATGTTTTTATAATTTTATGAATGTTTACATTTTAAACAATAAATACATTATTTACTTTCCTATTTAAATTTTAAATACCTTGAAAAGCGCAGAAGCCAAATTGATTTATATTTTATTTATAAGTTATTAAATGGCTACATTGACTGTCATAACTTCTTAACCTGTTTATCCTTCAATGTTTCCCAAGCTATTACCCATTCAACTAATTTTTTTTACTTAAAAATCTAACCTACTAATTATGCTTCAAACACACCACTATCAAGAATCATGAACACTGTGAATAATTACCATAGAAATCCGTTTTATTATATTTCCTTTTTCACATTTAAAAATCATGTTTCTGTTAATCTATTTATACTTATACATTTTTTTATTATTAAAATGTTTACGAATGCTATATATTATAATAATAAATTCATGTAATTGGGCATGATCCTGTATAATACTTCAATAAATAAATAATTACTTAGACTTCTATACTCTAGAGTAGGTTTCTAAGGTAGTGTAAAAGTTTTTGTCTGGACATTATAATTTTGTAAATATATTTTTATAATTTAAATAAATCTCTTAAACAGTAAATAAAAAATTACAATGGTCTACCACAAAATATAATACATAATATTAAAATTAATTAAACCATAATGAATTATTAAAATTATTTTATCAGCATGATTTTTTTTCAAATTTGGATTTTCGAGAAATCTAATTAAGTATAAATAGGCGTCATTTAGAGTAAAAATATGGGGTAGCATATTCAAGCATCTTGAATATTTTTAATTCAGTGTGATTTAATGAAGTGAGGGATACCTTACTTTATTGGTCCAGGGGCGTCATTTCATATTTTGTTATGGCATTTAAAACGTATACTGAAAATTAAAATTAACATTAAATTGCTAGCATAACATATTATAATATGCTAAGGACAAAATCAATAATTACCATATTTAATACTATTTTTCAAATGTATTATACAATTCAAAAACGTACTTCAAATTAATTTCAATATTAATAATCTATTTTATATTGAGATTAAAATATACAAAAATTACTTATTTAATAACTTTATTAACAGACCAAACAATATATTATTATGAATACTATAATAAATATAAACATAATAGGTTAAAACAAAAGCATATAGGTATTTTAAGTAAGCATAAGTTAATTATGAGACCCTAAATCCAGAAATTATAATAATAAAACAATTTAATAATATCATAAAATGCAAAATTATTTTGGTAAGAGTTATAGTTACAGATGTTCAAACTATTGGTGCACATTGGGTGTGGATTTAGGAGATGCTAGATTAATTTATGATACACAGATTTATGGGAGACTTAGTCTCTCCCCCCCTCCTAGTTTACTATTTAGCTACATTACAATAATTTTAAACTTTTATACAACCTCAGTTATAAATAGAACATAATTTCGTAGCTAACCGTTTAAAATATAAATATAAAGTAAGATAATATGATTTCCTGACTGTTATAGTTTTAAATGAAAACTAAAATGTATATTCACAAAATATTGTTTTAATCATGATTTCCTGAATTTGTGATGGAAAAAATAAATATTTCATCCAAATCAATAAACCACAATCATTAAAAAATTATTAGTGATATACTGTAATAAATTATTCAAGAAAACTGAGGAGTGCTAAGTATCCTCTGGCACTACTCTATGCGGGCCTATGGTTAAAACTTCAAACGCGACGTGCTAATGACGCGAACAGCTGTCGTTCGTAATGACGATTATGACGTGTGCCACCATACCATCATAGTTTGTTATCGGTTAAAGACCCAAAATATGGTTATTTACCTTAATTCCGAGGTAACTATTTTACCTAATTATTTATATCAAAAGCAATAATGATGCATTTGATTTCACCTTGTGTCCTATCCGACGTAGTTTTGCCATAGACATATTAAGATGTCTATAGGTTTTGCACATGGCACAACATATCGACGGTTATTTTTGATTAACATTGTCCAGGTAAGCGCAGCGAAACAGGACGCGTTTAAACGGTTGTAATTGTAAAGACTTAGGCTAAGTCAGATAGACTTACTCTTACGCCAATAAAAAATTTTCAAGTTATCAATAACAAAAAATATTGATAATAAACAAAAATGTTAATTTTTGACCACATTTTGAATTAATTCCAACAATGCTATTTTTTAAGTTTTATGTACAAAAACAATAAAATTAAGTATGATAATTAAGTTTTGACTATACCAATGGATAGGTTTAAAAACACACATTTGAGAAAAAAAAAGAAATTGAAAATACTAAATTCTAATACTAAGAAAGATACGGAAAACCGAACTTTATGAAGTTTTCCCCCATAAATTCCAAACAAATTACATCCGACTTTGTTTTTACATTCTTAATGTACTTACATGCTAAAACATACATTTTAACGAGCTTGGACTGTAAACTATATATAAGACTAGCTATATTACTGCCCCCCCCCCCAGGGTAGTGAAATATTTGTTTTATTTAATCTATTTTATTATTTTTGAAACAAAATTAAATGGGGTTGGTTATTTAGTTATTTAGTGTTATATTTATTATCAATTTATTCGTATTTATATATGTTTAAAGCTTAATAGATACTTTTATAAAGCTTTTTCAAAAGTATATTAAAAAAAAAAAAAATGGACATATTTCGCACGATGGGTGCAGCCACAGTTGTTGGTGAGAATTTGGGAATGTAAGATATAGAGAGGAAATTAATTTGTATATCTGTAAGCAACGATAAAATATTGCTAACGAAAAACGATTCTAATCGGAGTTCAATTGTTAGCGATGATTTGTTAAAAATATATTTGTAATATTATGGTTAAATAATTAAATAGGCATTCATATCATCTTACAGATATCTATTTAATATTACCAATTTTCCAGGTTTTTCATATTTGATGGGAAAATCGAAAAATGGGGAGGCCGTAAAATTTCGGAATGTTGAAACTACGGACTACAACTACTACATCTATGCCGAATAATAAATTTGAAAGAAATTAAAAACACACCGAAAGAAAGATTTGAAGAAAGTAAAATACATTGAAAATAAAGTCGCGGATTGTAAAATCAACGGAATTTAAATACACTGGCTGTAATCAGTTTAGAACTTAAAACTAATGAACAAAAAAAAAAGGAAAATTACATTCCAAACATTTTACGGTCAGATTTATTTAATTCCGGCAAATTTACGTTCCTTGTTACTTTTTCTCTCGCAATTATGTTCCGTAAAATTTCAATTCGTTGTAATTCCATGAATATTATTTTCTTGTTATATGTTTTTCCGAAATAAATAAATACATAAATTTTGCATAATTTTCGTCAAAATATGTTATTAAAATTTCTTTATAAAATAAAAGTACTCCATTAAACTCAATTTTTTTTTTACTTCAAAGTAATACTCTTAATGAACCTCCAGTTAAATTTTCAAGTATTTTCAAGTAAGTATTACAGCTTTACCACAAAGTACCTACTGAATAAAAATTACTTACTAAATTCGTAAAATTAAAATGTCTATAAATAGTCTATACATGGTTTAAATTTTTTGCCAAATTTCAAGTCTCTACGAATATTTTTAACTGAATTACTACAAATAACAAAATTGAAAAATAATAATAGCATTATTTTCGTAAATATCCCGTTCTTTTTACGTTTTATCCAGATTTTACCCAGATATTATGAAAACCGCTTGGTAAATCAAAAAATGACTTCCCAAAAATACCGTTTGGACAATATTTCATTTCAGAAATGGTGCCACGCGTACATATCAGAGCAAGATTTCTAGTAGAATTGTTGTACATAGTATAAAAAAAAATAAACATCTTAGTAAAACCAATACATTCTTCGCTACACTCAAAATCTAAAATATTAATATACTATAAATTTCAATAAATTATTTGTGTGAAAAAAATAGTAAATGTTATTTTAATATATACCTAATTTGGAAAAAAATTATTATGGAAGCCTCGATGCTTTACATTATTTTTAGAGGGCCTCGTGATAAATAAAAGTTTGAGAACCACTAATATAGGTAACTCAAATTACACAACGGCCATGACACTATTTTTTTTATCAGAAAATGTCTAGCTTTGTTCCCATAACTTCACACATGTCGTATTTTTAAATACTTTCAAATTCAATATATTTGGTTATAAATTATAAACTTAAAACATTAGTGTAATTATATTATAAAAAAAACAAGAAAATTATACTTTTTAAAAATTATAGTATAATATATAATAAAATATATTAATTTGCAACTACGATAAAAATGGTGGTGTAGCAGTAGTTGTTACCCCCTCGCTACCCCGTAATGACGTCTATGTGGATATACCCATGTATGTGGGTATATCTAGATAGCCTATACAAGATAGATAAATTATTAAGTCTCAAGGTATACCTCAAAGTTTATTAAAATTATTTTTATTTTTATAGTATTTTCTATAACCTTGAATATAGGTATAGAATAACATTGTACTGTTCAACTATTCGTATTCCAACATTTTTTCCAGTTGAATAAATAATTATTAGAACAAATACAAATACAGAATACGCAAAAATATACCAATTTCTTTTTACAATAATGAAGAAGACAACGTTACAATTACACGGTAAAATAAATTACCTACCTAAGTTGGAAAACATATGTTTTTTTTAACAATAAGCACATGTATTTGTTGATAAATTGAAGAGTAGTCAGTTTTGATAAGTGCTATCAAATATAATATAGCAATAAAAAAAATTCTATTTTTCAAAAACCACTATTTTTTAAATAATATATTTTTTTAATATTCTTATAAAATTTAAATTGTGTTTCAAGTAATACAATTTTTCAATATTTAAAAATTATCTACATAATGACTACATTACGACCATTCAATTGTGATGATTTATTCAAATTCAATAATGTGTAAGTTATTTTTAATAAGAAATTAACTATAATTTTTAAAAAAATAATGTTATTATAATTTCTAATCGTGTATTAGAATCAATGAGAAAAATCCAGTCGTAGTCATACGATTTTTAAATAATTTTTTCTTTATACTAATTTTTTACATATCCAACTTCTTACAATTTTTTCTTTTTAGAATAAAATTTAATTTTAATTTCAATCACACTTAATTTCATAGCTATGGTCAGTTAAGCTATCAACAATTTTTCTGAATGTATTAAATTGAAAATTTTTATTTGTTATACAGTTTAAACTATATAGCAAAGATAAAATGTAGTTATATTAAATCAAAAAAAAAATACAGTATGCAAAATTCTAGAAAATTAAACTCGTAGATAATGTCTAATTAGGTTTCAATTCAATTAAGTATATCAATGTTTCTGTAAATCTGTATATTTATGTAATGAAAAAATATCTATTCAAATTATTTATCGCATTATGTTTATTATATATTTTTGTCAAAAATGAGTAAAAGATGTGGTAGGTAATTAAGTGTGTAAAAATTAGATTTTGATATGACTTATAGAATAAATATAATGATTTACATTATTTATTACCTAATAATCAATTAAATATTATTTATTTCAGCAATTTAGATACACTTACAGAAACAGTATCCTTTTGAAACATATAAATTACTTTTAAAAAATTATTTAAGTATAAGTTCATTTTAAGTTTTCAGTTTTTATTTAATTGACATTAAATACTTTATATTGATTGCAGTTTATTAATATATAATTTTAACTTAACCTTTACATTATATAGTATGCAATACCATTCTATATGCAATATTTAGCGCATTGGCCAGAGTATTTTCAAGTAGCTGAATCGCCCACAGGAGAAATTATGGGCTATAGTAAGTTTTCATACTGATTCATAGTGCAACAATGTACTCTAGAAATTAACTTAATTTTAAATCTTTAAAAATAAGAAATTATTTTTTTTACATTGTTTGATATTAATTTGAATTATTAACCAGTTATGGGAAAATCTGAAGGACAACCAGACAGTTGGCATGGGCATGTAACTGCTTTAACTGTTGCTCCAGAATATAGAAGGTTGGGTATCGCAGGTGTTTTAATGAATTGGCTAGAAAGCATATCAGAGAAGTGAATAATATATTTATTATTAAAATTAAAATTGCAATCTCTAAAATTTTATTCATTTTTAGAAAAGATGCATGGTTTGTCGATCTATATGTACGTGTCACCAACACAGTTGCTATATCTATGTATAAAAGCCTAGGATATACAGTGTACCGTACAGTATTAGAATACTATTCAGGGGATCCCGATGAAGATGCATATGGTATTATTTTAAATTATTTATTATAGTAGTTATATATAAATCGATTATTTAACAAAATTATATTTTTAGACATGAGGAAAGCACTTTCTAGAGATATTGAAAAAAAATCAATTAAACCATTGGATCATCCTGTACGATTAGATGACTGTGATTAATACATAAACATTTATGAATGATATTTATATTTTGAAAATAATAAAAAAAAAAAAAAAAAGTATAAATTTATATTTCCTCCAATTTCCTTTTCTTCCAAGCTTTAGCTACTTCTAAAAGTTTTAGATTTGGTCTTACAGCATCATCTTCTGGGAAAATATAATCTATCTTTTCCTCCCATCCTTTGTCTCTCTGAAATTTTATAAAAACACAAATTAATCAATGTAAAAATAAAAAATAAATAATTTGAAGCATAAAATTTCATTACTCCATTCTCAGAAGTATAAGGCACCCTCTTTTTGATTCTCTTTGGCAACAAATTTTTAACTTTGTTTTTAGCTTCTTCATCGCCATTCTCTTCTTCAAATTTATACCATGACTGTAAAATGCCTTCTCGTTCTTCTGGTGTACCACCCCTACGCAATGCATCATTACCTCTTTCAAATACTCTTCTCGCTACTGAGACAGTGTCAATACCCTCTTCTTCTGAAGTCATTTCAAATTGAGCGTAGCTCATCCAAACCTACAAAAAAAAAACCCAAATTTGTTAACTAAAAACAGCATACAAAAAATATTTTAAAATAATTACTTTAAAATGATTAGTTCTCTCTAGAAGTCTTTCATACAATTTTCTGGCTTTTTCTGTTTCTCCTTGTAATGTTTCAAAATCTATAAAAGATTTCCATAGAACTTCTGGCATATCTAAACGTTGTTGATTAACAGCTAATTCATAAATAGCTCTGGCTCGTCCTATGTCTCCTAATACTGTTTCTAATTCTGCAAACTAAAATTAATTTCTATGTAAATAGATACATTTTTAAAAGGAATTATTGAAACTATTTTATGAGTATAGACGTAGTAAAGAAAGAATAAAAGTAAACATATTTACTCTAATCCACGTGACACAATTTTCTGGGCCAAATTCTAAATACTTTTCATATAATATTCGACATCGTTCAAATTCTCTTAGTTGTATTTCTAAATCAATATAGCCTCTAAATAGTTTATCCCTAGGACACAAACCCAATGCTACACCCTGCAAAATAAATAATGAGTTTGTAAAATTAATAAAACTTCTTTTATTTTTTTTATTACCATTCGTTTTCTTGCAGCTGTTAAGTTTTTATGGCGTATTTCAAATTGGGCATAATATAACCAAGCTTTTGAAAATGTGAATATTTTATGAGGTATAGTAGATATAAATGTTTGATATACATCACGAGTACGTTCTTCATCTTCAGCTTCTAGTTCTTCAAATAAAGCATAATTTATCCACAAGTATACATATCGCCGCCATGCATGCTTTTCCTAAAAAATAAACATTTATTTGATAAAATATAATAAAATAAGAAATCTACATAAAACACACCAGGCACATAATAAATTAAAGAGAATAAAGGACTTTAACATAGTTTTATAAGTATTAAAGTAAATATAATATAAAAAAATATTCACGTTTGATGGAGGTATATTGGCAACGGCTCGTTCATAAGTATCTCTAATAACTTCTAAATTTCCTTCACTCTCTACTAATTTTAAATAATCAAACCAAGCATCGTAATTTGTTGGATTACCTTTAACTTCCTAAAAATTATATGTTGTTTAAAAAATACTGTTAAAATAATTAAAATATTTATGTACTTGTTCGTATTGCAGTTTTCTTTTACTACTAATGACACTCTCAATTGCTGTTCGATCACCAAACTTTTTTTCATGTATTGTATAAGCTTTATAGATATCATGACATCTATCTTTGGAGACGTGATCTAAAGCATATTTATAAATTACTCGCACACGTTCATGCTAAAATAAAATATTTTTAATAGTAAAATTAAAACCATTTTTAATAATTTAATTAAAATACTTCTTTTTGCCGTTCTTCGAATTTTGCAAAAGCAATAAATAAATTTTCATTAATATGCTCATCACCAAAAAATTCAATTGCCTTTTCAAATACAGTTCTTGCTCCTGCAATGAAGCCATTCTGTTCTTCAAATCTAAAAAAAAAAAATAATAACAATAATATTCACTTTACATATTTAAAATAAATAACACAATTTACCGGGCATATCTTATCCAATTTGTAACATCTGGATGTACCATCACAAAACTATTATAAATTTTTCTGGCACGATCCACTTCATGATAACGTAATTCAAATTTTATATAAGTTAACCAAGCTTGTTCTGGAGGTTCCCATTCCATCCATCGTTCAAATACTGACCTAGCTCCTAAAAAATGATTTGCATATTTAGTAAAGAAAATTATTGTACAAATGAATGTTTAATAATTTTACCAGCAACATTGCCCAACATTTCTTCCATGTACGTATATTTGTACCAGAATTGATTTGCACGGGGCATAACAACAACTGCACGATCCCAAAGATTTCTGGCATGCATCACTTGTCGGTGTCTCATTTCTAGTTCGGCGTATTTTAGCCATAGTGTTATATTTCTATAGTCAGTATCTAATGCTCTTTCGTAGATTGATCGTGCCCTAAAAAAAAAAAATTAATTAACTTGAATTACAACAAAGAAAAAGAAAATGTGGATCAGTATTCACCACTGATTTAGTACAAGTATATAAAAACTTATACCTATATTAAAAAGAATTCCCAAACATAATGTAAACAAATTGTCAGACAGTATGGCAAATAAAAAGATACTATCAAAAAATCCAAATAAGAAGACAGGTATGGCTGAATGGAATTTGTGTTACCTTGGAATTTCTTTTTGACTTTCTTCCCACGCAGCGTATTTTATCCAATTACTAATATTTGTACGGTTTCTTCGGATATTATCCTCAAATGCGCGACGTTTTCTATGTTGGTAATCTCTTAACTCAGCTGGGTCTGATATTTTTTGTTTAGGAGGCTAAATTTTCAATTGAAGATTTAAAAATAATAAATTAATTGGTTAGGTATTATAGATTGAATAATAATCTCATGAACTTATGTAAAGCAATACTTGATTCTAGTATGGTAAAATACTTACAGGTGGTACAATTTCAAGATCCCTTTCTTTTGCTTCTCTCAACAACTGTTCAGCAGTAATTTGTATTTCTGCTGGCGCCTTGTTTTTCACCTATGAAAAAGAATATAACATAGATATTACTATATAAATAAATAAAACAACAAAATCCTTATTTTTCATAAATACAAAAATGTCCATACTTTTGCAACTTTCGGAATTTTCTGGGGCTTTTCCATTTTAATTAAATTGTGGTATTGTATAGTTGTATTAATTAAATTGATTGAACTCTAGTTTTAGTTTTTAATATTTTTATCACAGACAAAGATTTTCATAGTTTAGTTTAATTATCATGTATATGAACGTATATACTGGTATACTGATCATATACCAACTGTTAGTAACATTTGAAAAGAAAGCCCAGTGGTTCCCAATTTTGTACAGAATGTTGCCTATACAACTCCTGATTTGTACTTTTAATGGTTTAATAAGTTGACTATCCAATATCTAAAAATTAATTTTTTAACCCATTTTTAAAATTGTATTGTCGTCAACTAATGTTGTACATATGTTACCAATAATAAATTAATGTCATTATTAATTATAGGTAGGTTGTTTATATCCATTAAACAATCAAACCATTTTCATTTGAAAGTAAATACTTTATATTAATTATTAGATATATATTTTGACATGGAAATTATAATTTTTATGAGGATAATAGATATTACATAAAAATGTTATTTTTGTAAACAAGCCTTCTTAAATTAAATTAATAAACTTCTTTTTTCTTATTATAATATATCTCAGGCTTTTAGTATTTATTTAAAGTAACTGTTACTTAGAAATTTAATAACATTAATATTAATTTTAGACAAATAGGTAGGCAATTATTTGTATAATTGTATTGGCCAAATAGACATCAAAATTATTTCATATTGTTTTCAAAACCTATTATAAATTTATAAATATTTTGTACACCTACATATAGTATTTGAGATTACTTGTTAAAATTTTGCAATTATTAAAAGCAAGAATAAAATATAAAGTTTAATTAATAAGTATAAATAATAATAGTATCACTATTAAATATAATGTTACGATAACAAAAAAATAAGGAACAATGAAATAAGAAGTGATATAAGGACATACTAATTTGAATAACCATTTAGGTATAATTCGGTAGAATATTAAGGTAGAACTAAAGAATAGACCCAATATTAGACATAAATAAATATGTAATAAAATAAAACCCTCTGAGAACTATATATTAGAGATACTTAAAAAAAACGTCCTTAAATAATGTGGACAGGTGAAGCCAATGTTATAGATAATTTAATGTATACCTGTAAGCAACGATAAACCATTGCTTACGAAAAAACGATTTTGAGCAGAGTTCGGCTGATAGTGATGCTTTGTGAACAATATATGTCATACTATAGTAAAATAATTAAATAGGCTTTATATATTTTCTTTAATAATATTTGTTTAATGTTGTACCGATTTTCCCAGTTTTTCTACTTTTTTCTCAGGTTTTATCCCGGTTTTTCATATTTGCTGGGAAAACTCTTGGGAAAATCGAAAATTGACCTATCCAAAGTACTTACCTAATGACAATTTTTTTTCAGAAACATTGCTATCATTAAAAGTTGGAGCGAAATCACTGGTAGAAAACTTGTGCACAGGAAAAAAAAATCGTAATATTTTAGAAATATATTTCGTACATTTTCCTGTTTTTCAAATTTGATGAGAAAACTTTTAAAATATCGAAAAATTACCTCCTAAAGTACCTTCCCACGCCGATTTCCTTTTAGAAAAGGTGCTACATTTAAAAACCTGTGTAAGTCTTCTGGAATAAAAGTTGCGTACAGATAAAACAAATTTAACATCTTTGTAAAATTATAAGCTTCTTCGCTCCACTCAGAATCTAAAATGTGATTGATTGCACGAAAATTGCATCTATGATAGAATAAATTAATAATTATAGTGCTCTTACAAGGATTTATGGGAAGAACAGTTTTTGAGGAAAGGATAATGGGAATAGGAAAAGGATACTCCATACATTCAAAAAGAAAATAGTTATACAATTTAGTCGTTAAATAATATAATAATTATAATATAAAAATATTAAATATAATATAAATATTCATAATTTATGAATCATATAACGATAACTGATAAGAAATTCTAATTTATGATATGGTACTAACGCATGCGCAAAGGTATACGGTTCAATTCAATTCTGTGTTTAGACCATAGAGTTTGATTTCTTTACTATTACTTACTTTATGGTTTAGACCCTTAATAATTAATAACCAAACCTTAATTAATGTTAATATGTTTATTTAGACCATAGACCTATAATATTATAAGTCTTATTATAACCGTTTTAAACCATCGTTCCATTTCAGTAAAAATACACTGGGTCGTTCGTACATACGCGTAATAAATAGATAAAAAAATAAAATAATTGAATCAAACAAAATACAAACACGTCCGTCGTTCGTAAATACGCACAATTAACTGATAAAAAGAATAATGTAATTTGAGAATCGAACATAAATTAAATGATGAAACGTGGTAAACAAAATAATGCATATTCTATAAATATATATATAACATAATAAATAACAGACCGAGTCCTCGGGGTCGTTTTAATTTATCATCGTTTCGTGTTATCTAAAATTCTAAAATTAGATAATTGTATACAATTTTCTAAAATTAGATAATTGTATACAATTTTCTTATCGGTATTTTACGCAGTATACATATCGGTGTTACGCAGTATACATATCGGTGAATTATGGCATCCAAGTCTTCATGAAATGTATATTCATTTTAAAATAACGAACAATTTTTAAATTTGTTGTTGTGTTACAAACGGAGCCCTTGGTAAGCGATTGCGGAGCACCGGTTGGGAACCGCTGCTATAATAAATATTGACATAGTTTGTAAAAAGTACACTAGATAGTGTTAGTGGTCTTACCAAAAAGTTAGAAGATTCGAACTTCATTTATCACACGTTCGTTCGGTATTCTGTATATCTTATTCGTGGCGTGTACTAAAACTGTGATAATACGTTATTTCGCTATGATAAGAAATACGCCTGATAAGATAGCAAAACGTGAATTTTTGTTTTATCAAATGATTACGAATAACATTTTAATAAATCCGGTTGATTACATTAATTATTATTTATGTTAAATATATTTCCTTGCGTTATATAGTAGCAAATAATTCATTATTTGTACATACCAATACTTGGTATTAATTAAAACAAAAAAGCCAAATCATAAGGTTATTCAAATTATAAAGAAAAATCAAATGACAAATATTTAATAAAATTACTCAAGTTTGACTTTAAATGTGACCATGGACAAATATTCAGTTTAAACAATGGAGAAGGAAGAACGTAAAGAAGTTTATGGTAAGTATATATATTTTTGGTGATTCTAGAAAGGAAAATAATGAAAATCGTGAGGGATATGGTAAACTGCATTTGTTCCAAATTCAAATTTAATTCATCATTCAAGTAACAATTTATAGTGCTTCAGATCATTTGAAAATCCTCATTTTATATTCAACCATTCAAAAGTTTATCTAAAAATCTAGTAAAGAAAGTAGATTTAGTAGTCTAGAGTAGTCTAGAAAGTATATCTATTTGGTTTTACCTAAAAATATTTACTATTACCTATTCGAAAAATTGGAAAAACAAGTATAGAATATCTCATGAAAAATTTTGCATCCTAAAGAGGGCTAGAGATTTTTTAATTACTGAAACTTCTTTCAATTTTCTAAAGGTTCAAAATAAATATTTAGAACATTAGTGAGATTGTTAATTGGTATTATGACCAAATAATTTGAGTTACCGATTTTGTCTTTTTAATTTTGTTATTCATAATCAATGCTAGTAATTATACTAGTAGGCTATTTTTCTTGTGTGCAGTTATTTTAAATCCATATTCATAGGTTTCCTATAATTGTTACTTATTACAAATTAATTTTATACATTGTATAATTTATTTATTTATTAAAAAAAAACAATTTTCAGATACTCCTGTAACCGATGAAAATGGGTCTCCTATCAGCATTGTATGGAAACCTGATCGTATGTATTTTTATCCTACATACAGACTGTAACACAAAGATCTGACACCTTAAATAACTTATTTTATTTAATAGTTTTAATTTTTTTTTTCTTTTTATAATTACTGGAACCTTGTGTTATGTTTCTTATATTATTATTATTATTTTTTAACTAAAAATAAAAAATAAAATTGCATACAATTTTAGATAGCTATATTTTATAAATATATTTTGAAACAAAATGTGGGTGTTAAAAATATTTATTAATGTTAAATAGTAATTTTCTAAATTATTAACAATTATTTATTATTTAAAAAAAACCTAAATATTTTTAGTTTATATTAGATCAATAAATAAACTCATTATTTTATATTTATACAATGTATTTATTATTATGGGTTGGGGGTTATAAAAAACCAGTACCAAACAGTATCAGTTCTTTCGCAATAATATGATGAAGTTTATATTGAAATTGTAAGGTTAAGTCGAAGTCACTAAAAATGTCCAAATGTACCGAAAAAAAGTTATGTATATATGTGTATATTATAAAAATCACAAAATAGTATAATAGTCTTTATTTTCGGGGGAAAATCCTACAGAAGTATAAAATAGATGAACCATCGGCCAAGTCTCTAAGAATTAGTACAAAGTTAAAAATTTTTGAATGAACAAAAGTTATTTTAGGTGTCAGATCTTCATTTTATACCCTGTATATTTATTATTATTATTATAACTTGAGTAAATATTGTATTATAACTATGATATTTTATTTTATAGTTTATAAACTTCAACAAGAATCCCCTAAGCCTCAGCCAGTATTTGCATCCAGCGCAGTCTCTGGATGTCCCTTTTTCTATGGTCTTGAATATCATGGAGCTATGAATCATAAAGAATCTAATTCATTGTTAAAAAATGATGGCAACTATCTTATACGATTAAGTATCAGTTCAGATGATAAAACGTATACGCTTTCCCTAAAGTAAATAATGCCATATACAATTGTACACTCGGTTAATTGTAAATACAAATAATCAGTTGATCATATTTTTAGAATTTTTGGAAAAGTTCATCACTATAAATTGTTTTACGATGGACAACATTATGTGTCACAAAAACGTTTCAATACAATTAATGATCTTGTTGCGGATGGTTTAGTGAGTTAAATTAATTTTAAATTATACAAGTAATTTATTTAACACAACAATCCTATCTTTAATAAAATTTGATTTAATGCATTCTTTTCTTTGGTGTGTATGTAACGTTTTTTTCTTCATTTTAATTCTGCATAGTTAACTAACTTTGAACATTTAATGTTTTAATATTTTTATTTCTGTTCGTTGGAATAATTTTTGTTTAAAATAATATTAATAAATTATAATTATAAACTGGTTGCAAAAAAGGCATGTTCTCTTTTGAAACTTGGTATATATAAAAGTTATTTTTAAATAACAGGTCACTTTATATATGGAATCTAAAGCTGGAAAATACATTCACCTTATGCATAGTTTGATTAGCTATGAGAAAAGTCCTTATATGACTTTAAATAAACTTAAACGTAAAACTATAAAAAAACTTAAACCAAAGCAACTCAATTGTGAAGAAGTAGTCGATTATGATAAACCTCACAGTTTTAAAACCCATAACTTCAAAGGGCTTAATTGGTGTGAGTTGTGTGGAAATTTTTTATGGGGTTTTACTCAGCAAGGAGTAAAATGTGAAGGTATGTTGATGTTTAGATTTTCTAAATGCTGTGATTAATCTGTAATATTTTATTACTATCTTAGATTGTGGTTTCAGTGCACATTTTAAGTGTTCTGAAAAGTTGCCGTCCGATTGTTGTCCAGACTTAAAATTATTTCGAGGTGTTTTTGGAATTGATTTAACTACTCATGTTAAAGCCTATAAAACGAATAGACCATTTGTTGTAGACAAATGTGTTGAAGAAATCGAACGACGCGGTATGTCTGTTGAAGGAATTTACAGAGTATCTGGATTTCAAGAAGAAATGGATAGTTTAAGACTAGCATTAGATAAAGGTAAAATTTGAATTACAATTTTATAAACTGATGATTACTGTAAAAACATAATAATTTTCTAATATTTTTTTAGTATAAAGTAAATGTAACATTAACAATTTTTATAATACTATTAAAAATATATATATTTTTGAACTTAAAATTAATATTTTCAGTTAGATTAGTTAAACCATTTAGATTATTGGATAGTTATTAAATAGTTAAACTATTAATATTATTGTACAAATTCTAGAACATATGAATTAATAATTAATTTGGAGACTATAATGTTTTTATGACATAACTTGTTAGTTTATATTTTAGTTTTGATATGTTTATATTTGCTATTATCCTAAAAAAATACAACTATTATGTTTGTTTTATAGATGGAAAAGCAACTGTTATGGGTGATCAGGTTTATGAAAATATACATGTGGTAGCTAGTATTTTGAAAATGTACCTCAGATTACTTCCAATACCGCTTATTACATTTGATGTACATCCACTTGTTTTAAGAGCATTAGGTAAACACACAGTTGTCTTTATGTAATTATATGCAATATAATATTATCTAATCACAGATATCTTTGTAAATGTAAAATATGCAGCCAAATCAATAATGAAAATCAATTTTTTTTAGAAATTCAAGGGAAGGACTCATGGGAAAGACTGGCTGAAGTGAGAGCAGCTTTGAAAAAATTACCACCAGCACATTATAACACATTAAGTTATCTAATGGCTCATTTGTACAGGTAAATATTAATACGGACATAAACTATTTTGTACAATACAACAAATAAAAAAGAATATTATTGTCTCATCCATATAAAAAATATAGGTATGAGAAGTTTAAAATTATAAAATATACCAATTCCAAAACTACTTGATTCCTTGTAAATATAGGACACATATGAATTGAATTTATGTCATATTATGTTTTATACTAGCAGTTTTGTGTAAATTAATGTCTCCATTAATTTGTGTTTTGTTGTTTCAATATCAATTAATGTATTACTAATTAATTTTGTCCCTTTACTAGGCATATTATTATTATCTCGGAATCAAAAACATCAATTATCTCACAATTTCAATTTCAGGGTGACTTTACGATCCGAGGAAAATAAAATGACTGCCCAAAATCTAAGTACTGTCTTTGCTCCGACTCTAATGCCAATGCCAGATTTAATTGATTTTAAAGGTACAATACCGGACATGAATCGCGATATAAGTGCATTGCACATGATTATTGACAACCAAAATGTAATTTTTAATTGACCTTTAATTGTAGTTTTACAATCTTAACTAGGAAAACAAATTAAATTACATTTTATTTTAATTTATTAAGTTAGGTAATTCAGTATTATTTTACAATATTCATATTTTTTTTTACAGATTTTTTAAATTGACAGTTATATAAAATTGAATTATTTATTAATTTGTATTTTAAATTAAGTATCTTTGTTATTTTATATGAGTATATATATTTTTGTACTAATGAATGATTTTTTTTATATATATAATTTATACAAATATATATCACTAATTTTATTATATTGGTTTTGGTGCTTTGGGTAATTGATTACCTATATAGATAAATAGTGCAAAACTTGATATTTTTAACAAAATATATTTTATATACATTATTATACATAACATTTAAATACCTTTAATTGTAGTGTATATATATTTGTTGTTGGATGAATTTTGATTGGAACGATACGTTCCGTCCGGAGACGACGACATCATGTAAGCATTATTAATTAAATAAAAATGATAATCAATGATAGTTTGATCAGCGAATACTTACGTAAAAACAACCGAACGCTACGGCCACAACTGAAAAAATAAGTGATTATATTATATAAATAGTTGTATACCTGTTAAACATTATTATTAGCGGGGCAGAGGACTGGAAGCTCTAGAAAAAAAAACCAAATATGCCCTTAAACTAAACCTTAAATTGAATATACATTACAAATATGCATTTTAAAATAGATATTTTTGAAAAAAAAAATAAGAAATATACGACCGTATCAATAATATTTTGTGCCGTGAACAATATCTTATCTGTCTATAGATAAAATCAATAACCGGAAAATAAATCTAATTGGTGCGATGAGCCGGACTGGGTAGTATGACTCATAACTACATATAGACAAAGTCGCCCGTAACTGACTACTCCTCAGTAGATGTTGAATAGAAAAAGGTTTAAAGTCAGTAAAGAAACGCTTATAAACAATGAAAGTACTTTATTAACTGAGACTTGGCAGCCCGTGGTTCACACAAATGTAAGGTGGGATACCAACAAAAAGTATGCCAGTTAAAACTACATCTCAAAATGAATATTATGAATTATATTTAAAGGTATTTTTAATAATCTCTTTGAAACAAATGTTATTATCATAAAGAAAATTAGGAATTTGTGTTGTTTTTTAGTTCTAATAAATTTTTACTTGTAAGGTGGTAACATAAGTGAATATTTACTAGAATTATATTTTTTTAGGCTAATTGCAAACCATGCGAAGTTAATTATCAAAATATAGTGAATAATGTACTACCAGTTGAAACTACATTTCAAAATGAAAATAATGAATTTTATCCAAAGATATTAAAATCATTTTAATTTGTACAGTAAAAAACTAAAAAATAGTTTTTCTTTTATTATTTAATTTGAATAATTTATTGTTTATTAATGTTTATTGTTTAATATTTATTCAGGTTTTTGATATTTCCTACTCTAAAGAGGAAAACGCGATTCATATTAAATGTTTTTCCATGAGACATTAACAATCGTTCATTTCATGCAAAGTATTATGGAATATATCATTGGATTGAATACTCAATTTTTAAAAAATGAAGTTTTTGTTTTGTATGTAGACATTTTTCTTATAGTAAGAGTACTTGAGGCCAAAATAATAATTTTATTGTTTTTATTAATGAGGGTTTGAATAACTATAAAAAAAAAGAAAATGAGTTTTAATAAGCAGGAATTAACTGAAAGGCATACATCAAGTATTGAGAAATGGAATTTATATTTAAATGTACAATTAAATCAAAAATAAGTTTGCAAATAAATTAATCCATTCAAGAAATAAAGAAATAGTTGAATATCGGAAACAAGTGTATTTTTTAAAGAAAGCAACATGTTTTTAAGTAATCAAGGTTTGGCTTTTTGAGGCCATGATGAACCAACCAATTCATTAAATAGAGGTAATTTAATGGATCTTATTGGAATGTTTGGTGATAAAAGTTAAAAGAACAATTGCAATCCAAAGTGAAATATGGTCATTACATATCTTATTCAGTATAAAATAAATTGATTAGTGTAATTGCAACATGTACAAGAGAAATGATTGAATAAAGTTTCTTATTTTGGTGCTTTTACATTATTAGTTGATGAAACTAAAGATTCCAGCAAAAACCGAAATCCCTGAATTATGTTAAAACTGTAATATTTTTTTTTAGTTTTAAAAAGGTATATATTTAATTTGTATTTGATTATTTTCCTAGCTTCTACATTTTTTTCTAAAATAATTTGTACTGTTGCTGTTTAATATACTCTATGATAATATTTTTGCTTAATACATAGTTAAGCCTTAATTCTACTTTTTAAGTTTGTTGAACAATTTCAAATTAGTTTTTTTAGAAAAGAACCAAAACTTATTTAATATTTTTGAGGTGTTCAGCTATTCTAGTGTTAATAATTTCAACTCAAAATGTCCATTTTTATCAAATTTTGCTAAACATTACAAATATTTTGGAATTGATTTGTCAAAAATTCCATCAGAATTTTTTTTTAAAATCAATACTCACATAAAATAAAATGCTGAATTTTGATTTAGATTCGATAATCGATACACTTAAAAATCTTACTAATACATTTTCAGAAACTTTAAAAATTTTACATTTAATTAACACTTCTAGTCACAGTTGCTTCAAACGAGAAATTATTTTCCTCGTTCAAAATAGTTAAATCTTATTTAAGAACTATAACAGTGGATGAACGATTAAGTGATCTGATGATAATAGTGGTTCAGAAACATGAAGTAAGTCAAATATACTTAGAAAAAGCTGTTGATAATTTTACTAAAATGAAGAATAGGAGATTTCTATTTTTTTAAACTTTCTTTTTTTTCTAGCTTTCAGTTTTGTTAATATGTTAGTTATTGTACTAATTATGATTTACTTATTATATATACAATATACTTGCTTACTATAATCTATTATATTATTATAGTTTTTTGTACTAAATAAAAAAATCCTGCATAAACAAATAGTGAAAAACAAATATTCAAATGTTACAAGTCTTCTGCTCTAATTATGGGTTATAGTGAATTTTTATACTTAGTTGTCTGTCATGGTAAATCAACAAAACATTGACAGATCATGGCTTTTATACATAAGATATATTATGGATGTTAACATTAAAATGAAAATAAAAATTATTTTGTTAAACTATAACAAATAAATATATTATGATATAATACAGAAATATTTATTTATTTATTTAAAGTAGAGATTAGTAGCCCAATGGTTACAATTACAAATAAAACTTAAATTGACAAAAAAAATAGGCTAACAACATAATTAATTAAGATAGAGAAAAGGAGGGTTCACAATTAACTACAAATCTCATTATTCTTGTAAGAGGCACATTAGCAGCGTACTTGGTCATAAATACCGGGACATAGAAAGGGTAACAAAAACGCGAAAAAAAGAAGATACACCTTAAAGTTAATGTATCAAAAAAGGTATAGAAAATCTGTAAGACCTGAGATTAACTTGTTCAAACTTTTTTGTCAGCTAGAGAAGACAATTTCAGGGAATTAAGAACAGCAGAGTAATCTTGTGGTAGGTGATCTATTTCCAATACACCCTGCAAAGGACAAGAATTTATCCTGTACTTGCTCCAGGACATAACTATAAGTAGTAGTATGTTGATTCCATAACATAGAGGCATATTCTAAAACAGAGTGTATTAGGGTATAGTATAAAGATTTGATTGGGGCAATTAATTTAAACTGAGAAAAAATATGTTTTACAAAACCAAGAATTTTTAGTGCTTTGCAACAAGGTACTTCAATATATAGATAGAACATTAATGTTGTATCAAAAACTATGCCTCATTTTTTGATTATGCTATCCACACAAATGAGGGGGAAAACTGGATTGGCAAGACACTGTTTATTATTATTTATTAATAGAATTAAAGTGGTCTGAGAAAAAATTAGCAGTATTAACTAAATTTTTACTGGTTATTGAAAGACACTATTTTAGGAATTAAGTTCTCAATTTTATTTTTCTTAACAAAATCCCAGAACTGTCTTGGCTCAGCCTCAGTACGCTCTATAAACATTCTGTGGCAATTTTTTAGATTCATAATTATATTTGGTATGTAGGAAGGAAAAATTCCAGAATATTTAAACTACATTTTTAATTAATTATTAAAATGTAAGAACATTAAAAATTCAAGATAAATTTTACAATACTAAACAATATAATAACTTAGTGTTGGAGAAGATAGTAAGAGAAATCAATTTATGTGAAGGGGTTGAGTTAGGTCGATCGACAATTAATATTCTGGCATATGCGGATGATATCTCTCTAATGGGAAGGAGTAGAGAGATGATAATAAAAATGGGGAAATCACTTATAAAGGCTACGGAGAAAGTAGGACTAAGGATTAATGAAGAAAAACAGAGTACATGGTGGTCAGTCGGAGAAATGGGAATCAGGTACAAGAAGAATTCATTGAAGTTGAAGAATACAAATTTAAAAGAGTGGACCAATTCAAATACTTAGGGTCAATTATAACTCAAGATAACGACATTAAAACAGAAATTTCAATGAGATTACNAATAAAATCACTTATAAAGGCTGCGGAGAAAGTAGGACTAAGGATTAATGAAGAAAAAACAAAGTACATAGTGGTCAGCCGGAGAAATGAAAATCAGGTACAAGAAGAATTCATTGAAGTGGAAGAATACAAATTTAAAAGTGTGGACCAATTCAAATACTTAGGGTCGATTATAACTCAAGATAACGACATTAAAACAGAAATTTCAATGAGATTACAATTAGCTAATAAATGTTTCTTTGGACTTAGTAAAAATTTTAGATCAAGAGCAATCTCTAAGAATTTAAAAGTTAGAATGTACTTAACTTTGCTAAGGCCAATTGTCCTGTACGGAACAGAAACATGGCCTCTAAGAAAGACTGAAGAACGAAGAACTGCAGTATTTGAGAGAAAAGTACTCAGGAAAATGTATGGGGCATACTATGATGTTCTCACAAATGAATGGAGGAAATTACATAATGAAAAACTGCAATCCCTTTTTCAACGACCGGATATACTGAAAGAGATAAAAAAAAAGAAGGCTAGTTTGAGCTGGACATGCCTGGAGGAAACATGACGCATTAATAAAAAGAGTAATAGAGAAAAACCCAGTAGGGAGGAGACCTCTTGGAAGACCGCGTTTTAGATGGGAGGATTGCGTAAGGAGAGACACTGAAACAGTTGAGCCGGAGTGTCATTGGCAGGAAGTAGCAGAGGATAGGGATAGGTGGGAGTATGTTTATCTAGAGGTATGTTCTTGAATGACCGAAACCAAGAAAGAAAAAGAAGAAGAAGAAGAATACTATACATATTACTAATACATTTAGACTACCTCCATTCATTCCTAATTTCATCCAACCAAATTACATCAAAATATAGATATATTCTTATCAAATAATTAATAAATAATTGTGTATAATATTATTATAGAAATTTAATATATAACAAAATGACGTTTATGTTTTTAGGATTCGCTAAGGATTATGTTCTGTATCTGTCTCAGATGGCTAAAAAATGTATGACATATTATTGTAAATCTAACTTAAAAAAAAGAACATACTTCATACGGTGGGTGGGCCACTATTGTATGTGAGAAGTTGGAAAGGTAGTTTATGGAAATGATTTTAATGTACACCTCTACGCAATTATTTATCTTTGCTAACGAAAAACAATTTTGAGTGAAATTCGGTTATACATGTTTAAAAGGCTGTAATATTTACAATTTAAAAATAATACATTTTAACCATTTTGTACATTTTCATGTTTTACCTACGTTTTTCCCCGGTTTCCCATTTATGATAAATACCACTCGGAAAATCAAAAAATAACTTTGTTTTAAGTAAAAACCCAGCCAGATTTCCTTTCAGAAAAAGTGCTATACTGTTGATAATCTGAACGAAATTGCTTGTAAAAAAATTGCCCACAGATATTAATAATAATAATTATTATTTAATAATTTATCTATCAATAATTAATAATTAGGTTTTAATATTAGGTTAGGTTAGATAGTAATTTTATTTTAAGAGTTTTCATAATAAATGGGAAGAACCGGAAAAGACATATGAAAATGAGGAAAGGGAAATTTTAAGAAATGTATTATTTTCAACTCGTTTAGGCATTTCAAATATGCATAAACGAACTCCGCTCAGAATTGTTTTGCATAAGCAATAATTAATCGTTTTGTACAGATATACAATAAATTGCTCTATTCCCTACTTTTCCATCTTCCACCTACGTTGTCCAGTGGCCTACGTTCGAAGCTTGTCCAATTTTTTCTATAGTCAAAAGTATGACCAATTTAATCACAGTTAAATATGTAATTGAAATAAAAATTTGTACACACGTCTATGATATAAAACGAATGTTTATTTTTGTTTTAAAATTTATATTATTCCTTTTTTAAATTATATTATGTAAACTATTCAATTACATTGTTTATCAGCAACCTGATGATGGCGTAAGCCAAAACTAAGTAGTTGTGTAAATAAAATTTATTTTTATGTGAATTTTTTAAACAAACATTTTCTGTATAATGTAATTGAGACAATTTGTAAATTATAAATATGTTTACGCTGTCACATTCAGTTTCTTCAATCGATTTTGGTTTTTATAATTTCAGTGAAACCTTTAGGTGCAAAAGACTGGTGTTCAAATGGTTAGTATAAAAACCTATTATATAGTCTAATATATTATAGGATACATTGAATATATGTCGGTAAACCATGAGAAGCAAAATGTATGTTTGTGACTAGAAACTTACGAAATGATAAAGATAAGTCAGACTTGGAAGTTGATGGAATATCATTTTAACAAGTGCATGACATTAAATTCCCTTAAAGCAATATGAGTACTAGGGACCGTAGGAATAATAAATTTATGCTCCGTTTCAAAGATGGAAATAGTTGTAACATTACCATGACACTTCTGTTTAAGCCAAAAATATTGTTAAAGAAAACCAAAGAAAATACATACATACTAAATATATCAAACTAGTGGTGTTGTATTCATGTAGTACCTTAATATAAATGCAGGAGATAAGAATAATTTAAATATTATTGAAAGAAAAGTGTTAAGAAAAATGCACCTACAGCCCTGTATATATTCGCAATACTTGAATTTGAGGTCAAAGGAAAAATGAACAGCTTAAAATATTATACAAGTTAGAAGATAAATATCAAATTATAAGTGATGCAAGATCGAGGTGGGCAGGCCACGTTTGAAGAGTTGACGATTGTATAGCAAAAAGAGTACTCATGAATAACATAAACTAGAAAATGCCATGCAGTCGACGAAGTAATGGTAGTTAAATATATTAAAAATAATAGGAACAAATTATTGTATTGTGAACAGAGGGCATAAATGGTCTGTAATACAAAAATAATTAAAAATTAGATATTTAACATTAATTAATGTCTTGGTGTGGTTATTTTTCAAAATATAATATTATTTTAACTAAATTAATGTTATTATAGTAGAAGTTAATATTTCCATTTCAAATCAATATTTTTTATTCATATATTTCATTAATAAAAATTGTATTATTTTTAGACTCGAAACGTACATGGAATGTATTGGTTTTACAATGATGTTTATTTTTTCATTCTATTTGTGAACAACTTTTCTACCAGAAATCTTTCTTCGATTTTCAAGTGTAGTACATTTTCTAAAAGAAAGTTTTATTTGAGTGATATTTTAAGTAGACCATTTTTTTGATTTTCGAAACGATTTCCATAATAATTGGGGAAAATGGAAAAATATACGTACAAGTCTGAAAAATCTTTGTTCCTAATAATTTTTCGTTAACAATAGTTTATTGTGGCCTACAGATATAAATGAAATTCCCTTTTATATCCTATATTTTTAACTTCTCACTTACAATAGTTGTCCACCCATCATGTGAATTGTATCCGTATTTTTTTTACAATATTATAATTTTAGCTAAATTTACTTTGTTTTAGCTAAAGCTATGAAAAATTCCACTAAAATGTACGTAGCTGTGGTTCAAACACCAAAAAAAGGTTAGTCAAAATAAAAAGTAACATTTTATTATGAATTTTAAAAAAATATATCTCACATTGAAAATAGTTCGGGACTTACATTTTGTAAATTTTAATTTAATTTAATTTAAATTTTTGAACCAATTAATATCTATATAAATATAACAAAACGTTGATCAACCTAGTTCTGCTATCAGAGACAAATTCTACTCACTCAGCCAATTTTTTGTTGTAAAACATTTAATTTTAGATTCTGAGTGTATCGAGTAATGTATTGAATTTACTATAATGTGTGCTTTTTTCGTCTCTGGAGAACTTTCTTACTAAAAATCTGTCTTCAAGCACCAAAAGTACCATATTCTCTTAGAACAAGTTTTATCTTGTTGTTACGTCGATGATGTTTTTTTTTGGTATTCCAAAGGAAATTCACCTTATCTGTGGCCAATAAAATTAATTAATAATAACTTTTACAATTGTCCATATCGTCAAGAAAACCCATAAATTAACGAACAAATTGAATGTTCGTAAGAATAATAAAAAAAAATGTGTTCCAGATAACCTTTAATGGTTAAATTCCAATTAAAAAAAGAAGTAGGCCTTTCTCTTGTTCTAAATGTCAAAAATGCAAAGTTTTATTAATATTGGAAAAAAACTGCAGATTAGTATATTAGAGACACAGACAGAACTTACCTTCACTTAAAATTAAGTTTTACAAAACTCTTCCTTTTGATTTTCTCTTCTAATAAAACTTTATGGGAAAAATCGTTTAACCAGAAAATTATACCTGGTTCTATTAATAATTATCAAACTTCCACTTTCTATTATTTTTTAATATAATATACTTTATGCCCGATTCTAAAATCGGTCAATTATTAGAGTATAAAATTAAAATAGCCATGTTGTTGCTCATGAAAGTAGGAATAAAGTGAGTTTATGGACTAAAAAAAAAAACTAACTTAGCTACAATTTAGATTTTTATAATTTATTTGTTTATTTGAACGGTCGAGCCCGATAAAAAAAAATACAATATCGCATAATATCAAATATAGTAATACATGGTAATTAGTTATGGAAATAATACAATACTCGTGAAGAATACATCATAAAGTTGACAGAAAGTTACTAAGGTGTACATTAAACAAACATAAACAATTATTACAGAATAAGTAGACATTTATTTACAAGCCCAAGTTTTACTATCGCAGTGTTTTGAGAGTAATTAATACGACGAGTTAATTAGCACTTATTACTTTTATGGGATACTTTGTTTAGGTGGGGGTCTGGAACATTGCTCTTTTTTTATGGTTAGGGTTTTTTTAGGTATAATAATAATGATAATTTTAATATATTAATTTATTTAATAGTTAATTTGCAAACTAACATCAGTAGTGGAGGATACGAACCTGCTAATGCAAGGAACCGAGGGTGTGCTCGATAATAATTTATTTATAAGTGATACCATTGTTTGAATTTAAGGTAGTGACAATAAAAATTAAATGATTTAATAATAGTTATAATTAGAGAACAGGGTGATATGCATTTTAAATTTACAAAAAAGAACTGAAAACTATCAAAATAATCCTGAATTAGCAGTTTCAAAAAAACAAAAATCGTAAAGAGGTTTTAAAAATTACTCTCCGAACGGCTCTTACTAATTAATACTATCTTTCTAATACCTACTGCAAACATGATTAAAACAAAGTAAATTTTCGTATAATACATACAGTTTTATTATAAATTTTACTTTGTGTTAGTCTTTTTGTAGTATTAAAAAATTGTAATTAGTACTAAGTAAAAGCTGTTAGGAGTGGTCTTTTAAATTTCTCTACCAGTTTTGCTTTTTTAAATATTTGATAAATGTTATTACATAGCTTTTTTGATGTTTTTATGCCCTTAATATTGTGCTATCTCAAACGAAATTTCTTGGTCACTAGATTGCATAGTAGTAGCGTAGTTGAATAAAATAGTAAAAAAGACGATAGGTTGTTATTCGTATGGCAACAATAACACAGTAACATTTAAATATGACTATATGTAATGGGTGAAAATATCAAGAAAAATGCGATGAGTGAAAACCACACAGACGGAAAGTTCACATCACCATTAATTTAGTTAATAAACAATCGAGTATGTTAAATATTTCTCGAATCATTAATTCCAAAACATATTTTTGTATAAATAACATTAATGATAATAAAAAAAAAAATATATTAGTAATATTTTGAAATCTTATTTGGTTGCTTTTGGATCTAGAAGTTCCTAAGCCTAGTTATGTTAGTAACTGGGTATGTATCATGGTATTGTATATGCTATCATATATAGTATTATAAAATTTAGTTATATTTTTATGAAATGTACAACTAGCGTAGCGAGTGGAAAATATTTTAGTTAAAAATAAAGGACTCATTTTTGTCAAGTATAAGCTGAGTATCTATTTATATTTCCTTTTTCTGTGATTGGATATTATTAGCTAATTTCCTACTTCTATTATCAAGGCAGAGTATAAAACTGATTAATTGGTTAATTTCTGTATGAAATATCTTTTGAACTCTTATTGTAAAAGACAACAAAACATATTGACACTAATGATATTTTCTATTAAATGCTGATAGATTCAAAAACAAATAATACCGTACTGTTGGACGAAGATTTTGAGGAAGAAATAGAAAAAAAAAAAGAAGAAGAAGAAGAAGAAGAAGAAGAAGAAGAAGAAGAAGAAGAAGAAGAAGAAGAAGAAGAAGAAGAAAAAGAGGATAAAGAAGAAAAAGAAGAAGAAGAAAATGAAGCTATTTTTGCTAAATTTCTCAAAAGTATGAATACTGAAAATAATGCTGGTAAGTCCAGGCACATAGCTAGTATTTTATTTTTGGAGAATGCGTCCAATCGTAAAATTTATCACTACCTACCATCAATTATATTATTTATACCAATAGTCTGATTTTTTGTGAAAATCTTAAATTTTGGGCGCGGGGTTCGGACCAAATAGACCCTCTGGCAATGTACCTGTGTAAGTTTTTTTCAATAAATGATGTTTACTGGTTAAGTAATGTCGTATTTCAAAAGGAAAATACACATTTTCAAAAATAATATTAAAATATTTTTTATTTAAATTTAATAACACAAATATACAGAGATCAGAATTTTATGTTAAAGCAATTTTCTTCTATAATTATACATATATATGACCGTGCCATGCTACCACACAAGTACATAGTGTTCCACTACTCTCTCCTGCCAAACCTTAAAAGTGGAATATATCATCAAAAGGTTGAAGGCAATCAAAAATATAAACAAAATTTATTTGTACTAATTCTCCATCTGTCTACAGAATTAAAAATATAAGTTGCTATTTAAATATAAAAAAGTTGAATTCTAAATATCCACAATAATGCTCCATAAATTTCAAATCCACATAAAATTTTTAGATTACACAGGACAATATATGCTATTGGGAAATTTCCACTTTCAGAGTATAAAACTATGAGTTTGGTCAAATTTCCTTGAGAACTCTTTGGTCAAAACTTAATTTTTATATGATGTAGTTTAATAATTTTCCTTTATCGGTAAACAATACTCTGCTCTTATTTAAATTTCAATTTAGTAATACATCTGAAATTATCCATAAAATTAAATTTGCATTTCTTTAATATAATAACTGGAAAAATGGTTGTTTATGAATTAAAGTTATTCATTTTTCATGTATGTTTTATTTAGCTGAATCTACAATCAAAACTGAAGCTACAGGTACCTGTTATATTATTTCCGGTTTTAGACATAAGCTTGTTAATTTATAGTATCCCTCGTAAGTAATCACCCTGTATAAGTCATCAAAACGTGTATTGCGCAGAAATTTATACTCAGAAAACATGTACATTGAGAGCATACAATTTTTAAGTTTGGTCAAATCTCCTTGAGAATGCATCTCTAATCTTAATTTATATACGATCTAGTTTAATTAAAAAAAAAAGAACATAGAAACAGTCGATATCTGATTAAAGTTGGAAGCAGTCAGAGAAAGAAGTAATTTTAAAATAAATTGTAATGTCATCGGCGAATAAAAGAACTTTAGAGAATAAAAGGTTAGGTTAACTACTAATTGAGTTAATTAAAATAATGAACAGAAGAGAACTTACATATCCTCCCCGGGAAACTCCGGAAGAACTAATGTATAGCTCAAAAGAAGCGTCATGAACTTTCACAAGTTGCATTTTTGGACTAAGATATGACTGGAGCTATGAGAGTAAATAATTACCAATACAGAGTTATTCTAGTTTAAAGATAAGATGACTATGGATATCCATGCCGAAAGCTTAATTAAATTTAGTGAACACAGCGTCAACTTGACAATCAGACTCAAAGCTTTCTAAAATGTAGAATGTGAGAACTAGGCTATAAGTTACCGTAGATTTTCCAGAACGAAAAGTTTGCTGGTCATCCACTAAAATATGGTGAAGACTTCTTTTAAATTGAAGAGTATATTATGGATTCAAACAATTACTAAATATAAGAAAGGATGGAAATGGGCTTGTAGTTAGAAGCAAGTGAAGGATCGCTAGATTTAAAAACAGGGTCTTCCATACAGGCAGAAAAATACCTTCGTCATGAAAGCATCTAAAGTGAAGGAATAAAAGATAAACCAATAGAGTATTGACAATTATAAAGTAAACGTGCAGAAACTTCATTAGGTGCATTCGAGTTGTTGTTAGTTAGGGAATTAAGTGGATGATGCACATCATCAATAATAAAGAGGCAATTATAAGGAAGTTCATAAGGATTTATTTTTTAAAAGATCAAAAGATGATGAAATAGAAGAATTATACAAAGAGGAGAAGTACTTAGATAGCAGATTAGCATACCATGAGGATTATCAGCTGTATTATTATTCCAACGTAAAGTGGAGGGTAAAGTGTAGCACTAGTTTAAGTTATTAGTGAATTTCCAAAAGAAGATGAGATTGAAAGTGATCAAATTTTCGATTTTTTTTTATATAAGATTGATAGTCTATCTTCAATAGGCGTTTGTATTTCACATAAAGCTTGGAAAAAACTGATTAGTCACAGGGAGACCGTTTAAAAACTGCATGGGCGCCTTTTTTCTTCATAATAAGATTTTTAAGTGCATCAGAAGTACAAAAGGGAAACTATGATGATTTAAAGATTTTAGTAAGAACAAACAACTTAAAGGAATAAAAAAGTGCTTCATTAAAGATAGAGACATCACCATCGGTTGAATAATGAAAAGAGGTAGACTTAATTATAGGAGTTACAAAAATTGAGATATGACCGAGTAGTTTTTAACTTTAAAATCTTTATAAGCACTCATGCTAACTGCTGTTAACTGCTATACTGTCAAACAGGAATTTAAAGATTATCTGAGAGATATATAGTATTAATAAAGGATAAAAAGCAATTTAGTTGCTGAATTGACTGTGACTATACTGGAGTTAAAAAAAATAAGATCTAGAATACTGCCATGATTATTGGGAAAGAAGTTATGCAGGAGAAAATTTAAGTCAGAAAAATAATCAATTATAATGTGGAAACAACATTAGAATCATTAGTCGCAATTAATCCTAGCTCATCGGATGACCATGTAGCATGCGGAAGATTGTAGTCACCACATAGGATTACTGAATGTGGTTTCTGGGTGGATATTATTTACTCAACCTAAGCTACATGGGATTCAACTACGGGTAAAGGAGTATAGTGAGGGAGAGGGGGGGGGGTTAGTACACACCACCTTCTAGTAACTGGATAGATTTAAAGGAAAGTAATGCAAATATTTGTTCAACATTTGATACGTTTAAAGAAGTAGGACAAATGATTTTAAATGGTAAGGATAATTATATGTTTGTTTTTATATTTAAACTTTTTAATCTACATTTAATTTCACATTTCCAACATAATAATTAATAAATTAGGTCTGTTTTTTTTTTCGTTATTTAAATTTAGATGAAGAAGGTAATACCATTAATTATTTACCAATAGAATACGATTAATATATTATACTTTATTAAGTCATCATTAGGGCAAAAGACTTGTAGATCACAAAAGTTACTCAACATGCATTTGAATACTTAAAATATGAATTTATATCTTAAATAAAATAATCCAAAATATGCATTCCAAATATGAAATTTGAAATTGAAACAAGATTTTTATTTTTTTAATTATTTATTAAATTTATTTTACTTAGGCATTTTATAGTTAAAACCTGCATATTATACTTCTTCCGATTCTAAAAAAAAAAAAAAAAAAACATTTTAGTCATAAAAATGTCTAAGATTTTCATAATATATTAATTTAACACTTCAGGATCGAATTAAGACAAATAATTTTAGATTCTGAGTGGAACGAAGTAGCTCATGGTTTTATAAAGATATTTATTTATTTATTTTAACTGTGTGCAACTTTTATACTAGAAATCATACTTCGATTTTTAAGTGTAGCACTTGGAGAGGTACTTTAAGGATGTCGATTTTTGATTTTCTCAGGAGTTTACTCACTTAATTTTAAACCTGTAAAAAAACGGGAAAATGCACGAATGTATATTAAAATACTACGGCCTTTTTTTTCTGCAAATAACTTTTTTACACACAATTTGCTCCAATTTTCAAAGAAAGCACTTTTTCTAAAAGAAGTTTTACTGAAAATGTACTTTCAGGAGGTCAGTTTTTAAGTTTTTTAGGAGGTTTTTTAATATACCGGAAAAACTGAAAAAAAAAACATAGGAAAAACGAGAAAACGGGAAAATAGGTACAATATTAAACAAATATTATTAGAGAAAATGTTTAATATACATTATTAATATTAATATTATATAAAATATTATATGTATATTATATATAAACAAAAACACTAAAAATATACATTTGTATGCAAAATAAATTACAAATCTAACATAATACATACGTTTGGCTCCATTCGAATTGTGTCCCTAAAAACGAAAATATACGTCCCGACAACAAAGTTTATTTCAATAGTATTTCGTGGACTGTTTCAAGTTGCATTAACGAGAATAATTATTATTCTATTTCTATATGTTTGATATGAGCTCTTTAATATTTTTCCATCGATTATCGATTATATCGATACTTTATTATAGGTTAGTAAATATCACCTTACAATTGTAGGAAGTTAATTTTATTCATGTTGTTCATGTAAAAAATGTGTAAACTAATATTTATATTAAAATACAAAGCTCAAATTTAACAAACCAACGAAATAAATATATTGATAATAAAGAAAATATAAAAATAATGCTTATGTAATTACTTAACTATAATATGACACAAAAATTGTTGACAAAGCAACACTATCAACTGCAAACTCTGCTCAGAATGGTTTTTTCGTTAGCAATAGTTTATCGTTGCTTATGGATATATATTAAATTTTCTCTCAACTACCTTTTAGGTTCTCAGTGGGGGAAGAAGCTTATGGTTTTACAAAGAATTTTTTTTTTTTTTGTGAACAACTTTTCTACTAGAGATTTTACTCCAATTTAAAATTATTGCAATTTTTCTAAAAGGAAATTTGACTGGGGAGGTACTTCAAAAAGTAATTTCTGATTTTCTCAAGAAATTTCTCAACAAATGTGATAAAACAGGAAAAAACATGGGAAAACCGGGCAAAAAGGAAAAATTATAAAAAACCGGAAAATCGGTATATTAAACAAATATTATTACAGAAAATAATATTTTATTATGCATTTTTAATTATTTTTTATAATATGAAATATATATATTATTCTAAAAGTATCACTATCAACTAAATTCCGCTCAGAATCGTTTATTCGTTAGCAATGGTTTATCGTTGCTTACGGGTATATATTTAATACTTTTAATTACTTTTAACAGTGATTGCACTCGATCCTAGGACGTTTTTATAACTTCTCACCTACTACAATGGCCCACCCATGTGCGAAATTGCCCGGATTTTTTTGATAATGTAAAAAATATATGCAAATAATTTAAGTCTACTGCCCTAGTTATTATACATTTGATTTTAGTATAATATAATATTTAATTTGACAACATATTTTAATATAATTTATTTTTGCAGAATGTTTTGGTAAGATTAAAATCTACATTTGCTTTATAAGAACATGTCAAATTGTAATCAAAATGGTAATGGTATTGAAATTAAAGGTTTATTAAATTTTTTTTTTTAGAATTACTTAAGAAATTTTCTCTTGGTAGTAAGTTATTTATTCATACCTTAAGATGACGCTATACCGGCATGTGCTGTCTCAGTCCAACTAATGGGCGATATAGCAAAATCTACCATATGCAACACTGCGTAGAATTCACTTAATTTTGGTTTTAGAGTAAAATCATCTATTATATAATTAAAAGAGCATAATATTTCGGAGTACAAGACAGATTTTATTTTTTGTAAATTCAATTTTTGAAATGTTACAGTCATTTAAAAATGGCAAATTGGTTTTTATTTCTAAACAATACATTAAACGTTATACAATAAAAATTATAAGAAAAATGCTCCGTTTTACACCGCAGAATATTGTCCTCTTTTAATTTTATAATAGATACTTTTACTTTAAAACCAAAATTAAACGAGTTCTATGCAGACTGCGTAAGGTAGATTTTGATATAACACCGGTAGTTGGAGTGAGACAGCATATGCGAGTATAGCGTCCTCTTAAATAAAATTCAGATAATTGGTCCATTGTAATTATATATACGATATTATATATTCCTAGAAGAGTCTAGATATTGAAGTTTTTTTAGCTTATATACATAAATTATAGATACTTAATGATATATATATTTTTTGATTTATAATTATTTATTTATGATAGTGTAATATGTCAATTAACTTTAATAAAGAATGTTCATATAGATAATGTTTTATTGCTTTGGTACAGAGTTTGAGCTTAGGAAATTTTAACAGCACATCTTGCTTGTTTTGTAGAAGTAAATATATTTTCCACTCGCGTATACAATACAATATACAGCTATAATAAAATTTAAATATTGATATATACAATCACAAATTTACTATTTTATTTTTCTTCAAATCAAAAACAAATTGCTTAAATTATATCTTCGTGACTACAATAAATTAGCATTATTAAATTAAATTTTTCTTTTTCTTTTCTATAACGACTTTTTCATCATTATCATTATTTTCAATTAGGTGCTTTTTATTTGTAACCTCTGGAAACATATTAAATAATTTATAATAATTACTCTATAATTTTTTTGGTTTGTTCATTTCAAAATGTAATATTATATTCCCAATAATTTAAAGGATGCATATTATAATGTATATACAAGTACATAATTTCAGTCAAAATACTTTGAAAGTATTTTTATTTTTTATTTTAGGCAATTTTGGTTTAATCAATTTCACTCGTGCATATGTTAAATTCTACATAAACAGTGAGTAAAATAAATATATATTTTATAAGTATATATAATGTTATAATTTTGTTACAAACAACTTGACTGTACATTCCACGACTATCGAAAAAAAACATAATCACAAACTTTTTACTTTCAATAAATCAAATTTATGTGTAACTACACGTTGCTACTCGATTTTTCGGTTAATGTAGTTACAATAATTTTAATTATTGTAAACTTTAATAATTTTATAATAAAATGTTAATATTAATTTATTAATTATTAATCAATAATCATCTAATTAATTTGAGTAATTAATTAATTGTTACAATGTTGTTTACATTAACTGTTGGTATGGAATGACCCATAGACCTTCAGTTTCCTTAGCAGAGACCAATTTTCCCTAATCGAGTGAGTGAAGTCCATACCATTCATAGCCTGTGTTCCTCTTTTCTTTTACTCCTCATCAATACGGCGATGAGTTTGTCGGCATTTAGTTCGTTTCCATCCCTTTCATATTCTTTTAGTAATTCTTCGCTTTCCTTAGTCCAGCAAGGGGTATAATTATGTCTGTGGCCTCTTGGTATCGATTTCTTCGCAGTTGTCTTTATAAGGTTGATGAATCTGCCATAGTTGTCCGGTATAGGTTCAATTCGGTTGATATTATCATCAACGTATTTTGAATATTCTGGCCATGCTGCTTTACGCAGATTCCAACGAGACATTAAAGGTTTGTCTATGATTAGGATTATAAGACTAATGGTTACGGCGGTTGGCAAGTGCTGACTTCTTGGGATAAGGTTTTTGATTTCTCTATTTACGGTTAGAAGTAGGCCATAAGGGTCCTCCGACACGAAACAGAGATCAGGCAATATCGTCGTACCCCATCTACCAGATTTAAAAGTGCCCCCTTATTTGGCATCGTAGATCAGTTTAAGATGGTTAATTGCTGCCCAGTCCGAAAGTCTTTCGCTTTCTTCATTGTCAACGGAGTATCCCCACTCAGTATTGTGGGAGTTCAAATCTCCGACTTATATTACAGGATGTTCAATAACTGGTAAAACGGAAGCGGTCCACTTTCTGAAAGGGGGTTTGTGAACGTTAAATATGGTTAGGGGTCCAATGCGAATATCAACCGTGTGTTCGTTACCGGCCACTTGTTCAATGTCTAGGAATGATTTGCTTTGGCTTATATATGTTGCCAAGCCGTGTTTATTGTGGCCAATGTGATGCACCAGGTTGAAGCCGTTTATTTTTAGGTTATTTGTTTGACCGTCAGATATGTGAGTCTTTTGTAAACACCAACACATCCATGTCACCAAATTTTTTCCCTAAAATGTCAGCCTTGGCTCGAATCAGGCCTTCCACGTTAATCTGAGCTATTTTTAAATTGTTCTTTACCTTTTTAGTGCCTGCAGTATCATAGCGTGGCTGATTGTCATGCATTTTTTGTGTTTTTTGGATTTATTGTACCTTTTTTTACTTTTTTGCTGTTTTTATTTTATCAATCTCATAGTAATGAGAGGATGGGGTATGAACTCATAGTTTTAAAGTGGGCGTAGGCCTCAAAATTTTGAGAATCTATGCTCTAGAGTATGTTTGTTGTAGCCGAATGGTTATACATACCTATTGTCATCCTAGGTTTCTCGGAGGTTTAAATCCGTGTTTCGAAAAAAAAATAGTTTATCCTTATTTTTTCCCTTTTATCTAAACAATGAAAAAACAAATGTATTTTAGAAGTACCTAGATGCCAGAGTTTCAAGCAATCGCTCGTTCGGAATATTTTAGTCTCGAAATACCCCTCGATTTGTTGTGTAAACTTTTATACCAGAAATCTTGCTCGGATGTATCAAATGTAGTTTATTTTCTGAACTGGAAATTTATCTTCATGGTACTTTAGAGAGGTCATTTTTTGATTTTTCAATTGGTTTTCATAATATCTGTGAAAAACCTGAATAAAATATCGGAATAACGAAAATGTACAAAATGTAGGTATTAGTAAAATATTGTATGGCATTTTTTTCAACAACATTTGCTCCGATTTTAAATGATAGCACTTTTTCTGAAATAAAATCTGATTGAAGAGGTATTTTAGAAAGGTCATTTTTCGATTTTCCCTAAAGTTTTCTCAGCAAATGTGAAAAACCGGGAAAACGCAGGAAAAACGGGAAAATCGGTATAATATCAGTTAGTTATTAATTTTCTGCCAATAATAATTTCTGTATTATTATAATATATAATATTATTATTAAGGCCCTAGGTAAACTAAATGATAATACTTATGAATAAAATAAAGAATAAAATTAATCTATTCAAATTATTTGAACTCAATTCGTGACTATACGATAAAATGGTTCAGACCTTTCATATTTTATTTCATTCATAGTTTACGAACTCATAGGGCCAGAGCATTATTGGGAACAACATCACATGGTAAAGCAGTATTTTGAATGTTGAAATCTGGATATTGCAATCTAATATAAGTTCATAATATAGTTGTACCATTAATGTTGCAATAAATAAATTTGTTAATATTTTTATAAACCCACTGGAAAAACCAATTGTTCCATCATGCCACACCCTCTTTCAAGATGCACACGCTTTCGATATAAGAAAAATTAATTATAATAACAATAATTTAAAATATATTTTTTTTTTTAAATAAACTAAACCAACTTGAATAATTTAATATAGTGTAGGATGAGGTTTTTTTTATGCATAAGTAATTATGAATAATATTTTCAATATTCTAGTGAATGAAACTCCATCAATATTGTACTGTAAGTTGTGTATTGTAAAATATGTTATGAAGTCATTAAGTACTAACCAAATAGGCATTTTTATTTTTTATTTGGTCCTATGTGATGGATACAATTTTTTCTAGCTATAATGTTTGAAAATAAAACTTAAAATTCCTCACACATTGTGTTTAGTGATCAAAATAAATTTATTTATGTATTTATGCCATGACAAACTTCGTATGAAATTGTATCAATATTTACATACTTTTTTTTTTTTATTTATGCGTATATACTTTTATATTAATTCGTAATTTTCAATAGATAAATAAACATTAACATATATATATATATATATATATATATATTGAATCAGGCACTATACAGGGGGGGTTGGGAGTTCAACCCCCCCTCGAAAATTTATAGTTGTGTAATTAATTTATATTAATTTAACTAATTTGTTTATAATATTGATAATATTGGTAATATTGATTATTGTGAATTTTTATGAACCCCACATTTTTTTTTGTGTCCGTGCCTATATTAAACATAAAAGCCACTTTACTGGATACTTACAAACATTCCCCTAAAATTATTATAATTTTTTTCCGGATAAATTATTGTCGTATTTAAATATTTTTCGCGAGAAATATCGTATTCGAACAATTGATGTAATACCTACTTCCCACCTTCCCGCCTACAACAATAGCCTATCAATGGTAAAAAGTATGTCCGGATTTTTTAGTATTTTAATTAAAAATAAAATCAATACAGAAAATAAAACCAAAAATATATTTAACTGGTTTTAATAATTTAATAGTTAATTGTTACTTATGTATATTTACTTATTAGCGTTCGCAGCTATGTATTATGAATACCTTCAAATAGAAGTTTCTAAATGTATGTATTAACGTTGTGTGACTAATTTTATTTTATTATATTTTATTGTAAAAAATTTAACCGTAATAAGTATTTACCGTAAATACTAAATACAAAACATAATATGTTTATACACTGACATTTTATAATCATTTTAAAATCAGTAATACTTAATTAAGTTTAATTTCATTTGTAGATGAAATCATGAATGCAACGGAATGGTGTATACAAGGTTAGTTATAAAATAGTGCAACGGTCTCTGAAGTATGCTCCATGGCACCCTAGGCAACTATGGTATCTGTATAGCGGTGCCACGTCACCATGTGTTATATTTACTGGTATAAAAATACATTTTAAATACATTTTGCCGACTCGTTAAAGAGCTCGTATTTAACTAAAAAACTGCGTCTGGTTGAAAGCGTTTAATCAGAAGTTCCTTATGATTCGACAAGGCTTACAATATAATCTCACACTATTAATAATTACTAATAATTAGTAGGTATCTAAAATCTACAATTTAAATGGCACATGCAAGTGTCTTATGGTCCCCAGGTATCATATCAATTATATAAACATAAATAATTCCTTCCATCGGGAGGACAACTAATGTTTAACTAATGTTTACAAATTAATATACCCTAAACAAATTAAATGGAAATAGGAAACAGATTTATAGAAATATATAGATAGTGTCATTGAACATATTAAGTTTATACCGTACGGCTGCATTTCAAAACCTCATTGAAGTTTTTTTTTTATTAATCTTAAAATTTTTAATTTCTACTTCGACAACATAAGACCATTACATTAGCATTACATTTAAGGTACATAGAATAACACAAAAAACAATTTGGTTTATATTGCAATATTTTTAGTATTAATAAATTTAATATTTGAATTGTTTTGAAAAATTCTATAGTGTTTATTTTGTTTTCTGAGTTTGGCCCTAGACTTATTCCGATATCATGCCTTATGTTTAATTTTTCTCTTTGTTTTTCATATATTTTACATTCTTCGAAAATGTGTTTAATTATGAGCGTAGTGCCGCATGCTTGAAATATTGATGGGTCACCTTTTGCCATCAATTATCACTCTGCCATTCTTGTGTGACCAATTCTGGCCCGATTTAGTTTTTTTTCGTTAGTGGTACTAATTTTTGGATTTCTTTTCCATCTTTTTACTCTTTATTTAATTTGATTTAGTTTGTTTGTTTGGCAGCTCCAAATTTTTTATCATACAGAGATTATGTTTTGTTTTATTTGTTTTCTTACACCTATATACTGTAATGTGTTGATGTAGTGTGTGTTGGTTGGGTTGATAGAAAGTTTAACTTGTCTATCAACCCTTCCATTGCCATCTATTCCTTTGTGTCTGGATAACCATTTAAGAATTATATTATTGTTCTTTTTTTTTGCTTCTTCTAATCTGTTTTGAATTTGTATTGCTATGTTACTAGAATAAATTTATTTTTTACACTAATGAGGGTACTTAACGAGTCGCTTAGAATGATATATTTATCGTTTTCATTTTTGTTTATGAACTTAATTGCCACTACTTCGGCCGTACATATTAAGCATGTAGGTGGTAGTTTAACCGATGTTTGTAGATTATTTTTTGCTATTGATATCCCTACTCCTTCATCATTTTTAGAGGCATTAGTATATATTTCTTGAAATTCGTTTAGATGTTCAATAGTAATTTTTAGAATATTTTTGTAAACGCTTGGAGGTGTATTTTCCTTGCGCAGTGTGTTAAACTCTGTATTTATGTTGTATGAGCTTGTCCACGGAGGGCTTATTATTTTTTTCTTTTTTATTATTTGCGATATTTTATAACAATCTTGATTGTTTTGTAGTTCTAGTATTATTTTGTTCGCTGAAGCTGAGTTTTCTGCTAATCTGGATAATCTTGCCGTGTATAAAAGTGTCAATTCAGTTATAAAGTTAGACATCTGTGTAGACCAGGCCAGCGTGCACCATTTCTGTTGGTTGAACTTAAATCTCTTGATGATGTATCTAATATTTTACGAATAAAGTTTAAACTTCGTATTACTGGTCATTAGAAAAATATTTGGGAAATCAAGACCTCACAATTATTCAATATGGTCATTTAGTTGATCTTCGTACCGAGCTGAGAAATAAGCAATCAAATGGTCACCATAGACGGACCATCGAGCATGTCAATTTGAACCGTGTCTGGTTTCAAAACAACTAGCTTCTTGTCTTAATAGTCAACATAATAATGTAAATAATTTTTGTTATCAATTTATGTGTTTATTTTGGCTATTGTGAAAAATCGCCGTGGCCCTAGAACTAAGTTATTAACTTTTAAATGTAACATAGTGTCCTTTATTAAATATTTTTTTGTGTTAACGGAAACTTGATGGTTATACAATAATTTCTTTAACTATGATCTAGGAATGTTAAATTATAATGTGTATCGTTGGAAAAGGTTTTATATAGAATAATATGTTTCGATTGTGTCATATAATATGTATGCAATATTGCGATAAGGGCATGATTATCTATAGTTATAATATAGTAGTAGAAATTATAAATGCGACGAACAGTGAAAGGGTTTCTTGGTATATTGATGCTATATAATTGTGTGTTGTCTTTAAGTCTATTATTTGTGTATTCTGTTCATATTGTATAATTTTAGGTTTTTAATTCTTTTTTTATTAAAACAAAATGTTTCGAGTATAAACTCTATTTTGCTCAGATAATCCATAGATTTGTATTGCAAATAAAACCAGTTGGTAGCCACATGTAATATTATACAATTTAAAATATAATTACCTGGGTGATAATACTAATTTATAAATATAATATCTATTAGATACAAGTTTGATTCAAAAGTTCCCATTAGCGCGTTTTCTCAGGCGAGCCAATCTTATCTCTGCCGCGCGGTGCTTTCTTTGTGCTTCGGATGATGATGTTGGCGGGGTGTCACCATTGCCGTGCTGGACCACCAGCGGCCGTTCCGCATTCGGCTCTGTTCTCTTAGTCTATCGTCGGTGTCATTTTTGTTTGATCCACCGAATGCTTTCCGTTCTCGCTTTGATGTTTGTCGCGAACCGGTACACTGTCGCTATGAATATTCCACCGTGAGCTCAAACGTTTATCGAACCCTGATCATCTCCTACATTGTGCTCTGCCGTAAAGAGGCATCCGTTCACGCGTCACAAAGGGCACGTCCATTATCGCCATAGTGCGCGAGCGCCGCCCGTTAAATTATTTATTCGTTATTGTTATTGCTTGTACCACTTTTCTTCCGCCCGTTTGCTCAATGCCAACGTCGTGCCAAACAATACCACTCCTCTAACGTATGTCCGACGCTCGTGTCGGCCATAGGTACATTGGGCGTATACACGCACCTGCGGTCCGTACCGCCCGAGTCGTTCCACCGTGGTCATCACACCGTCGCGTCCCGTTAGTGTTTCTCTCAAAAATTCATTAGGTAGATAATCTATAGTTATTTTCATAAACTTGAGCTAAATGTGGACAATTTTTTTTTTTAGAAGCTTTTATAGAAAAAAGTGGAAACTATAGTGATCAAAATGAAAACGCTCTAGATGAGTTTGATGGTACGTTTTTCTCAATAAATATTTCAAACAGGTTAAGTATAATTAAAACCTATAATAATTTCCAAAAAGTTAAGTTCAAAGTAGACATTTTTTAATAACAGAAAATGAAGGAGATGGAGAATGGAATATTTCTGTTAAAAATCCGGATACTTCAAATAATTTTGGTATGTTTGTTTCAACATTTTAAATAGTATTAATTCATTATTATATGATATTTTAGTAAGTAATACAAATAGAGACATCAAGTTTATTATATTAATCAGTTTATTTAAAATTCACTTAAAAAAGTCAACTAAAACTTTAATTGTACCCAATTAAAACATTTTGTGGGATGGTTTTTTTGCATATATAATAAAATTAAGGTTTATTTAAACGGTAATATAATTATTATGTTCATACAAAACTATAATTTATGTTTTGTTTGTTCTTGTTTAATTTAACAAAACACTAATGAAATCACATATTAATTATTTTATAGAACAATGGAAATAAAATATTTAAACAATAAATACTCCGAAAATAAACGTATACAAAAACTAACTATAATAATAACTGAAAGTTGAAATATTATGTTTTTATAATAAAAATTTGGGAAATAAAAAGTTGTCGCCTAAAACTAATTAAAATCGATTTTTTTCCGCCTTTTTATTACATGAATTAATACATATAAAGATTTTTTTTTTTTAAATTAGCAATAGTGTGTTCTAGAACAAAAGCCTAATATTTATAAAATAATAAAAACCATTATAATCCAAGTTAATTATTATAAAAAATCGTGTATCAATTTTTATAAATATACAATTTATTTAGATTTTTGACAATTTAATTTAGGATTCATCAAACATTTTCTTTAAAATTGTTAAAAAAAAAAGTTTAGCTAATTTCACTAATTGTATCAATATTCAATAAGTATTTAAAATCATCCAAAAGAGTCGCATAACTAAAATATTTTTGTGTAAGCACACATGCTTATAGATCTCTTAGCTAGTTTTTTACCATTTTTCTTTTGGACAAGAAGGTCGTAAAGTCAAAATAAACCGTGTATATAATATAATCTGTAATCAATAATATTGAGTTAATTTTTTTACTAGTTTAAGATTTGTAGCACTCACACACACGCATACACACTTATACATAAATACACATTTATATAGAATACGCATTATATAGCTTGACAGTATTTGCTCGGCAACCCCATGCATTGCTGTTCGAGCTATCACCCATTACACTTCTAGCTATTCCTCCATACCTTTTTACCTATGACCTAGGTCCTAGGTGTTAGTGGTGCACAAAGGTTGTTGGTGTTTGGGCGCACACAACATCGTTTTACGATCCCGGCCCTTTCACTGAATCTTACCTCAAATAAGCTTTAGACGTCTTGTCTATATACTACGCAGGAAACCAGCTTAAACTCAATCCTACCAAAACATACACTTTTCACTTAAAAAAACGATAGGTAACACACAAACTCAAACTAAAATAGGAAGAAGTGTTTTTAAACCACTTAAACTTCCTCAAATACCTTGGAGTAATTTTACACAGATCATTTATCTATTTAAAACACTATGAAAATACGAAAGCTATAGTAAACACCAGGAACAACCTGCTGAAGAAAATTTTTCATTCACACTGGGTTGTAGACCCTACAACTCTTAGGACAACGGCTCTAGCACTCAGCTATTTATCTGCAGAATATGCCTGTCCAGTATGGTTCTTCTCAGCCCATGCGAAGAAAATAGACGTAGCAGTTAATGAAACTTGAAGAATAATCACAGAGTGCCTAAAACCAACAAAGCATAGCCCCACCAAATATAAGACGACATATGATAGCAGAAGAAGAAAACAGTTTATGAAACCTCGATGGAAAACACCCCTTGTACGAATACAAACCAAGTAACAGCAGATTAAAGTCGAGGCATAGTATTCTAAACAGCACTACAGGCACTTTACTATCAAAACCTCACAGATGCCTTCAAAAATGAAACGAAAGATGTAAAACCGAAACACCAAAACGGACAAAAATAATATTGAGGATCTACTCCGAGAAACAACCTGAAATATGGACATTGGAAAACTTTCAATCGTCAATGAGAAACAGAAGATACTGTAGAATGAACTATAGAATCTATAGCCTCATTGTAAAATACACACAAAAGCACAAAAAAATAAACCTTTATTAATTTCAAAAGAATTAAGCACAAATATTTGGAGATACATTTTTTTTTTTTAGTTTTTATTAAATATAATATTTAATATTTAGTTTTTCATAAAAAGAGAAAAAGAAGAGGAACCTAATATTTTTGTTTGAAAAACATACATTAAAAAACAATATTCAATTATTGAACGTTCAAACTAATAACACATTACGAAAATTGAAAGATGTATACTGTTCATAATAATTAATGATGGTAAAAAGTGTTGTGTTACAAGGAAAGAAAAAAATTAAATATTAGTTAATGATTGGATTAACTTACCTACATTAGGTGCAATTTAATAAATTTAGTTTTTTTTGCACATACAAGTTTTTTATATTTGCATATGCTTTCGTTATTTACTACAAGGTATATCGTACATATATCTAAAAAAAATGTTTGTTTATTTTTATTTTCGAATTTAAGCGTGAAGTGGAATGTATAGAATTTACTATGATATGTATGATTTTTTTTTCCATCTGACAAAACTATCTACCATAAACGAAAATTGAAACACGTTAAATAGTCGTATGATATAAAATATAAGCATAACACTAATTTATTAAACGCAAACGGAAATTTTAATGTTAGGACAAATGATAAGCGGTATTCAAGAACAACCTTAGCGGATTTTTGGCTTAAACGACGGATTTTGAATTTTAGAAGATACTTAGACTGTTTTGTACAAAAACAGACCGTACGAGTGTTGATAATATCATGATAACACTCATTGCACTGGAGAAATTGTAGAATTGTTTATTGATTTGTATATTCTTACAAAGAATTAAGGTTTTTTTTTTTTAATTTTCTCAAATTAGAATTAGAGCCGTTAGGGTCCTTTTCGCATTAATCAAATTAAATAGTTTACAATAAATAGATAATATGAAACAAATTAAACATAAATTTTGTTTTACAATTATTTAATAAAATCTCACCTAGAGCTACATTAACTACATTTGTTTTACGATCCATGCAAGGTGCAAACTATGGAAGGAGATTTTATACTAACTAAGCAAATTTTTCAGGAGACGGTACTTCAAAAACCAAAGTAGATCAGAAAAATACTCCAATAATAACTTTAGGTAGGTAAACCTGTAATAATATACAAAACGGTGAGCGTAATGCCATTTTTTTTAGAAAAAAAAACAAAAACAAAAGAAGATGGGAATTTTGTTGTTCAGCATCCAGAAAAAAGCACCGCTTCAGATGATCATGGTACGTTTTTCTCAACAAATATTTTAAACAGGTTAGGTAAACACATGTTACATAAAGTGAACATAATACCATATATTTAAGTAGAAAGAAAATTAAAAGAAAGTTCAAGGACTAAGTTTAACCTCCCAATGAGAAGCTCCTCTCTAAATGATTTAGGTAAGTTTTCACTATAAGTATTTCAAGAAGGTAAAGCATTAACACATCGCAAATAAACAAAAAATTACATATTTAAAAACCAACAATTAATTATTGACTATTCAAATCATTATAATTAACAGGTAATGTATACTGTTTATAACAAATTGCATTGGAAAATAGTGTTATGTAAAAAAAAAAAGCAATTTTCTTTAATGATTAAATATACAATGTCCGAAATATATTTTTAAAAAATTACAATTTTTTTTCTGTGGACAACTATTTTTTTAGAAAATTTGCTCCAATTTATAATAAAAGCACTTTTTTCTGAATATAAATTGGACTGATGTAGTTCTGTAAACAGATAATTTCTGAATATTTTGGTAGTTTTTTCTGCAAACGTAAAAAATCGGAATAAAACTGATGAAAAAGGGAAAATATAGTAGGTATAAGTTGATGGAAATATGAAAGTCATTTTTTTTCTAGCTAACAAATTTTCCACAAGCAATTTATCTCCGATCCACAATGATGTTACTTTTCTTTTATGGGAATTTTACTGAGGTACCTTAAGAATATAATTTTTTAATTGTAATTATTTTACCATATTTTGGTTTACATGTAGTTAAAAAGTCACAACACTTTCAACTGTTCTCTGCTCAAAATCGGGTTTTCGTTAGCAATGTTTTATCATAACTCACAGATATAAATTTAATTTCTACACTACTATTTTCCCCACAATTAACCTTAACAGTATCTACGCTTACGTATGACGTTGCCCGGATTTTTTGTTCTGTATATTTTAATAAAGATTGAGGAATTATTATTTAAAATTTATTCAAAATGGAAATTGTGAAAATTGGGTATTTGTTGCAATGACGCAGTCAAATAGTTTACAATAAATAGATGATACGACATAAATTCAATACTTTTGTTTCTATTTATTTTCTGCAATCTCACTTAGACTACATTTGCTTTTTTGAATCCTGCCAAAGTGAAAATTGTGGTATAAATGTTCAATAAAACCTATCAATTTTTTTCAGATCAGAATATTTCAAAACCCAAAGAAGCTCAAGTTGATCATCCTAAAAGTTCTACGGGTAGGTGAACTTGTAACAATTTATTTCCAGAACGTTGAGCGTAATGACGACATTTTTTTTTTCAGAAAAAAAAAATAAAAAAGAAGAAGATGCAAGGCCTATGGATCACCCACCTGGTGAACTCAACTCTACAGATGATGATGATGCTTGTACGTTTTCTTTATAAGTATTTTAAGAATGTTAAGTATTAACATATTGCACAAAACAAACAAACAAAAATTAATTATTAACAGTTTAAATCATTATAAAACATATTATAAAATTAACAGGTAATATATACTGTTTATAATAATTTGTGTTGGAAAATAGTATTATGTAAAAAAAAAAAGCAATTTTTTTTATTGATTAAATTAAGTAATATACATAGGATATATTTTAATCTGTTAATAGTTTTCTTACAACACCAGTTTTCTATTGGTTCTTCTTCGGTTTCGTAATGAATAACAAGGTTATTGTACATATATTTAAAAATTTTCGTTATTTTTTATATTTTTTAAATTATTAGTCGCGAAGAATGTATAGATTTTGCAGGGATCAGTATAGTTTTTTACATCTGGCAACATTTTTACAAGAAACGAAAATTGAAACTCGTCAGATAAATTTGATTTATACATTTGGGCTTAAACGACGTATTTTGAGTTTTGAGAGGTACTTGCATCGTTTGTATGAAAGTATACATTACAAGTGATAATATCATGTTGATAATCGTTATGCCGGAAAGTAGCTTTATTGTGTTATATGATGTGTAGTGTAAAGAGAGCTATGGTTTTACAAAAATTTTTACTTTTTTTTCTTATAGAAAACTATAAAATTTTTCTTCCAGATGTCTTACCTCGATTTTTATTTAAGACCTTTTTTTGAAAAAATCGGACAGAGGAGGTTGTTTATTGTAGTTAACTTTTCCCAGAGGTTTTTTCAACAAATTTAAAACCTAAGAAAATAGAGAAAGAACAGGAAAGTAGGTTTAACATAAAACTACTATTATTAAAGAAAACAGTGAATGCTTATGTAACTATTGTAAAATGATATATCATATATTTTTCTATATATTTACCTTAACAGTGTTTACGCTTACGTATGACGTTGCCTGGATTTTTTTGTTTTGTTTATTTTAACAAAGAAATAGGAATTATTTTTTTTAAAGTTCTTCAAAATAGAATTTGTGAAATTTGGGTATTTTTCGTATTGACGCAATCAAATAATTTACAATGAATATTTTACACGGTACAAATTCAATACATATTTTTTTTTTAATTATTTTCTACAATCTCACCTAGAGTTACATTTGCTTTGTGATACTGCCAAGATGCCAATTACAGTACAGATTTTTATTAAAACTAATCGATTTTTCAGATCAGAGTATTTTAATACCCAAAATAATTAGGACTAAAAGTCCTAAAAGAACTTTGGGTAGGTAAACCTAGAGCAATTTCTTAAACGTTAAACATTATTTAACGTTATAATTGTATAACATTATTTTTTATCAAAAACAGGAAAAGAAGAAATTTCAAGATCTACTCTTAAATCTCCAAGTGAACGCTACTCTTCAGTTAATAGTGGTACGTTGTTTTTATAATTATTTAAGAAGGTTAAGTGTTAACATATTTAAAAACCAAAAATTAATTTTTAACAGTTCAAATCATAATAAAACACATTATAACTAACAGATTATTTATATTGTTTATAATAATTTGTGATGGGAAATCATTAGGCCGGGAATAGCTTTATTGTGTTACATTTTGTATAGAACTTAAAGTTGTATGGATTTGCAAAGATGTTTAATTTTTTTTTTCCTATAGAAAACTTTTCTCCTAGAAATCTTACCATGATATTTTTGTTATACCCATTTTTGAAAAAATCGAATAGAGAAGGTTGTTTATTGTTGTTAATTTTTACCAGGGGTTTCTTCAACAAATCTAAAACTGGAGAAAATAGAGAAAGAAATGGAAAATAGGTTTAATATAAAACTACTATTATTAAAGTGAATGCTTATGTAACTATTGTAAAATGGTATAGCATATATTTAATGACAAAGTAACTACAATAACCACTCATTTTCGCTCAGAATTGTGTTTTCGTTAGTAATAATTTATCGTTGATCACAGATGTACATTAAATATTCCCCTTTTATATTTCCCACAATTCTCCTAAACAGTGTCTACGCTTACGTATGACGTTGCCCGGATTTTTTGTTTTGTATATTTTAACAAAGAATTAGGAATTTTTTTTTAAAATTAATTAAAAATAGAATTTGTGAAATTCGGGTACTTTTGCATTGATGCAATCAAATAATTTACAATGAATATTTTGCACTATACAAATTTAATAAATATTTTGTTTTTAATTATTTTTTACAATCTCACCTAGACTACATTTACTTTGTAATTTTTCCAAGATGCAAATTGTGGTACAGATTTTCATTAAAACGAATCGATTTTTTTCAGACCAGAGTATTTCAAAACCCAAAATAGCTCAAGTTGATCATCCTAAAATTTCTACGGGTAGGTAAACCAGAAACAATTTATTTCCAAAACGTTGAGCGTAATGACGACATTTTTTTTTTCAGAAAAAAAAAATAAAAAAGAAGAAGATGCAAGGCTTATGGATCACCCACCTGGTGAACTCAACTCTCCATATGATTCTCGTACGTTTTCTTTATAAGTATTTTATGAATGTTAAGTATTAACATATTGCACAAAACAAACAAACAAAAATTAATTATTAACAGTTTAAATCATTATAAAACATATTATAAAATTAACAGGTAATATATACTGTTTATAATAATTTGTGTTGGAAAATAGTGTTATGTAAAAAAAAAAGCAATTTTCTTTAATGATTAAATTAAATAATATACATAGGGTATATTTTAATCTGTTAAAAGTTTTCTGACAACACACAAGTTATTTTGTATTCTTCTTTGGTTTCGCAGTCTACTATAAGGTTAATCGTACATATATTTAAAAAATATTCGTTATTATTTTTATTTCTGAAATTTAAAGTCACGAAGAATGTATAGATTTGCTAGGTTAAGTGCGTTTTTTTTCCATTTGATAACCTTTCTATTAGAAAAGAAATGTGCAACCAGCCGGATAAATTTGTTTTATACATGTTGGCTTAAATAACGTATTTTTCGTTTCGAGAGATACCTGTATCGTTTGTACGAGTGATGATAAAATGTTGATAATCGTTGGGCCGGAAAAGTAGCTCTATTAAGTTATATTCTGTGTAGTGCATAGATAGTTATGGTTTTGCAAAAATGTTTACGGCGCGCGGTGTGTTAATAATGCTAATAGTCTAATAATTAATTAGTTAATAATTGTACATTTTCTCAGATTGGTATTTGCATGATTTGAGACCTTTTTGCATTGACCGCTTCAAATAGTTTTCAATATATAGATAATTCGATACAATGTCAATACAAATATTTTTTCTAATTATTTCACAAAATCTCACCTACTTTGACTTGGTAATCCATCAATGATGCAAAGTATTGTACAAATTATTAAATCTAAGTGACTGTTTTCAGGTAGGAGTACTTCAGTAATCAATGGAGATCATGGTGGTTCTACAGGTAAGTAAACTATAGTCACTTCCACAAAGTTGATCTTAATGTCGACAAATTGTTTTTAGAAAAAAAAGAAGATGAGAATGACATTTTTGATTATTTGCAATTTGAAGGTGATAGCGAAGACCTAGATCGTATTGGTATGTTTGTCTCAATAATTATTTTTAACAAGTTATGTCTTAACATATTGCAAAAAGAAAACATACGTATTTAAAAAACGATAATAAATTGCATAAGTTACAAACGTGATAACAAAGTGCTTAAAGAAATAATGCTGCACGATATTCACTGACGTGGCACAAGCTTTTGTAGTAACACAAAAAATAGGAAAGGTAAAGAAATTAAGGGTGAAATGGTGGGGGGTAAATAAGAGGTGATTTAAAAGCGGTTGAGACGGGGGATGATATAAAGGAAAGGCGTGGTTAATGGGATAGTAGAAGACTTAGGACACTAAGTATAGAAATAGAAGACAATTATATTTAAAATAATAGGGTAATTACATAGAAATACCTATAAAGAATGAAATATAAAGGAGTAGGTATAAAAATGTGCCTATATAGAGTGAAACCATCGATCTAAGTTTAAGTACTACAAAGAATGGTATATCTCTAATTATTATAGGAGTTCAGCCTACTAGTTATATTACTACCTTCCTTCCTATGTTTGAAAGGGTTTTGGAGTCGTGAATCCGAGAATGGTGACGAAATGAATAACTAGAGAAAAGTATAATTATATTACCTGCCCACGGTGTTGGAACGCTAGGATGTATACTTATGGATAACCTCACGTGAACCTGGAGTCGTTGGACGGCAATCACAATTTAATTAAGATAAATTAATTTAATTAATTAACACTTAACACCTGTGTGCACTCAGATAAAAAAATGCTAATTTTTAAACTAGGAAAATGAAAGGTTGAATTACAAAGTGAGTTAATAAATAAATCGAACACGAGTGATTATAGCTGCTAAAAGTCGGAGCTAGCTATTCGAGAGAGATCCTCGAAAGAAGTTGGTGGAGCGTAGTTGTTGCTGTGTGTGGGATTCTCGACAGATAATTCGTCTTGGGGTTTCTAAAGGGATCAAGACGCTTAATTTTCAATAGAAAAAACCGTTAAATTTTATGTGTTTATATAAGCCAATAAAAAAAAGGTCAACCATAAAAAAAGTGTTATGCGTAGATTTGAAATTTGTATTGAAATAATTGTAACGGTATATAGCGTGAAAGAATGATGACGGCACGGCGGCATCATCAAAGGGCCGATTGATGTTGTGTATTTATTGCTTAATTTTATATCACTTATATTTGAATGTTCTAAATGATGGTAAATTATTGGATGTTGATTTTTCTCGAATGATAGAAAACCACTGGAATTTGTGTGCTTAAAAAATGGAACAGACGGCAATCGCGTCAATGTCGATATAAAATAAGTAATACTCGAATTGTGAAAAGAAGACAATATACATTAGTATGACTGAGGCGGCAGTGTCCTCAAAGGGCCGTAGCAGATGGCATGTAGTTCTGTTATATTTGACACATACGAGTATATAAATTATTTTGCTTGTAGATAAGCTTGTATCCCTCTCGAATAGCGAACGATCCGTTAGATTTATTAAATTATTTTCCTTTTGTGAAATACCAAGTACTCGGCCATATTTGAATCTTTTAGTTACATTTTTGTAATGATATAAATAATAAATAATTATACAGTTATAATATTATGTTATGTGAGCATAACATTACACTTTCAATAAAGTTTGGTATAAAGGATTACTTATAAAATCAAGTGAACAGCTGCTACATTATTAGTGTGTACTTCTCAAATTTTACCTAACTGAACGTCAATTTATAGTCATGCATGAAGAAACAATTTTAAAAATGTATCAGCCAGTGCATCACGAGAAAGTGTCATTAGACTAATTTTGTACTTATTATATACAGTTGACATTTCAACCAATAACTTATCAATGCAAGCCATGTTTTCTGATGACATGGCAATAATAACAATAACTGATAGACTGGGACTGCTTGGTTTCAAAGGTCAATTAACAACGTTTCCAACTAGACGAAACGTTGGAAGAATAAAATAAACAGCAAGAAATCGGCGCACGTAAATTACACCTTGCGTCTATAAACTAATATTGTTTGATTAGCAGATCATCCCACAGAGTGACTTTGCAAAATACCTAGGAATACACTTACACATCTTACACAGGAATACTTCTTGACTCTTGATTCAATTGGAAACACCAAAGTCGCTAGAAATAATTAAAAGTTAAGAAGAAAATGCGACAACTATATTGACTGGTCAGAGGATATTTTAAACTAAACTATACAAGCAAACTTCTACTTTACGTTATGGTACTTAATTTAATATTATTGATTTGTGGAATACAACTGTGGGGTTGTACCAATAAGTCCAACATTGAAATTATTTAATGCTGCCAGAAAATTGCTCTCCATACCATTGTCGCGTCATACCAGTATAACAGAAACGACATTATCCATTGAAATATGATGAACACCTCCGTTCAATACGAGGATTACTACGTTTACACGTAAATATGAAGCAAGGCTGGATCAACACTCTAATCCAACAGCAATTCAACTACTCAATAACTCTAATAAATCAGGCGTCTCGAATGCCGAAAACCATTGTTATGATTTACGACAAAGAACAATTTGGTAGAACTATTTTAGATCAATTTTTAAAATATTAGAAAATAATTATAAAATTATATAATAAGTATAAAAATGTAACAGTAAAAAGTTGGCTTTGGGAAAAATTTGACTTCAATGAGTCATATTTAAATTAGATAAGAATTTTTTTCCTGAAAATATACAACATATTACATAATTTTAGATTATTCTAATTTTAATGTAGGTACAAGTGCATAATTAAATAAATTACATAAAGTAATATAAATGTGTAACATAAAGTTACATAAATTAAAGAATTTGCATATTTCAGAAAAAATGTCGGTAGTCATTAAATTTGAACATGGTGACCATGTAAATGATATCAATCAAATCGTTTTTAAAACATAACTCAATTTTGTTTTCTAGATTAAAAACTGAATGAATTCTTTGGTCAACAACGGGCTGAAGTCATCAACAACACTGCAGTCCTAATAATTATGTTAATTCATTAAGAGAGTTTATAATAATTAATACAAATAGGTATTTAATATTTTATTTTATACATGATTTATTTGTGTACTTGTGTTTATTTTATAACTTATCTACTAATCACTAATATTTCTAATAGCTCATTAAATGAGTAGGTACTTTATTTATAAGTTGGTTTTTTGACTAATATATTTTAATTATACAATAAAGTTATGTAATGTTCATTACATTGAACATAGTTTTAATAAATCATTAATTTAATGTAAATAAATTTATATTGCACAAATATATGCCGTTAGGAAACTTGGACAGTAACAGAAGCATAAAACAGGAAAACTAAGACTCTAGAAAGTAAACAATAAACAAACATAATTTGTTAATTGATATAGTATAAAATATTAATCAAATTGTGTGATAAACCTAGTTTATATATTTATTTGATATATTTTTAACAAATATTTAAATCACTCCACAAAAAAAGGTTCTAGTTACATCACTACAACCATCTTTTATAGATATATTTGTGTACAATTATGCCAAGTTTGGACTTAATATGAAGTAATTAGTGATAATTTAGTTTAAAAGTGTTTATGTGGTAAAAGTACTAAATTACAATAAACATGATTTTGGACCATTTTATTTTAACATTTCCAATAAATTTGTATGATTTAATGGTGCCTTGATGGTTCTTATATTTCATCTTATTATTGAAAAGGCCTTTAAAGGGAAGATGTTCTATTGAAACAATATCGATACGATTTTTTTCTGTTGTTGTTTATTCATTTGGGGAAATCCTCAATAATTTAAATAAATAATTATAATATACACACATATAAATATATTAATACCATATATATATTATAACGCCTATTATGTGCACGTTGTGTGCACGCGCGCGTGTGTGTTTGTGTAACTACGTACAATCATTAATACGATGTGGTCATATTTTGATAATTAATTAATTTTTCCTTTTTATTAAACAAATAACACCACAGAAGCTATGGACATTAGTCTAATCGTGAGTAAGATGTGACCAATTCTGAGGCAATTTATAATTAGTTCTGCTCTTCTGGAACTGTCTGGTGAGGGAGAGGGGAAATGAAATTCTGAAATTTTAATTTCATTGAGTTTTGTGGATTTTATTGACTAATTTTGTTTTCACAAAATGGAAATATAGTTTCTACAGTTTGTGTAGTTTATATATTTTTATACCATAGAAAGAGAGAGAGAGAGAGAGAGAAAGAGGGAGACATTAAGGAGACATTAAGGGCTTTGGGAAAGCTATGTGAGATTTTTGTGGTCTTATTTGCTCTTTCGTTACCAGCTATGTTACTGTAACTAGGTATTCATATAAATGATATGGAACTAGCAGTGTAGCAGGATTTTTGGATATTTCTTGCAGTATCAGGTGGATTGACTGTATTTTTTAGACTAGTAAGAGCGCTTAGTGAGTCACTGAGTATAATGAAACGGATGTCTTCCGAAATGATGATATATTTTAATGCTTTTAGGATAGCTAGAGATTTTGCTATACATATTGAAAATATATCGGAAAGTTTTAGCAGAATTTCCGTGTCATTACATATTATTGCTGCTCCGATACTTTATTCAGTTATAGATGCGTCAGTGTAAATCTGAGTGTGTAGTAGAACTTGTGCAATTATGTCGTTGATGAGGTCCTTAAATATTTTAGGTTTACTATCTATCATTGAAAGGAGGTAGATATCGAGATTTATGTCCAAAGATATGGACTGATATAGTAGCTGAGTTTGAATTTTTGAAGGTATTATTTGTTATAGATCAAAAGTATTTTGTAGATTTGTAAACATTTTTTGTAGGAGGTGGAGATACCGAAGGGAGAATACACGGAACGATAAATCGACAGACTTATCGTCAAATGCGGTTGAAGAGACAGATTAATACGTGTATGGGACTGTTGGTCATCGTGTTGTGCCGTTGTGTCCACGTTTATAAAGCTTCAACAAGACAACCGCCGACGTGTTGACAAACTTGTCGGTGCGTGTAAGGTGTTATCGATTTGACCGCGGGGTTGCGTATACGGTATACTATAGTAGGGTATTCATTCGATTATTATCATTTAGTTGCGCACTTTTCTTAACCTGGCCAATTATTTCCAAAGGTACATTACAAATTTTAGTAAAATCACATTAACATTAACAGAATTGATAAAAGGAGATTTTAAAACCAAAAAAGACAAAAATAAATGGGAAAATAAACACGACATTGCTTTTAATAAATTAAAGGGTAAATTGACCACCGGTATTAAAGTATTACAATGAAGACGGGGATAAAATTTTAGTAACAGACGCTTTTTTATTAAGTTTAGGTATAATATTACAACAAAGAGATGAGGATGGGAACGTTCACCGAGTTTCTTTCGGTACAAAAAAATTATCACCAGCACAAAAAACTATTCAGCGTTAGAATTAGAAGTGACGATATTATTTTTCAGATGTACACATTTTAGGCAGTATCATTTAGGTAAACAGTTTTCGGTATGGACCGATCATAAAAATTTAGCGGGTTTACAAGAAATAAAACCTGAGTCATACGTATTGAATCGTATAAGAACCAAATTAGTAGGATACGGCTTTAATATAATATATAAACAGGGTATTTTTAACAAAGCGACGGATTTTCTATAAAGACACCCGGTGGGTTTTGATAAAGCGGTAAAAATGAATTACACTATTGATTTTAAGGTAGATACGGTTATTGACAATTTTGAAATCACATAAAACAACAGTGTTTCATTTGAAGATTTTATGCGTAAAATTAATACGGGGCAACATTTTCAATTTAATATTAAATTAGTTAACCACAATTTACTCAGAAATTATTTTGATGTACCTAAAATTTAATCTAATGTGTTTCACACGATTTCGAAATGAATAAAGGTATTGCACTAAATATTAAAAATAAAAATACGGTAAGATATACGAATACTAACATAGAATAAAATATTGGTAGTTAGCTTTTATGAAATTTAATGACCAATTAAATTAATAACAAAGTTACAATTTTTCGAAAAACCTGAATACATATCGTTATTTAAGACGCTAAAAAATGTAAAGGTGTTCTGTAATACATGTAATAATATGATAAAATTAGCAATTCCTAAAATATCTTGTGGATTAGATTACTTGAAATGGGAGATTGTGTTCAAAATGTTAAAATACGCATTTGAAGACACAAAAGTAGGTATAACAATTTCTACATTTATGTTAAATAAGCAAGTAATATCATTAGTCAAAACAATTAATATACACCTGTTACAAATGCAGGACGAATACATATTTAAAATAATAGAGGAAACCAAATATCAAGACTTAGCAGAAATAAAATAGTGAAGAAAATCGAAGGCGTATATAATTAACAGTGAGGATAAGTTGCTGTTCTATAGGAATATATATATATATATATATATATATATATAAGGAAACGCCAAAACTAGTGATAGCATTACCAATTAGTTTAACAAAACAAGTTATAGAATATTTCCACGACGATAAAATGTCGGGCGCACATTTAGGGATTTATAAAGTATTTAACAAAATTAGATTGCGTTATAATTGACCTTCTATGCATAAAGATATATGGTGGCCAGCCTCGAGGTTTGACTATCGCGAGCTACTGGCCGACCGGGTAATGTCTGGTGGACAGGACGGGTATATAAGGTGACCAAAGAAGAAGATGAATATTGATTTTATGTGGTTACCATGTTATGTATTGAAGTAACTAAAATATACTTAAATTACTACGACAATAGAAAGTGGGGAGGGGGGTTGCTTATAACTAAAATACAAGAATTTTCAATAATTATGATTAAGGAGTACAAATTAAATGGGCGGTACGCTGACTGTGAACTTGATTGATGAATATTGGTCCGGCAGCGTGGTGCGCAGGTGACTGCTCCCGGCATGGACGGTACGATTCACGCACGAAGGGCGGCCATGGGGCACGCGTGCGACTCTAAGAGTGTCGGTATATATTCATATATATTCATATATATATATATATGCCACAGCGGCGTAAAAGAAATAGCATACGTTACAGCACACGGAGAGAAAAACGAACTGAACTCGCAACAGGGGGACAGAGCGATGCGATGTCGTCGGTGCACGGACCAGTTTCGCCGCCGGCGAAATTGCGTGCATCTCACTAATACACGTTAATGCCGGGCGCGTGCGGCGCATAAACGCGGAGAGTGCGATAAGACGGCCGCCGCGCCGATATGAAATCGAAATTGACACGGACGATACAAACGCGGATGTGTGTACGGCTGCGACAATATAAAATAGTGCATAATTTCTTGCCAAAGCTGTCAACAACATAAACTTGATAAGCGACCAGCGTGCAGCGGTAGGAATGTTACAACCAAAAAAAAAATTATATGGTACACCATTTCAGGATATTTTTATAGATTATGTAGGACCAATACAAATATCACGAGAATGTAAATATATTTTAATATCAACATGTAGGACAACCAAATTCTGTTAAGCGCGGGCTTATAAAAATGTGGAAGCAAAGTCGACTGTTAAGTTTTTATTAGAATTAATATTAACGTTCGGACGACTACGAGTAGTAAGATCGGATAATGGGACACATTTCACTGCAAAAATAATATTACAATTATTAATAGCGTTAGGGGTGCAAAAAAAGAGGGATTTGCTTATAGATGGAGGATTCAAGGACAGGTAGAAAGGCAAAACCAAGTTTGATTGATCGATATAACTGCACTGTACGTCATGAAGGGTGAACATTGGACGGATTTATTTCCAGTAGTTTTGCATGTGTATAATACTGCGGTACACCATTCCACTGGCTACTCACCATTTTATTTGGTTCATGGCTATCCACATTTACTTTCTAATATAGCAATTATTTTTTCCAACTTAAATTATTTAGTTATTACAGAAATCGAAAAATTAAATTTAATACGTAATATAATACTAGCCATTTTAGAAAAAGCATTCAATAAACAAGAATTATATGCAGACAAGAGGAAATGTGAAATTGAATTTTATGTGGGAGAAAAAATTTTAATAAAAACTAATATCAAAAGAATTAAATTAAATGTGGGACCATATACGATAGTTAAAAAAAATAACCCAGTGTCGTATATGGTAGAAATTATAAAAAATAGACAAAATGTTATACAGAAATAACACGTTCACCAGATAAAAAAATATAGAAACCGTTTTGAAGTTTAGAATATATATATATATATATATATATATATATCTAATGACTAACATTAAATTAAACATGAAGTTGACACCAAAATTATTTATTGATATACGTCCTTTGTCATTTATTTTCAAAATGTTGACAAATTTACCGATACCTATTTAAAAATAAAAATAAAAATATTTTTTTCAATGATCAATTCAGCACCAATGAGAATTAGTTTGAATATGAAATATTATTTTGGAAACATAATAACAAAAGAAAAAAAACATACAAAGCATAATATGTTATATTAGATTTAATAAAGTATTTAGATATCTAAGTAGTAGTTATCCAGCATAAATAATCCTAACGCTGTATGCGGTCTTGTCACCATATTATTTTCGTAATAATACGATTGGATAGGATTGTATGTAGACATACCGTTTTAAATATTACAGTATAAATTTAAATTCCGGAGAGACTGATTTCTTAGTATTGTCTAGCAATATTAATGAAGTTTAGCTTCAGGATATAATGCAAACATCAGATAACAGGTTACGAAATGCAAAAAAAAAAAATAAAACACAATAAAAGCCACCGATCGAGCTAAGAATACGTAGGCAAACAAGACTAGCACGTAACATTTAACTCAACAATTAGATTTTTATTATTTTATTTTTTATTTTATTAGGTACCTAGTTTATTGTATAATATTAACATGATTCCATTCAATCTATGCTTTGTTATTTTATTTAATTACATTTTTGTTTCGTTCATGAACATATACTGTCGATTAAGAATATTATAATACAAACACCGCGTAACTTATACAATAATAATACCTAGTGTCTCATACAAAAATAATTTACTGAAGTAACAATTTTAAAACTACGACTAAAATATAAGTGTCATGGACATTTAAATATTGTTTGGTTAATCAGAGAATAATTATTTAAGCACTAACCCATTAAGAATATATATTTTTATACAAGTCAACTTGTACAAATGTATACCTATATAATTATGGTAGGTAAACACAATGAACATTATGCAGTATCTATATGATAGACAATCAAATATTTTATTTTATATTCATATTTTTAATTTTTCCTCAAATTTGATGTCATAGTTGGATATAACACATAAACAAATAGTGAGAAAAAATAACTGTCAACATTTATTGTAAAAAAAAATAAATTTTGCATTAAGATGATTGCCTATTACCTACATACTTATTAAAACTATTTCATGCAAGATTATTGTAAACAAAAAAAAAAAAAATTAAAAATTAACTACTTATATTATTTTTACTAATCATATAATGAAAAATTATGATTATTTTAAAGAGAAAATGTTTGTTTTTATACGAGATAGGAATGTAGAAATGTAAAAAAAAAATGTACCTACCTAATTTAAATTATTTGTTAAAAGAACTGTATGATTGAATTAATGTATATAATTATTTTATATACAGGAAAAAAAATTAAATATGTATATTTTTTGAAAATTCCAAAATGTGGAAATAAAATTATAATTATGATTATTAAAAAAAATTAAAATATTATGTTTATTATACTGAAATAAAAAAGAGTAAAAGGGGGCCTACTGAAAGTGTACCAGCAACTAAAGAAGGAAGGAAGGATGTCCTTATTTTCGTCGAATCCGCGTTGTGAACCCTAAGGAGGTTTTCAAAGTCAGAACATTTTGCCTACAAGTATAGTTTGTTATGTGAATAGTTAATATTGAATACAATTACACTGATATGCCAAAATCTGTCCAAAAAATAATGACTTAATCCGGTAGTAGAAGCGGCAATCTGAGGTGATTGGAGTACCGTTACTTATATTGACTGGAATTTTAACATCAATTTCTCAACATTTGTACTATTATCTGTCACCAATAACGCAGCTGCCATTGCATTCACCTAAAAACCTAAGGATACATACAAATTGTTTATTTAATCCATAATATAATGTCTAATACCCCGTCCATTTCCCTAGTTAAACATTATAAAAAAAATCAATTTGCAACATTTATAGTTTATAGTTTAGGGTTTGAAATTGTATGCATTTAAAATTCATAGAAACGTTCAAAAGATCTTAAGAATGAATCGAAAAAAAAAACAAAAATGTAAGTTTGTTTTTAATAGCCTTCCTCTTATAGCTTAACTTATAAAATATAATTTTCGCACAGAACAAAAATTATTAACATGAGTTTTTAAATAAAATTAGTCTAAGTATTATAAAAAAAGAAAGAAATATTATAAAAAAAGAAAATTATATGTTTTAGATAATTGTAATGGTTTGGTGGTTGGCAGTGGAATTTTTTACTACTCTGGACCTATGTTATTTTTAAATTTTTTCTTCGGAGTTCTTTTAACGTTTTATTGTGGATTTTGAATGCATAAAGTCCCGAGACCTTAAACTAATTAAACATTTATTTTACACGAAGAATGTATTCTAGTTTAAATTAAACTAGAATACATTACACTATTTAAATATTCAAACACAAATACTTAAACGAAATTTATTAAACATTGATTTTTAAAAATTCAAATTCAACTTAATGATAGGGTAGAATGGATAGGGTAATAGTCGGTTGTAGAACATAATATTTGAGCGGCAGCAAGACATGTGGTGTTCGAATATTGTGCTCTACTTTCTCCCAGGTTGTAGAATTTTATATGGTATTATATATTCTCTGTTATTTAAACAAATGTGAAAATATTAAATTTACAATATTATTACCATGATGACCTAGATTATTTTGTAATCTATCGTACTTATTTTTGATATAATGTAAACATAGTTGAGTTCCATTATGTAACAATAATAATAATCAATTATTTGGTACAGATACATAACTTTTAATTATTATATAAAATAATAATATACTAATATTAAATAAGTAATATATTATTCGTTTATCAAATAATTAACATTAAATAAAATTATAAATAAGAAATATGTTGCTTATAGTACATAAAGATCCTACTTATCCGAAATTAAAAATTAGTATGGTGATTTGGACCACTGGTTAATAATATTATGACGTTTCAAAAATATTGGATAGTGTAATGAGTAAAAACTCAAGAATACTAGGTATTAAACAAATTATAGTAGGGAGACTATGATTTTGAATACGTATTATATTACCATGAAATAATCTAGATCGTATCTAGATACTGGGCCATTTTAAAACTCAAATAATTTAACTTTAAATAATAATAATGAGGTCATGTATAACATAATATCTAGATCATTGTATAAAATATAGAATGGTAATTCAAACTAAGTTACCGAAACGTCTTAAATCTATGCCGACAGTATTTATACAAGTGTATAATATCGGTATATTCATCATAGAATACGATAATCCAAATAATTTTAGTATACAGTCTCATGGTATAAAAGTTTATATTAAATACGTAACAGATGAAAAAATCGTGTTTCGTCAAATTTTGAAGTCAAAACGCAGAAGACTATAGTTTGTTCTTTGACGATTACACTAATATATTTACTGAATTACTTAAATAGTGAACATAATGTTATCATTAAAAGGTATTTTGATCATCACTTCGTGGACTATTTGTATAGCTCTTACCAGTATTTATGGTGTTTATAGTGCTGGTGATTATACATTACATTTTATTAAATTTTGGTACAATAATTAACTCATTCTTATTAACTTATAACTTGTTATTTTTATTTCTACATAGACAAAAAACAATTTGGTAAGTCACCTATATTTACATATTTAGTACAAAGGTAAAATTATAATAACCTATACTAAACTGTATAGTAATTATACGATAAGATAGAATTGAATTGAAATGATATACTAATCCACAAACTTGTTGCTTATTATTAATATAGAAATTTGATTTTATAAATTATTTAACAACGAAGAAATACTATAGGCTGGGACTTTAATAATTTTATAGATTTTGGTTCCGATTAGGATCTTAAAAAAAAAGAATTAAAATTCCGGTACTAGTTAATGTACAGTTTTAAATTTATGTTCCGGTTCCGGTTTTTATAATATTTCATACTATATCATATAACATATCATATATCATATTTCTTGATTATATGATATAACCAAGAAAAAATAAGTATATATAAAATAATTAAATATGACAAAAACCACTCCAAAAAGCGAAGCTTGTGCTTGGAGTAGGTATAATATGGGTTCATTTTGGTTAATATCAGTTTCCGACATCAAGTTACTTTTTTTATTTAAAGAATCTTTATTATTATTATCAGAATTTACAGTAGTCTGAAAACAGGATAAAATATTTTTGCATTATTTCCAAAAAGTACACATTTATTAATAATTATGGTTTTTTATTTACATTAATTTGTTAATTTTCTTTTTAACTTTATGAAACCAATAATAACCTAAAAGAACCTTTATTTCATTTAAAAGGTTCTGATTCCAGTATTTTAATGGTATTGGCAGTCGGTACGTTTGTGATCACGACCTTGGGGATGTTAGAATTATCTAAGGGGGCAATGGAAGTTACAAGCTTAATTGGGGGTGTTGGATTGCAAAAAGGGGCGGTGACTGTTTCAATTTTTTTCAACAATATTATGTAACACAAATGTACATGTGTATTTTGTATATTTTTGGAATAATCGTTTGTCGTCTGTCGAATCCGGTCCTTATCGCGATAACATCTATAATATTTTGAAGTGATCTATCCTATGTTATCTGAATTCTATTTGTATTTAGTATACTCGGGGATGCGGACTGTGTTTGTTTTTTATCGGTTTTATAATAATTGCCATATTTTTCGTATTTAATTGTATATATCATGGCTAAAATGAAGAAAAAATGTAGGCAGTATAATATTTAATATTAAAAGTACAGTTTCATTCAATATCATTCGCCTGCAAATATTACATTACTGATGTGCCTCATTTGCCAAAAAGTTTTTACAAATGCAAGCTATGAAACTGTCAAGAGTTCATGCTTAAAAAAAAATATGGATATTTTTTTTTTCCTAGTAAAACTCCAGATCATCTCATAAGGATACCTTTTTTTTTTATTTATACTTGTATAATATACATTATACAATATTATAATAAAACATTTACTTATATTCTATGCTAAATAAATAAATTTTTCATTGCATACTTTTGTACTTATACATTTTTCTTTAAGGGGCGTCTGTCAGATATTTTTTTTCTAAGTGTGCGGTAAAGTTTAAAAGCTTGGGAACCACTGATGTAGACCCTTTTTTTGAGATGGTACTTTAAGGAGGTCATTTTTTCTTATGAGTTTTCACATCAAATACGAAAAACCGAAAAAAAAAACGAGAAAATGTAAGAAATGTAGGTATTGGTTAAAATCTGCTGGGACTCTATGAAACTTGTTAAATTAAATATTCCAATATTATTCCTAAAATATATTTAACAGTGATTTTGCTATCGGTTATTGGATTATTAGTAAAATGTTAATAAACAATGATTGCAATTAAAAGTGAATGAACTTATATTGCAATATTTAAACGAATATTTTTCCTTAAAATTCTAGTTAAAAATAGATAGGTAGGTACTACGTATAATATGAGATAAACAGGTTTTTAAAATTATTATTATATCATCATTAAAATGGAACTTAACAACTTTTATAATCTCAATATGATAAAATTAAATAAAATTAAATAAGTTTAAAATGTATTTACTCGCATAAGGTAAATAGACATTACAATGCTTAACTCATAACGTCCTCTTAATGTCATAAGGGAATAATCACGATTGATATAAACTTCCTCTTGAGCGCCTGATTTTAATCAGTATCCTAAATTACGTTTTTTTTTTTACTTTTACATTAAGTATCCTCCAACCTACCAACATTTGTCTTAAAATAATAATAATATAATAATAATGATAAGATATATTATAATAAAAATGATAATGATAATTGTTCTCATAGAACATAAGAAAGCAGGGATATTGCTTTTTAAATTCAAAAACATCATGTATTTATGAAACTTATTCATATGATTGATTAAATTTGTATTAATATTAGTCTATTTTCATTGAGAACTGCTCATTAGTTCACCTAATTTAATATTATGTAATATAAATATATCAGTAACCACAATGTCTGAACATTATTAGCCATTAGGTATAAACATAATAATTATATTATTACAATATTTCTTGTTTTAGAAAAAGATAATATAAAACAAAGCCAGAGTTCACTAATTACAAAAGGAAGTCAAGGTAGGTTAAGCAATGTATACAAAATAACAATGATTATAAATACTGTCAGTTGCTGACTGGTCACATTTTCAGCGAAACTAAATACAACTTTCAATAGATGGCTATAAAATACTATAAAAACTCAACACGAGCAGTATTTATACTGTTTATCTGTAATTTTATTTCTTTTCGTAATAAGTATTTTGTTTATTATTATTTATTCGTGTCGGTCACTAGAGTTACTTGCTATTTAATCTTGTAGAAGTATCAAATACAAGTATTTGAATTATACTCTTAGTATTTAAATACTGAAAAGTAATAAATGTTTTTAAAAATAAATAAATAATTTATAAGTATTTTTATTTTGGAATACTAATGTTATCTACAAATTTGAGAATTCCGATTGTCAGTTGTTCAATAAATATTCAAGAAAATGTCTTTCAAGTTAAAAGAGTATGATAGCCTCATATTTTTGTAAAAATCATCTATTGCTTTATCTTGCTCTACAGTTAGCTCTAGCTCTATATCTAAACAAATTGAATCTTATAATAATTTCGATTAGCGAGTGGAAAATAATTATAGTGTAATAGTGACGTGTGACTATACGATTCTGTATGTTTGTCTCTTATAGTAGTACGACAATGTATACGTTCGCCAAACCACTTCGTTTTTACTACCTGGCTCTTAAACTAGTACGTTTGAGAACAAAAATGATTGGAAAACACCGAAAAAAGCTTAAAAAAAAACAGGAAAGTTTACAGTGAGTAGTAATTTCTATGCAGTAAATATGTTGAATGTATACAATTTATTTGGTGAGGGGAGTAGAACTAAATGGTCCGCAGTGATGCAAAGTTTATAATAGTGTCTAATATTAAGTTGGTATCCACAGGTATAATATAATGTATTATAAATATATACCATAAATTATGTACAGATATTTTATATTGTGTGTAAATACTAAATAATATGTAAGTTAGGTACCTATTATGAAATTCGGCTTTGTATCCGTGTATGCGTTGACAACGTATTAAAATCATATCCATACGCAATCGTACTAGTATAAAGTTTAAGTAGTAAAAACGAATTGGTTTTATAAACGTATGGAATCGAATGTTTACAGAGCCTCAATGGTCTAAATTATTCAAATTATTGTCATTTAGCATTTGACCTTCAATATTGTGCCATGTAAATAGCATTTCTATTTGCTTCTAAATAGTCTTTTTACACAGATGTAAAATTTCAATAGGTGGTCCATTGTTTGTTCTTCTCCATATTCGCATACCCTCATAGGGCTAGCAGGTCTTTCAAAATAATATACTCACTTTTTACTCTTTTAAATTGACTACGCAATCCAACATTGATTCATAATCGATTTAAAATTCTTTAAGTTGTTATTTCTTTCAAACTCAGAAGCAAAAATTTCTGTTAAGGTTACTTACGCTATTTTGCCTCCAATTAAACCACTAGCTTTTTCGATTTTCTTGTCGCTAGAATTCTTCGTGAAACATTTGTAAACTATTTCTATATTTAAGCCGATATAATTGATGTATGAATCGTTTTATTTAGGATTGGATTATGTCAGATAAATCTACATTTTATTAATTAAGGTATTATTTATACATTTGGTAACTATCCGTAATGTCTCAATTAGAGCTACGTTAGTTTTCTTTTTATTTCTTTCTCCATAATGAGCTTATAAATTATTCGGTTAAAAGCAAAACGATAAAGCAGTTACTTTTAGTACGTATGTTTCCGCTTCCCATGTGGATCCTATAAGTTCATACTGTAGTTCATTCGTTGCATTTATTTTCATTTTTTTATTGTCACGATGTGCTTTGTATGTTGATGATCGTTCGAGTAGCTCCCCAACTAGATATTTAAGATTAAGGATATAAACTAACTCTAAACCCTTACGGTACTCAACGTTACACGAAGTTTTTGATTGCTTTCTTTATTTTTGATGTGGAACATGCGCTTCACAAAATTGTATGCATACTTTAGTTTTTATAGGATATTAATGCTTATAGTATATAGGTAAGCACTAACAAATTCAGTAAATTAAATATTTGTTTTTAGAAGTCAATCGTTTCGATTTACATAAAACTGAACAGGAGATGGACGAAGATGAAGACGACGACATTATAAGCGATATTTCCAATAATAAACAATTTGAAAAAGGTTAGCAGAATATACTTACTACTTATAGAAATGTTGATATTGAAGTCTTATTAGCATCCAAATGCGGCATTAGAAAAAAAGTAATATTTTCAACGTAGTCCGAATGCGTCCCAGTTTACTTAAACTCTAAATGTAACTCTGAATTTTAGATTTACTTTAGAATGCACCACAAGGAGGTGAACTGGTTTAAACCTTAAAAATATGTAGTAATCATAGTATTATCTTGGCTTATGCCTATTAAGTTAGGATAAATGTACTAATTGTATATTTGTATACTATAAAAACATAATAAAATACTCGTATAATTATCTTTTTTTCATATACCTAAAAAAAATATTAAACATGTTATCTATACTTCTAATGTTTGGTATTTAAATGTAATTTTTTTCTTGACAAAATCCAATTTAGATAATATTTTAATCTAAAATTCATTAATGTTTTACTCAATTTATGCAATAATCTTATATGTACTTCTTTATGTTCTTATTATCTGCGAAGTTAAGAATCACCACGAACCAAACCGGTTTACGCAACTTTGCCACTCGTTGGTGGTGTGAATAAGTTGATTTTATTTTTTTTATGTAATGTCATATTTTAATTTTTTTTTTTTCATAAGCTGAGTTTATCATGGAACGCCTCAAAGAATTGACGGGGGAAACTAAGGATGAGCGAGGTAATTCAACTAGTATTTCTAAATGTAATATAATGTAGGTAATTATAAATTAATTTGTTAATAATATGATTAAAACAAGAATACATAAATATATTTAATGCAATTTTCTTATTTTAGTTCAGGACGATAATATTAACAGAAATGACGATTATGATTTAGATGGTAAGTGAACACGTTACTTTTACAGTTATTACTATTCAATTTCCTTAAGAAATAATTATTATGACCCTCGATCTTTTGTCGTTCTTTATTACTTTAAATTTTATTACAGAATTAACTTCATTATTTTATGTTTTATTCGTGCTTGGTTTGTGCTTTTCATTTGTGCTCAACCCCTTCTCGAGGTTTACAACATTGAAAGTTGGGGGTTGAAATGTATCACCAGATACTTGATGTCGTAAAAAAAAAATATTTTGTCTTGTGCGTCTATTAAGTCTATTATTATACTCCACATAATCTATTTTACTTTCATGGTCTATAGTCTTACGATTATAGACATTGTTTATAGATATTGTTTACGCAATATGAAGAAGGTTAAAGTGTTATCGTTTTTACTACCCGAATTTAAATTCAAACCCCAGGAACCGGGTGTGGTCATTCGTATTGGATCCTCTTAACTGGATATTTCGGGTTCACATGCGTTTACCAACGGAAAGCGTGTGGGCACGTAACAACTCTTACGATGATAATTCTGTCAATATTCATATTTTTTTATGTTCAATATGTTGAGAATAGTTAAATTTGTCTTTTCATCCCTTAATTATTGGAAAAAAATACCTTTTTATTTTATTTTATTTTAAAAATGTTTTAAATGGAAATTTTGTAAAAGATATTGTTCTAAATATTTAAATGCAACATACATTCAACGAGTTAATTTTTCTATACATATTATGTCTTTCCCTTATAATAAACTCGATTTAAAAAAAAAATGTAAAAAAGTAAATGAATATTATACAGCTTTGTAAACAGTTCTCGAATAAAATAAAACAACGTATTAAAAATAGTTACCAAAACAATACAATTTTAGTGGGGGTGCGAATATTTGCCACCCCATTGTTTGACTATAATAATGAATTTGATTACGACCATAGACCATATGGGTAGATTATTTCATGTGGAGTTATCAACTGGCACGCAAGACAAAAAATATTATTTTTTACAAAATGTGTAAATTATTGGGCTTAAGAACCATAAATAAATTGATAATATTATTTAATAACTAATAAAGTTTTAAATTTTCATTGAATAATATTTATTATTTGTAAGTTTTGAGAAAAAAAACATTGTTAGTGGTTGATATTAATCATATACTAGACAAGAATTTACCATGAAAATTGGAAAAATAATATTTCATTGCACCACCAGAAATTGGGATCAATTTACGCCACTAAGTCAAGAAATAAAAAAAAATACCTATTTGAAACAAAAATTAAATTATGTTATCCCAAGTTTTTATGATTTTAATAATACTCGGCAATTAATTATTAATTTTTTTTTTAATTTCATACCATTTTAGAGGAAGAAGGTAAGACAATTATAATTCAATACAATTAATGTTGTAGTGAACCCTAGGTACCTTACGGTTCGGTACAATACTATTATATGACGAAAGGCAGCTTCTATTGACGATTCTTTAGTGATTTTTGAAAAATGGTTCGAATAAATAACACAAAACCTAGTAAAAATAGCAATAAATATTTATATAGTCAAACACGGAAACGGTGATCGAATTTTAACTAATTAAATTAACATAAGTATAGATTAAGAATTATAGAATTGCAAAGTATAATATTGACTAGTGGTTTTAATACTTAAATACGTAGATATCTTCACCAAGGAGACTAAGAAAATTAAATAAAGAAATAACAGTAATCCAGATTACAGCAGTGTCTATTCCTTGAATGAATTGACATAATATTATCATTAATAAATTCACATTTTTTTTTTTTTTTTTTTTTTTTTTTTAATAAACCAGCTTCATTCAAAGTCAATCCTAAGCCAATTAATTTAATAATATTTATTATTAAAATAATTTTAATAATTGTCGCAAAATTATATAGTATTTCCAGATTTTTTAAACATCGAAGAACTTATGGGTAAGGTTAAAATATTTAAGTTTTATCACATTATATGCAATTGATTATAAGAACTACGAAAACACAAATAATTAGTATTCCAGAGATAATAACTATAAAATAATACAAAGATACCTATCTAAACTACCTAAACTTCATAAAATTAAGGAAAATAAAAAACATCATTTGACTCTGCTACACTATATTATAAAATGTTTATGACAATTTCGATTAAATTCAACAAATACAATGTGTATCTATAGATTAAAAAGTACTTAAACAAATGATATTACTTTATTAAGCTTTTAAAACCATTTTAAAAATGGTCACAATTTTAAGATCGGTTAAATTTATGAAAATTGTAATAACTTATTAAGTTTAAATCTCTTAACTGATCACCCTTCTAAAAAAAAAAATTTCTAAATACACTACTCTCTGGCTATATGGAATTCAAATATTTCGTACCTCATACGAAGACCATTACTACTTTATTATCACAATGATGAGATACCTAAAAGGATACATATTTTTTATGTTACAACAAAGTTCTAATGTTAACTAGGCGAAATTATTCATTTCAGATTCAGAGAATAGCAAGGAATCTATTGGTTTTACTATATGCATTTAGATTCAAAGCGTATCAAAGTGTATCTTTATGTATCCAATATAACTGATATGATATTTTTCATCAGTTTTTGTTTGGTTTTTTATAACTTTGCTGTTACTTCTCGTCTTATGTTTGGAGGTGCTATTTTGCGTTCAATTTGTGCTTTTGAATTGAAGATTGGTTTCAAGCGTCCCATGATTAGTCTATTTGTTGCATTTAGTGCAACACCTATTTTCTTGGCATATGCTGAGTTCCTCCATATACTCATAACACGAGCGTATTCTCTACTTGAGTAATGCTGTCATTCTTAGGGCATGAAGATTTGCATCATATTGGTGTGCAACCAACTATTTATTTATTTTTTTTTCTATACTTTCCCAATTACTTTTATATGTCAGGCTCGATCGAGTTTGACGCCTAGATATTTTAGTTCATCTCAGTGCTCTAACTTTGTATTGTACCAATTAATTCTCAATTTGTGCTTATGTGTTTATTTCGTAAATGGGAATTAGTTATTTGTAGTTTTGCTGGGTTTGGTTTGAGGTAGTTGTTGCTAAAGTACTCCTTCAATCGCGTAACGAAATAGAATGTCGATTTTTCCATTTTTCCTACGTTTTTCCATGTTTTATCTCGGTTTTTCACATTTGCTGGGAAAATCGAAAAATTACCTTTTTAAGGTACCTATTGACGCCGATTTCCTTTCAGAAAAGGTGCTACACGTAGAAATCCGAGCAAGTCTTCTGGTAGAAAAGTTGCTCACAGATAATCAGTCAACAGTTCGATTTTTTATTAAAGTTGATTGTAAAGACGCGGGTATTTGTTATCATGATTAATCAAATTATAACCTAAAACAAAAAAATTTTGTTGGCACCAGCTGCCGGCGGCTGTTGCGCTGCACTGATATCGGAGCAGTATAATTCGTGGCCGATAGGTCGCCTTTCAGCCGCCGAACCGCAGTCACTTCTATGAAACCGCACTACGGAAATAACATAGTATCGGTAGTCGACGGCCAGCCGCTCCTAGGAAACCGTACCTTAAGGGTTTAAACCATTAATATTTAATACCTTTCATCAATAAACATGTATCTCTACCAATTTATCTAGATTAGTGAAATATTTAATTATGATGATAAATTAAAATTTCAGATAACATAAAAGATAAGTTTCTACCACGATTAAAGATTTACCTTTAATCATGATTTATAATCAGTCGATTAGACCACCGTTGGTATCATATAGTGTTAAAAAATAAAAAAAAAATACGTTATTATAAATATATTAGTAAGTATATATCGTATTTCATGTCTTCATGAGTACTTTACATTATGTTTGTTACGTGCCCGCACGCAACGTGTAGGAAACACGTGCGAGCCCATATTTAATTGTAGCCGAAATAGTAATACCGAATATATATTTATCCGACGCATAGGGCCCGAGCAGGAAATACACGGAGTAGGAAATTCTGCACCAAAATAACTTATTAGCCCTTGAGATTTTATATCCCGGCACACACCGGTCGTATTTCAATTTTAATACAAATAAAGGTACTATTATGAAGAATCTGGAGGATTCTCACACATGTATGTATAATATAGCTAAATATTATATTTAAAAGGTATAATATTTAGTGTTTGTCAACGCCAGTTTATTTAGAGGGCCTAACTTCCTAAATTTTAATTCCGATGACAGCAGCAAAATATAGATAGCAGCGACTATGAACAACGAGTTGTGGGGGCGCAGCATTAGCATATATAACGCCGTCCGAAATATCGTCTATGTAAAAGAGTCCACCACAATCTGTTGCGAAATATTGATAATGTTTGTGAAATAATTTGGACTTAAGAATATTTATGATGTTTCATTGTAATTGAACTTAGTATATTTTATGAATATTATTATAAATGAACTTGAATTTTTTATGTGGAGATATTAATTTATTATTATAACTCAAGTTGGGGCTCAACTTTTTTCAAGTTACCTTAGTTAAGTCTTATTCCTTACGCCGGCACGTTACATGTTCATAAGTATTTATAACAAAACGAAATAAAATATATCATTGTAAAACCAATACATTAATACTTTGTTCCAAAAATGTTAATTAATTCAAGGGAAGTCATGTTACAAGATATAAATCTGTAAACAGTAATAATTAATTTAAAAATGTATAATAATTTGCGCAGTAGCTATATTATAATGTAATAAAATTAGAAAATTAGAATTAGTAAGTCAATAATCTAATCAGTAATTAGAAAAAATGTTGATCAAGTCGTACTTAATAATAAATAATAAAACATTTTACCAAGTTTCTTTTTTTTGTGAGATTTTTGGTAAATCTAAAAATTGTGCAGATGAACGTTTTGAAAGTAGTAATATTAAACCATTATTTTTATTTGTCATTGAATTAATGTTTGAACGAACACTATTTAAAATCATTAGCTATTTAGCATTAGATAATTTCATAAAATGGTCATTCGAATTGACCATTTTAA